TCAGTGCCTAGAAGGGATCCAAGAACTGACCCTCCCCTCCCCACCAAATGACTTTCAGTGCCAGGACTGACTTTGCATGTGCGAAATCTGAAGCAGGCTGGGCGAGGCACCAACACCACACACACACACACACACACACACACACACTTGCCTGTGCTGAAGAGATGGCGATGGCACTGAAAATGCGGCTGCGGGCACATTTGTGTTCTGTGTCTCTCACACACTTACTTTCATTTCAGCCTGTCATTATTCACTTCCACGGCCATCATTACCGCTAAGCGGTATAATTGTTTTTGCATGCATTGGAAGATAATAAAATTCCTTCTCTCCTCTTTCCTCCAGTTTCCACACATTGGCCTTATTCTCTCCCAAGTCCTGACTGGTTTGCTAGACTCGAGTCAAAGTGCAAATACTTTATGTGGCAGGAAGATTTATACCCCATCTCCCCATGAATCATGCCCGCAGTAGCTAACAGCAATAATGAATGCAAATTAATAAATAAAACAATAGAAGTGGTCCAAATTGAAATAACTTGGCGTGCTAGCAGAACCCATCCCAAGGGCTCCTGCTAGCGCAATAGGGCTTTCCTCCTTCCCTACCCACTCTCAGTGCCTCCCTCAAATCCACTCTGGAGGAACAGGAGAACCCCCATAACAGCACGCAGGAGCCTCTATAGCCGCGCGTCACCTCCCCAGCCAGGAGAGCGCGTGCGGGGCTAAAGAAGCCATAGCCCTGCGACCCTCTCCTGGCTGGAGAGGTGACACGCGGCTATGGCAGGAGCCTCTCCGCTGCGCCTTTCCGCTGCTCCCTGACCTGCTCTTTGGGGCTGGTGGTGGGCTTCCCCGCCAGCCCCAAAGAGCAGGTCGAGAACCTGAAGCCTGGAGAGCGAGAGGGGTCAGTGCACACTGACCCCTCGCTCTCCAGACTTCAAGCACCGCCTGAGCGCCTGAGCACCTGTAGCGCCTGAAGGCCTGAGCGGCACGCTCAGCCTCGGCACCTTGTTTTAGAGCGGAAAACAGAGGTGGAAAGTTCTCCCCCCTCTCTGTGCAGCGCCTCCTGCTGCTTCACTGAAGGGGCGCTGGGCAGAGAGGGGGAAATTTTTTCCTTGTTCTCCCTCTAAAACAAGCTCTATGCGGCACCTTGTTTTGAGCGGGAAAACAAGAGGAGGAAAGTTCTCCCCTCTCTGCTGCTCCGCAGCGCCTCCTGCTGCTTCACTGAAGGGGCGCTGGGCAGAGAGGGGGGAAATTTTTTTTCCTTGTTCTCCCCCCTCTAAAACAAAGTGCGTCCTATTGTTCGGTGCGTCCTATGGTGCGAAAAATACGGCAGTTTGCTGTACCAAGAGCTCAAGCTCATCTTGTTTATTTCCCATGCTTTGTGCATTAGTGTACAGACATTGAAGTCCATTAATCATTCCCCCGTGACTCTTATTTAAGGATTTTTTCCTCCCACCACTAGGTCTGCGTGCTGTTTGCTCCATTTGGTCTATGACATTTGGATGATCATCTTCATCAATTGATAGACTCCTACCTTCAGGAGCACTGTCTCCCTCCCTCACATTAGTCAGTTTAAAGCCCTCCTGATGAGGTTTCTGAGATTTTTGGCAAAAACATTCCTCCCAACCATTGTGAGGTGCAGCCCATCGCTTGCCAGAAGTCCATCTTCAAGAAACTGCAGTCCGTGATCTAAGAATCCAAACCGTTCCTGTTTACACCATTTGCGAAGCCAGCTGTTCACTTCCACTATTTTGCCCTCTCTCCCTGGGCCACGTCGTTCAACTGGGAGGACAGATGAGATGACAATTTGTGCATTTAATTGCTTCAATTTCCTGCCCAGAGCCTCGTAGTCTCTTTTGATCTTCTGGAGGCTATTTCTTGCAGTGTCATTGGTTCCCACATGAACCAAGAGGAGGGGGTATTTGTCAGTGGGTTTTATGATTCCTTGCAGTCGTTCAGTTACATCTTGGATCTTAGCCCCGGGGAGACAGCACACTTCCCGAGACATCTTGTCAGGCCCACAGATCATTGCTTCTGTTCCCCTCAGTAGGGAATCCCCTATCACCACTACACGCCTCCTCTTAGGTTTGGTCGGGGTTCTTCCGTGAGCTGTCCGTTCCAAGGTCGCCTGCGCATTCCCTGAGGACTGACTTTGCTGCTTGTCTTCATATACCTGATCGACTGTAATGAGGGAGAGATCCTCAAATGGAGTCTGCTCTTCGTCTTCCATGCTAGGGGAGAGGACCTCAAAGCGATTGTGTATTTCTAAACAACCAGAGCGAACCCTGGGCCTCCTGCTTCTTTGAGTCACGTTTCTCCATATATCTGGCTCCTGTGTTGGTGAACTAGCCTCCTTCTCAGGGGAGTCCCCTGTCTCCTCCTTGGTGGAGACGGTGTGCTCTGTTGCTTCCAAGAAGAGCTCCAGCTCTCTAATTCTTTGGAGCGTAGCTACACGTTCCTCCAGTTGCTGGACTTTGTCTTCTAAGAGGGCAATCAACATGCAATTGCTGCAGGTAAAGCTGCCTGCAACCTTTGGCAAGATGGCAAACATTGCGCAGGAACCGCAGGCGACTGCAGCTGTTCCCTCACCCTCCATCTTGAGAACGTGTCGTTGAGGGTGGCTACAGCGGTCCTCCATCATAAAAAGCATGAAGACAGGACAAATAACTCCCCCCCCCCAAAAAAACCTAGGTCTCCCCCAACAAACTTTTGAGACTAGCTCCCCTAAATCTAAAAGATGGACTAAACCGTGCGCCACTAGGCGCGCGCCGCTGTCCTGCAAGCTCTGATAAGCTCCTCCCACAGCTAACCACCTGCCTCAACAGAAACCCTGCCCCCTCTGTCCTTTGCACAGGGAGAGCAGCTAATCATCTACAAAGAAACACACACACAAGAAAACCCTTTTTGCACCTTCTTCAGCTGCTGCCCTGCAGGCTCATGGGACAGCTCTGCCTAGAGATCCATTTCCCTAGTTCTAGCCTTGATGGCTTCTGTTGGACCAGCATGGCCAGTGCTCAGAAGTGATGGGAGTTGTAGGACAACAACATCTGATGGGCCACTTGTTCTTCATTCCTGAAGATAGATTTGGAAGGGGTAGTTGTGCTGGTCTGCAGCAGCGAAAGCAAGAACACAAGAGTGTTATCATGTCAAAGGTCTCTATCTAATCCTGAATGCCATTTCCCACAGTGGTCCATGGGAAGCCTGCAAGCAGAGGCTTGCAATACTTTAAAAGCCAACAAATCTATAGCATGAACTGTTGCTGACTAGAGCCCATGTCACCAGAAGCTGTTTATCTATTCATTTTGATTTATCTCACAGGGTACCTGTTAGAAAATGTTAAAGAGCGTCTATCACCATCACTTTGCTCCCTCACATTGCTTTCCCTCTCTACTTATCTTAACGTGTTCTGGAGAACTCAAAATGCTGCACCTGATGTTCTGATAGTTTGGTTGGTCAACTACATTGTATTGTCCAAAGGTGGCTTTTTGAATTGCATTCATTGGTTACATTTATATCCTCCCATTTCCCAAGACTCTCCATTCTTATTTACGATCAAGCAAGGTTGCTTTTGCTTTCCAGGTCCAGACTCAAAGAGGCAGCTTACTGATCCAGTTGGCAACGCAGGAAAATGAAAGTAACCACAGCTAAAGGGTGGAGACTTTGTTCCAACTCAGGTCATGTATGATGGATGTAAAGTGCTCTGACTTTTTAGATATATAATCAGAGCTTTTTTCAGCCAGAGCTCAGTTCCAGCACCTCTCAGGTGGGCGCCATTGCCATTCTAAGAGAATGAGGGAGATGATCATGGTGAGTTCTGACATCTCTTTTTCTAGAAAAATAGCACTGTATATTTTAAAAATATATGAATAAGTAATTAAATAATAACAGACCATATTAACGCTGTACTAGCTAGTTACTGTACATGGGCAGACAGATAAATAAATGTATAAGTTAGACCCTAGTTCGTTACTACTTGAGGGCTGTTCCTCGGAAAGAGAAATGGGGAGATGGATCACACATAAGCACCACAACAACTTTACGCACACGCTTCCCATCACCCAGTGTTTCCTCTTAGAGCAGCAGCTACAAAGCTTGTAGGAGGGGGCGGGGGCTTCGTTGGGTAATAAAGGACATCCCTATTCTTTATTGGACGGCGGGAGGGAGGAGGTGGGGCGGCCCTTCAGGTGGTGGGGCTAGAATCTCTCGGCTCTCCACGCCCAGAGCTCAGCCAGAGAGCCACGTGGTTGTGGGAGTGCGGGGGGTGGGGTGCGGGTGGTTTGTATTATTCCTGCCGCTTTCGATTGTCTTTTCCCGACGGCGCGGATTCTCCCTTCTTTTTCCCGTTTCCTCTTTTTTTAAACGCCGCTTTTCAGTGTTACTGTTTCGCAAGGGGGAATCGTGGGTGTGTCTTGAGGCGAGGAGTGCAAACAATGGCGAGGAGGGCTCGTTGAGAGCGCGCCGGGAGAGGATCTCCTCGCTCCTGTACCCCCACCCCATGCAAAATTGGGCAAAGCCCGGACGGCTCGTGTTGCCCACCCCGAGCCGCCCCCTTCCCTCCACCCCCCTCCCCTCTCGGGAGATGGAGGGCGAGCTCTGATCCAAGAGGGAGCAAAGGCGCGCACGCCTAGCCGCGCGCATTACAATGGAGCGAGGGGCTTCCAGCTTCCAGCAGCCTCGGAAGTGCTGCGCTGGGCGAAGATAAAACGCCCCTTTGGATCTCCTTATCTTTTTGGGGGGGCTGCTGTTTTGGAAACTCGAAGGCTGGCCCCAGACAAAAGGCGTCGGCGTCGGGGAGGCTCGCCAAGGCGCAGGGAAGGACAAGGCTCGGCCGTTTTGGTTTTGAAGCGCAATGGCCGAGGATGGCTGCCGGCTGCTGCTTTCGGGCGCCCTCTGAGTGAGGTTGTCACTGGCAACGGGAGGCCGAGGGCTGCTGCTGCTGCCGCCGCCGCTTCTGCTGCAACCGGAGGAGGGCGGCTTCCGCGCCAGCGCGGCCATGGGCAAATGCAACGGGCGCTGCACGCTGGTGGGCTTCTGCTGCCTGCAACTGGTAAGGCGGAGCGAGGGCGGCCCCTTCTCCTTCGCCCTCCCCACTCTCGCTCCTCTATTGTGCTACCTTCTCGGTGTTTGTGTGTGATCGCTGCTTCCTCTTTGGGTGGGTGACCTTGCTGCCAAGCCCCCCCCCCGGGCCGGCGGTGGGGAGGTTGACGAGGGGCTGGCCAGGGCGGAAAGTACTTCCTCCAGCCCACCCCCTATGCCCTGTTTTGGAGAGGTGTGGGCTGGAGAGGGCGCTGCTGGTGGTTCAAGAGTGGGGCGAAGGGGTCGTCTGCTTGCCAAGGATGGTGATGTGGGTGGGGCGTTGGGGTTCCTTGTTTCAGGGAACTTGTGGGTTTCCTACAATTTTGTCCGCCTCCAAAGCGGCTCGCGTCAATCCAAAAGAGGGAGGCTTTGCCATCGGGTTTACAAACGAAAAAAGGAAAAGTCAAGGCACCGGCAGAGTGGAGGGAAAAGGCAAAAGAGAGAACTCAAACTTTAACTAGCTTTGGAGTGAATGAGGAAATGCAAGCATCGCACACAGAAGCAGTCATTTAAAAAGTCGGTTCCGGTGTGTTTCGTGGGGCTTTGCTCCTTACAGGGGAAGATGTCTTGCACTAAGGCAGACCATTAGTCCATCTAGCTCAATATTGTCTGCCCTGATTGGCAGCGGCTGCCCCAAGTTTTCTGGCAGGAGCCTTTCCCAATCCTTCCTGGAGATCAAACCTGGGACCTTCTGTATGCAAAAGCAGATGCTCTACCAGTAAGCTGTGACCTTTCCCCTACTAAGTGTGTTTTAGGATTGCTGGTGGCAGGTACAGTGAAGGTGGGCAGGAAAAGAATAGCTCAAGTTTTGGATCTAGGATAGAGAAAAGTCTGCTCAGTAGAATGACATAACTCCTCTGTTTCCCCCTTCCACCTTTATGTTGTTTTGCTAGATCTATCTGGTTCAGCACTATCTCCAGACACGGTCTGCTGGATGCTTATGAGAAGCCCCTAGCCAGATGCAGATGAGGACAGGACTCCTTCAGCTTTAATTGTTGCCATTCCCTCTTTTCTGCTCCCCCTCATTTTGTGGTTGGCCAAAGATCCATCCTGGATCTTGGGACCAGAGGAAAGAAGTGGGACTGGAAATAATGAATGCTTCAGGAATCAGGATGCATAACAGAAATGGAGATGGGTTTCTAAGAAAAATAAACAAATAAGCTTGGTTATGTGTTATGGACACAAACTTGTATTCCTCCATTTATCCACACCTGCACCCCCTTCCCCTTCCCCTGTTGTCTTGCCTGTGTTTTAATTTTAGATAGCACAGAATTTTACAAAGTACAGGCAGACAGGTGTGCAATCTAAGTAATGGATAATAAAGTTAACAGAGGGAGAAAAGGTTCCCCATGAAATTCAGACTTAACCAGTCTTGGTTAGTGCAAGAAACCAGGAAATATCCCAACAATATTTGCCAAGCAATTTTTTATTTTATTTTATTAAAAACATTCCCAGGGCAATGTTAAAACAGCCACACAGCCTACAAGCAAACGAACAAAAGGAATGCTTGGGTCGATTATGATTCTAGAAAGGCTGATCTTCCTATTTATACAGGAATTACAGGGGTTAATGCCTCTGCAAAAGTGGAATGCTGTGATTTCATGCTTCTATTATGGGGAATATCAATGAGACTTGGGTAATGTCGATATTGTGTAACGTTGATATTGCCTGGAAACCAGATGTAAACTTAAAAAGCAAAGCAGCAACAAGAGATCCAACAAAAGGTGTATTGCTATTTGTACTTCAGTTTTGCATGAAAGTTCTTTAGTTCTTTCTCATGCAAAATACATTAGCTGCCTGGCCTGTCTTGATCAGTGCTCAGGCTTACATGAAACAATTTGCTTCCAAAAATTGTATGGGAGTGCATAACGCTTGGCACATATCTGTATTGCCAGTTGCCAATTGTATTTATCCTACTTTTCCAGCTCAGGGCAGCATATATGTTATCTCCTCTATGATTTTATCTTCATAATGGCCCTGCGAGATTGGTTAGGCTGAGAGAGTCACCTGGTTTGTACGTAATGCTAGAGCTTAGTCTGCGTTGACGGACATGAGAGAGTGATCCCTCTTCTCTTCCAGCACAGCCACAAGACACAGCATGCATTGCTCCTGTTTCCAGCCGTGGTTACTGTTCATGTCTGATCTGTGCTTAGTGTTAACTGTGGTTTAGTGAAACGTGTCAGAAATCGTTCACTGTGGTTTGAAGTTGTCTTGGTTCATTGTGCGCACGGTGGCCACAGTTTACCTGGGTGTGAGCATGAGTCTCCACATTTAGCTGAAAACAAAAGTGAAAGCCAATGATCTCCTTGTGGCTGTGCCTGAAGAAGAGAGAGAAACAGATGAGCCCAAGGCTTGTCTGCACATGTTGCTAATCCAGGGGTGTAGAACCCTTTATTATTATTATTTCATGGGCCACAAGATGGTGATGGGTGAGGCCAAAACCCAAAGTGGAGCAACATGCATCTCTCTCTGCCACCCTCTCTCTCCTGCTTCTCTTGATCTTCCTCCCTGCACAGCTGACTACAGGGGAAGGGAAGATCACTCTTGCCAGAGGTCTGAACTAATGGTTTGCAGAGGGCTCCCCACTCCTGCTTCCATTGTTCCACCCATTTTGGATTTTCTGTCTGCTTCCTACTCCTGCAACTCCTGCCCCCTTTCTTTCCCTTTGCCCCCCCATATGCTGCAGGCCGCATGCAGTTCTTGAGCCACAGGTTCCCCCCCTCCCCATGCTAAGGTCCTGGTTACACCTTTTTCGAGGGCCACATTCCCTTGTGGGAAACCTCCTGGGGGTTACACAATGGGGCCAGGTGCAAACGTAGACAGGCCAACGGATGCAAGTTTTAGCTTTGTGCAACAGGTTACATTCCAAGCATACAGAAGTCGGGTCCCTTCCAACTCTACAATTCTATGTTTCTAAGTCAGAGATTTCCAGGGATAACACACACACGCCCCGCCGGTCCTCCTTCCAGGCAAGAGGCATTATTATCACAGTTTAATGACACATTCAGGCTAGACCAGAAGCACTCAAGGGTGTGGCCTGTGAAATGGGGTGTGGCCTATCAGAGTCCCAAGAGGTTTGGGAGGCCGCATTTGACCGCCAGGCCTGAAGTTTCCCACCCCTGGTATAGTGTTCACATGTGAATGACAGGCTAAAAGTTACCTACAGCTTTTCATGGCCGAGTGGAGTCTTAAAACCAGTTTTCCCTGGTTGCAGTGCAGTTCTCTAGCTGTTACACCATCCTGTCTTTTGAAAAAGAGAGCCTGTGAAAGGTTTTATAGCTGTTTTGGGCTGGAGTGGATCTGTCCAAGTATTCCTTGCATCTGCTGCCTTTCAATGTATGCACCCAGGGAAACTTTTATTACAGAGTGAAATCTGCACTAGTGGACAGCTCAGTCGGTAAAATGTGAGACTCTTAATCTCAGGGTTGTGGGTTTGAGCCCCACATTGGGCAAAAGTTTCCTGCATTTTAGGGGGTTGGACTAGATGACCCTTGTGGTCCCTTCATAGCTGTCAACTTTCCCCTTTTCTTGTGAGGAATCCTATTCAGAATAAGGGAATTTCCCTTTAAAAAAAGGGAAATGTTGACAGCTATGGGTCCCTTCCAACTTTACATTTCTATGATACTGTGAGGCACTTTTAAGCTTGTGCAGCCCATTCCTGCAACTGTATGAGGACTGAGGCGAGGAGGAGGAGACTCTGTCAGCACCTTCCCCCATCATTAGTAAGCGTAAGAAAGAGAAATTGTGAACAGCTCTTTGTGCTGAAACTTGCTTGTAGAGTATGTTTCAACACTTTGCAGGGAGATTAAAACTGCGGCCCTAAGTAAATTTGCTTGGAAGCAATTCCACTTTAAGCTGGTGCATTAGTAAATATGGTCAGAGTCGAGTTGCACAACTTGCTCTGGGTACAGAGAAAATTACTGCTGCTGGGTACATCATTGATTTTCCCCTTGCTTGGACTTGATCAAATGAAACATCTCTCTCGATTCTAGCCGAATGCATGGAGGGGGAAGTGAGCACACAGAGCCTTGCCCACTTGTTGCACTGATTCTAGCTTCCCTGCTCATGGATACAGAGAGCATTCAAATGCATCCACATGAACAGCTTAATGCACAGAGATGAAAATGGGGTAGCCTTTCCTATTTAAAACTGGAGAAGGGTTGTGGCTTCACGGCGGAGTGGGGAACTTGTGACTGTCCAGATCTTGCTGGACTCCAACTCCCATCAGCCCCAGCCAGTATGGCCATTGGTCTAGGGGGATGGGAGTTGGAGTCCAGCAATATTTGGAACGATTCCAAGTTCTGCTCTCATAGTGTTGGTCAGAGAAGGGGAATTTTGAGCCCTGGGACCAAACATGGTCCTTCTAAGCTTCTCTGTCAGGCCCTCAGGACTCCCCCCTATCTGCACCCCTCTCCCCAGGCTACATCACACCCTCACCAGCACTACACTGGGCTATCCTCAAGTGTGTTTGCCTGGCTGGAATGTTGTCCTTGAACTGTGACAAAATTCACATTGCAAAGGTGCATCTAAACACAAAAGGTTTCAAAAGGAGGGATGGTTGCTGCTGAACCTCTGCTGGTAGGGAGTTCCACAGGGGAAGCCCTGCCACACTCAGTCTCTAGTGCTGAGAAATCACCAGAGGATCCTGGGTAATCATGATGGAACATACGGAATCAGGTGGTACTTAAGGCCCCATGTTTCCCCCCCTTGGTTTTGTTTGTATGTTGTTGTTTTTGAAAACTTATTAAAACAAAACCAAAGCACCACCATGCTATTGGGGACAGTGGATGAATGCCCAAGAGGCCATGGGGAATGGGCACCGGGTGCAAGCTGTTTTTCCTTCTCTGGCTTTTCCACCTCTGGTCAAGCCTACCTACCCCGAGATACATGATACCACAGTATCCTGGCCCTGTTTTTACATTTCGGGGTTTTGCTGTTTTTCTGCACTGAGTGAAGGTTTCAATTATTGTTTTTAAGTTGTTGTCTTTGCCTCAGAAGGCAGGTCACCATTTCACAGGTCCTGAAGTTACCACTGGAGCGTTGGCAAAAGGAAGGTTTGATTGGAGGAGGGGTAAAGGGATCCCTCTATTTCCAGTTTGAGTCAATTTACCTATGTGTCCATTCTGTCCATGATTTAAAGAAATCGCAGTTTTCTGTCTATGATTTAAAGAAATCATAGTTGGAAGGGACCCCAGGGTCATCTAGTCCAACCCCCAGCAGTGCAGGAATCCTTTGCCCAATATGGGGCTCAAACCCATGACTCTGAGATCAAGAGTCTCATGTTCTACCAACTGAACTATCCCAGGTGCTGACTGAATGTTCATATTTAAATCAGCATTTCATCACAAAATATGTATTTAGACAATGCTGTTTTGTCTCAGTGGGTGAATTTCTAAACATATTTTGTCCTAAAACACTCAAGCTGATTTTCCCCACACATTTAGTATGTCTTTTAATAAATAAATAAATAAATAAATAAATCTGTGGTCCATATTGCAAAAATCGGAGAAGGTCAGATTCGGAAGGCTAATAAATTACATTCTGATCTGCATTTCCATCCAGGAGGTCAGTTCACATGTGAATTGACAGAGATCTAACTCTAGGAAGTATCCCAGAGCAGGAGGAGAGAGTCTTGGCACACACCTCAATACTGGAACCTTTCCCTTGACTTTCATGTCCTGTAAGAGTAGTACTGCTGGATCCAGCCAAAGGTCCCCCTAGTCTAGCTCTCTGTTTCTCCCAGTGGCCCACCAGATGCTTTTGGCAAAGCCCACTAGCAGGGCACAAAGGAGTTTGCTCATCACCCAACCCCTACTCTGCTCCTGGTATTCAGAGTCACACTCCTCCTGAACCTAGAGGGTACACACAGTGGTTGTGCCGAGGTGCTTTAGTGATGGACTGCTGTGGCAAATGCACTCGACGTGATCGTTTTTTACATCTGCCCTTCGTATGCCGAAGACCCTTATCTCCCAAATACCATGTGATTCAGGCTCTCGCAGTCTTTCAGAAGCTTCCTTTGTGGCTGGCTGTTGTCAGTTCAGCAGCCTCTTTGCCTTGATGTTGGCTGTGCTTGATAATTGGATCTGCCTCTTATGTCCGTGTCTTAAATGTGCTCTGTGACTCATCAGCTGACTCACTCCATCCTCAGTCCTTGTTCTTCTATACCACACCACACCACTTGACACCACTGTGTTTCACGTCTCGGGATCACTGCCCTGGTGTTCTGTTTGTGTGTGTGTGTGTGTGTGTGTGTGTGTGTGTGTATTTTTGCAGGGGGTGAGGGTGGGTTGCGTGATTTAAACGTTAGTGCACCTCAAATGGGTGGTGCAGAATGATTTGGATGCTCTTTGCTGAATAAATGCTCCATTTTGGGACCCTTGGAATATTATCCTAGTCACATGGGAAGTTGTGTTAGAAACTCAGATATATAAGGTAGGCACCCAATGGCTCCTTAAGCCAAGGTTGCAGTCACCACAATGGAATGTCTAGGTGCCATTTTGGAGCAAGTCTTGTTTTTCAAACGATGAGCCGTATGTGATTGATTCTCAGTTAAACATCTGGCTAGATGACAACCTTGAGCTTTGAGAACTTAAAGAAGAAAAGCCACTTAATCACATATATATTGGCATATTCCGACCTCTTTGCCTTAATGGTGACTGTTCCTGCTCAGGCTGCACACAGAAAAGGCAATTTGGTTCCAGAAATTCATTCCAATTGCACTGATAAAATATAACTGATAGAATTCTACAGGATGTGGTATTAATGGGTGTGAAAGCAGTCAAGATCCAATGATCCCAAGATACAGTGGTTCCTCGGGTTACAGACGCTTCAGGTTACAGACTCCCCTAACCCAGAAATAGTACCTCGGGTTAAGAACTTTGCTTCAGGATGAGAACAGAAATCGTGCTCCGGCAGCGTGGCAGCAACAGGAGGCCCCATTAGCTAAAGTGGTGCTTCAGGTTAAGAACGGACCTCTGGAACGAATTAAGTACTTAACCCGAGGTACCACTGTAGTGATGTCAGGTGCCCACACATCTTCACTTGTTGCAAGTGGTCGACAGCCAAGTGCAAAATGCTAATTTTGAACACTGATGGGAAGTTCTTCTTGCTCTGGGGATCACCCACGTGTCCTCAATCTGATGTCATATTGGCACCAGGTGATTGGCAGGTGGTTGGTTCCACCCACCTATCAAAGTTGGCCCACCAGCATGGGGGGGAATAATGCACAAAGCAGGACTGAACTTCCTACGTGTCGGATGAAGTGCAGGATGTTAAATCCTGCCTTTAAGGAGTGCCACTATGGTCATGGTTAGTAAGTTGGACTGGGGAGACATGGGTTCAGTTCCCATTTGTCCATGAAGCTTTCTGCGTGAATCTCAGCCATGCACAGTGTCATTGAGAGCATGATGGTGGTTGGTGGGGAATAATGCACACTTGATGGTGCCCTTAACTCCTTGGAGGAAAAATGGGATAAATTTTCACTACAGCTCCTGTGGAACGCCCCCTCTGTGTTCCTTTTAAATCTGTTGTCATTTGCATCTTGAAATTACAGTCTGTTGTGCATGCTTCTGAACCATAATGTGGCGTAGACACATCCCCCCCTGCTCTATATTTTTTCGCAGCAAATCTGCCATTTTTAGAAGTGCATTGTCTCATAAAATTAAACTGCTAGCATAATGGATCGATGCTGTACAAATGAAATTGAGCAATTGAAATTGGATGTAACGCCAGTCAGATCTAAAGTCCAAGTTGTAATTAACTTTCTGCAGTTGGCTATCCCTGGGAAGCAAATGTTTTTATGTGCACAGCTCATCAGGCATGCTAAATCTGGTGTGTTAATAATTTGCAGTGTGTCCAAAATCTGAATAAAATTGTAAACACTCCCCAAGCATCATCTCACCAAACTTACAGCAGGTCTATTCACTGAGAAAGAAGGGATAGTGGGGAACCTGGAACACAAGTGCAGCCTACCTACATCTCACCCCATCTTTCAGAAATGATAGACCTGTTCTCTGATGCTACTCCACTGAGTGTGGTTTAAGTTATATACCAAAACAATGCTCTACTTGGAAATGGCTTTTTAAAAATACTTGTTGAGTTGTCATGTTTTAAAATATTTACAACAAATACCCCACTTTACATTATTCACATTTTATATTTCTAGCCAATGGGCTAGATGTTTTCGGTCCCCCAGTCCCTGCAGCCCATTTTGTCAATCAGGTGAACCCATCCATCTGTCATTCGCCATGATTTTGGGTGAAGCATTGTTTTTCTTTGCCCTCGGGATTTGATTTCAAACCATGCAGGTGCAGGTATAGGCCTTTGCAAGCAGTGCAAGTCACCTCTTGCAACATGTCCATGATCATGGTGGCACTTGCAAAGATGGTGCATGCAAGTCCTACTTTTGGCAGGGGAAGCTATGCCTTTATTAGCCAGGTATAGGGCAGGCAGGCAGGCATGATTTGACTAATAATAATAATAATAATAATAATAATTTATTATTATTATTTCTGGCTGCATTTCCCCAGCCACTCTGGGTGGCTCCCAACAGAATATTAAAAAGACAATAAAACATCAAACATTAAAACCCTCCCTAAACAAGGCTGCCTTCAGATGTCATCTAAAAATCAGATAGTTGTTTATTTCTTTGACATCTGATGGGAGAGCATTCCACAGGGCGGGTGCCACTACTGAGAAGGCCCTTTGCCTGGTTCTATGTAACTTTGCTTCTCACAGGGAGTGAACTGCCAGAAGGCCCTCGGAGCTGGACCTCAGGGTCCAGGCAGAATGATGGGGGTGGTCTCGGCTTAGGCCTGGAGACCAGAGGTTCCCCAGTGCTGATGTCTGCATAGATGTGGTACCCAGAGATACTAGTGACAATGGCAATAATAATGTTGCTGTTTGTTGCGTGGCGCAGCCAAGGTGACCTTTTCAAAATGTGTCACCTGTACTATCCAAGAAGAAATTTTCATTCTGACATGGCTTATTCTTTCCAATAACTTTTTTCCCCTAAGAACTTAAGAAGAGCCTGCTGGATCAGGCCAATGGCATCCTGTTCTCACATTGGCCAACCAGATGCCTGTGGGAAACCTGCAAGCAGGACCCAAGCACAAGAGCCCTCTCTCCTCCTGTGGCTTCCAGCAGCTGGCATTCAGAAGCATCATCACCTCCAGCTGTGGAGTCAAAGCACAGCCAAGGTGGCTAGTTTCCTCCAGGAAACTTTGTCATATTCTGAACAGAGTCTGTCCATTGATCTCAATGACCTGGTCATGGACCTCCATGATCTCAGTGCTCCTGACCTGGAAACTCCATCCTTATTTATAGTGATTGCTGAATAGCTAGACAGGCAGAAGACAACCTCTTGCAATATCTGTATCAATTTGTAGCAGCCGCTGCAGGACAACAGGGCGGTAGGCCAAGAGATTGGATCAAGTTGCCTTTCTCCATAGATTGGGGATTGGGGCAGAGAGAGAAGGGAGCCTAGATTCTTCTATATGTGAGTTTTCAATTACACAATTAAATGCACAATTAGGTATAATTACCAGTGCTCAGGAGCCGCGACTGTTCATAATAGGCATGTAATCTACTGCAGTCACTGTTTATACTGCTCAGCCCCTCTCCCTAATGATTATGGAATGCTTCCACATTTGCATGGTTGCCATGGAAATCATGTTTGGAGCTGACAAACGGCACTCGGGATGGAAGGCCGCGATATTTCTTTGGGTAGGGGGGAAGCTGCAGCTGCTGGAGGGAGAAGGTTGGCTGTGGGGTCTGTGGTGGCAACTGCGGTGTCCTAAGAAGGTCAGAAGAGCCTCCCTGAATTGGGCCAATGGCTCACCAAGTCCAGCATCCTGTTCTTCCGGTAGCTGTCTGCGTGGGAAGCCCGCAAACCAAGACCTGAGCACCACAGCACTCTCCCCACTTGTGATTCCATAGCAAGGGGTATTCATAAGTGCACTGCCTTTGGTCGTCAAGGTTCGTATCCATTTATATCCTCCGTGAATTTGTCCTCTTTGTAAGCCGTCCAAGTTGGTGGCCATCGCTGCCTCTTGTGGGAGCGATTTCCACGGTTTAGCATTGTGCTGCGTTTGAAGCAATGCTTGCATGCCCTGCATCTCCACTTAAAAGAGCAAAACCATCATGGCTAGTAGATATTTAGGAAGTTGTTGTTTAGGGTGGGTGTTTTAGATCCTATAAGACAGGCACGTCCAACTCCCTAGAGACTGCGATCTTCTTCCAATATAAAACAACTGGCAGTGATCTACCCATTGTCATTGGGGGGTGGGGAGACCAAAGTTGTTGAGTGTGCTGAGCCCGGGGGTAACCCTAGCAACGCGGTCCAGGTCCGGTCCCAAATCCAAGGGTACCGCGAGGAGTCAGTCTGACAGGGCCAAGGCAGGACACGAGGCAAGAAACCAGGCAAGGTCAGGCACAGGGTCTCAGGCAGCATCTAGCATACAGCAATGCTGCTCCCGCAACCTGGCGTGGGGGCTGACAGCCTTTTATCTTTGTGGGGTAATGGCCAGTCCTGATCCCCCGGTGACTCACCTCCCTGTCTTGCCCAAAGGCGAGCACCCCTCCTGTGAGCACTCAGGTCTCTCCTTCTCTCAGACCTTAGTCTCTGCAGCTCGGGAGATGTCGGTGGGTTACTGGACCCAGAGGCCGCCTCAGCCTCTCCTGACCCAAATGGTAGTGGAGCAGCTGTGAGTGATTGCCCAGCTGAAGGAAACGGGATAATCCCCGCATCTAGAGCCAGGGCAGGCTCAGGCCCCTGACTCGGCCCAGCTGGTGCTTGTTGCAGGGGAACCTGTGCAGACTGGGGCTCTTCAGAATCAGGCCCTAGAGTAGGTTCAGATGCCGCCTGAGACAAAGGATCTGGTGCGGACTGAGACTCCTCTGGTCCTTAGCCCGAGACTGAGACCCAGGCCATCACATTGAGCTTCTTTTAGGGTAGGCCAAAGTTGTTGAGCTTTCTTTAGGGGACCCCACAGTTGTTGAGCTTTTTTGAGGGGAGGCTAGAGTTACTCCCCTTTTTGCGGGTAGGAGGAGCGCTAAAATCACTGTAAAACTACACTACTAATAACAAGCAGGTGCAGCAATACATTCCGGCAGCAGCGGGAGGTGGAGCCAGTGATGATAAGGGAGCCCTCGATCGACCACAATGGACCGCAGTCATTCAAGGATCAACCTATCAATCACAATTGACCTGTTGGACATCGCTGCTATAAGCAGATTCCTCGGGAACACCTGTATATCCCATGTGGGGTAAAAATGTCTAAAGCTGTTAGTTGTACATGCCAATGAAATCCACAGAGAGAAGGGAAAGTGTTTGGATGAATCCCAAACTTGAAGTGTGCTGCTTTGGAATACTCTGAAGTAACACGAATGTCCTCCAAAGTTGCCAACCTGGGGTTCTTCCCCAAGCTTTGTGGACAAAGGTGCTTCCATGCAACCTGTTGTCAGGGACTGGGCAGAGGAGGAATGGTGGAGGCCACCTCCCCAGCCTGACCCTTCCAGAGAAGAAGAAGACGGTTTAGAATTACAACAGGGGGTTGAGGGAGATCACAGCTCAGAGGCAGATGAGGAGAAAAGCTGGGAAATTATGGGAGAGAAGGAGGAAGAAATGGAAGCACCAGGGGTGACAGCTGATGGACACAGTGTCTCCAGAAAGCATTCCAGACCTCCCCTCTCTCCCAGAACCCGGCGAGCCTTGAAAGTAGGAGAGCAAAGAGCTCAAAGGCAGAGGGCATGTAGCAGCACCTGTAGAAGTGACGAATGAGGAAGTGGGAGAGACAACACCATTATTCTAAGAGGCTGCATTCCCAATCCTCTCTCTGTAAATATTGAATAAAAAGCAGGTGGTAAGGACTTTTCCTTGTCTTATCCTTTCCTGGCAACCTGCCGTGGGGGTTGGTTCTTCTGCCGCCTGACACCTGTCTATTGAGAATTCCTTCTGATTTATTTGGAGGGAGATTAGTCAACATTGGCTGTTTAATGACCAGCCATTTCTATTCATTTGCAGAGAAGTTAAACAATGTTGCATCTTTGCAAGTGTTGTCTTATCCTTTCCACTCCATTCTCTCATCACTTTCTGTCAGCAGTAAATCACACTGTTGAAAGTTGGAGTTAACTCTTTGTTAGCAAAGATACGATCTTCACCGGCTTCGCAGTGTGTCAGGCGTAATGAGCATAGCAGCTCATCTGTGGTAGGTCTTACCCCAAAGTCCTCACCTCACTACAGCCGTCTTAAGTCCCCTCCTCTCCAGGAGACCCCACCTGCAACCAATCTTTTGGAGAAGGTTTGTTGCATGAGACTTCCCGGTCAACTATAATTGTTCAACTTGAATATGCTTGTACAGGTATGTGCCTGAATCCTGCCTGAAAATAGTGGCTGCCTGGAAACACCCTAATTCTGAGTGACAATAGTGTGCCTGTGAAAATCGATGCCTTTTCCTCCAGGATAGTGTTGGTTTTGACTGACAGCTCTAGCTTCCAACCAGGGAATAACTTTGACAGAGGGGTGGGGTGGGGGGCTCTTTTCACTTCTGATCACAGTGCTCTGTGTTTGGAGGGATGCTGGAGGAACGGATCCATTGCTGTCAACTGAGCAGAAAACAAAAACAAATATGCAGGCTGCTTTTTGTACATCACAGTTCCCTAAGCTCCGCACCTGTGTAGCCGAAATGTTGCAAGTTGTTTTCCTGGGGATGTCTGTATGATGTATGCCACTTTCATGCTTATTCTTCCAAAACACTAGGAGGGGAGCAAATCTTTCTACCTAAAGACTTTCCTTGCACAGGAAATAGTTTAGAAAATATTGAACTAGGTGGATCAATGGTCAGTATAAGATAGCTTCCTAAGTTGAGGCCTGATGTCTTTCCCTGTTGATTTGCACAGGGAAATGAGAAACAGGAAAGTGTAAGGAAAGTTGCTATCCTTATCTGTCTGAAATTTGGTGGGTTTCTATCCCCTTGGAAGGCGACAGAATTTGCGGGGAAATTGAATCTAATTCTGTTAAGCAATTTATTCATTTATTTATTTAACCAACAACCAAAACACAGTGAAAACAAACAGTGACCCCCCCCCCCAGGCAGCTGATACATTGGGTATACATAATCAATAACAATATATTCAAATCGACCATATGTACAATTCTTAACACTCCTCCCTCCACAAGGTTTATTTGACTTTCAACATTTTAATTGCTCCAAATTGTTCAAACCTGCCCAAATAATTCAATATCTTCTCAAACCAATCCTCCTCCTCCTCACTGACCTGAAACCCTTTCATTTTATGTATCTTCACAGTTAGATATTCTAAGATTATAATATTTTTTCAATTTTCCCTCCATTGGTTCCATTTAAGCAATAAGAATGAGAATAATAAAGATGTAGCCAGTTTCTCATTTCCCTGTGCAAATCAACAGGGAAAGACATCAGGCCTCAACTTAGGAAGCTATCTTATACTGACCATTGATCCACCTAGTTCAATATTTTCTAAACTAACTGGCAGTGCCTGTCCAGAATTGCAGACTGGATTCTCTCCCAACTCTACTTAGTGATGCCAGGGATCGAACCTGAGATCAGAGAATTGGAAGGGACCTCAAGGGTCGTCTAGTCCAGCCCCTTGCAATGCAGGAACCTTTTGCCCCATGTGAGACTCGAACCCATGACCCTGCAATTAAGAGTCTCGTGCTCCACTGAGTGAGCTATCCCAGATATCCCCTTTTGCCTACAAAGTAGATGCTCTAGCACCAAACTGCCACCCTTCCCCCATATGTGGGCCTTAGATTTTCCTAAGCGAGCTTCTTACTCAGTTCTCTGACTCAAAGTGGGTGTGAAGCAGTCTGTGCCAAATTAACCCTGTGAAACACCCTGAGACCTCCGGATATAGGGTGGTATATGTTTTGTTCAGGGACGCTGGTGGCACTGTGGGTTAAACCACAGAGCCTAGGACTTGCTGATCAGAAGGTCAGCGGTTCGAATCCCCATAACAGGGTGAGCTCCCGTTGCTCGGTCCCTGCTCCTGCCAACCTAGCTGTTCAAAAGCATGACAAAGTGCAAGTAGATAAATAGGTACCACTCTGGTGGGAAGGTAAACGGCATTTCCGTGCACTGCTCTGGTTCGCCAGAAGCAGCTTAGTCATGCTGGCCACATGACCCGGAAGCTGTACGCCGGCTCCCTTGGCCAATAAAGCGAGATGAGCGCCACAACCCCAGAGCCGGCCACGACTGGACCTAAAGGTCAGGGGTCCCTTTACCTTTACCTATGTTTTGTTCTCATTTTGCATTTTTATGTCGTGAACTGCCCTGTGATATTTGGTTGATGGGCGGTATACAAATTTGATTAATTCATAATAATCAATAAATTTAAAGTATCTTTGTCTTATTTTTTAAAAAGTATATGCTCCCTTGCACACATGAATTAAGGCAGTATACTACAAAAGATCAACTACTTGAAAATTCATTTTAAAACACAATAAAGCAGCGTACATGAGACCTTAAAAGGCCTAACCTAAAAAGCAATTAAGTTTCAGTATATGCCTGGATGAACAAAGGTGCTTTTAACTGCTGGTGGTGGATGCTTGCTGGATCTCTCAGCATCTTGGTATGAGAAGTGTGATGGCTGATTTGGATCAATGTTTGGCATCCCTGCTGTCCTTCCTTTGCAATCTGTTGTTAGTAATGCCTGTTCCTGTGGCCATGCTGGCTGATTTAGTCAGAGCCCTGTTTGAGGAATTGGCTATCTTGCTTCATTGTCTCCCTGTTCCTTGCACTGAATATGGTCTGAGAGTTTGCCAGAGCTGTCAACCCAAAGATTTACTGGGTTGTCTCGAGATGCTCAAATGAAGAAGAAAAAGGGCTCCCTGTGGGCCTCGCAGAAATGAGGCCGTGTGGTGGCCGGATGCTATTTCTCTTGATTTGAATAGTCTTCAGGATTTCGTTTTGCAGCTTTCAAAGAGAGTCTTCCTGTTGCACTTGCTTTCTGGTGATGATTGCGGAATTTCCCACAACTATATTTTTTCCACAGAGATCATTTATGAAAATGCCTTGTTTTCATAACATTGTGCAATACCAGTCAAACTGATCGGGTTCAAAATTTTGTTTAGACATTTTTCTGGTGGCTATCTCAGGAAGCATTCATTGTGTGAGGATGATGATGATGATTTTATTATTCCCTCATGCCTACGGGACCGCCTTTCCTGGTACAGTGGTACCTCGGGTTACATACGCTTCAGATTACAGACTCCGCTAACCCAGGAATCGTACCTCGGGTTAAGAACTTTGCTTCAGGATGAGAACAGAAATTGCGGGGCGGCGGCACAGCGGTAGCGGGAGGCCCCATTAGCTAATGTGGTACCTCAGGTTAAGAACAGTTTCAGGTTAAGAACGGACCTCCAGAATGAATTAAGTTCTTAACCTGAGGTACCACTGTATGTCCCACGGAGGACCTTATGGTCTTCAAATAAAAACACGTTGGAGATCCCGGGCCACAGGGAGGTTAGGCTGGCCTCGACCAGAGCCAGGGCTTTTTCGGCCATGGCCCCGATCTGGTGGAGCACTCTGTCACAAGAGACTAGGGCCCTGTGGGGCTTGACATCTTTCCACAGGGCCTGCAAGATGGAGCTGCTCCGCAAGGCCTTTGGCCAAGGCACAGTATGACCCCCTCTCTCCTTCTGTAATCCTCACAGAACGCTAACCCAATGGTTGATTCTGACTTGATTTTAGAATGTATTTTAATTAATTGACTGTGTGATTTTATGTACACTGTGCTATTTTCAATTGTTAGCCGATCTAAGCCTGGCTTTGGCCGGGGAGGGCAGGATACAAATAAAAAATTATTATTATTATTATTAATATCCCACCCATCTAGCTGGGTTTTCCCAGCCACCTTGGGCGGCTTACAGCATATATAAAAACATAATAAAACATCAAACATTGAAAGCTTCCAGAAACAGGGCTGCCTTCAGATGTCTTCTAAAAATAATAATAGTAATAATAATAATAATAATAATAATAATAATAATAATAAATTTATACCCCGCCCATCTGGCTGGGTTTCCCCAGCCACTCTAGGCGGCTTCCAATAAAACACTAAAATACAATAACCTATTAAACATTAAAAGCTTCCCTAAACAGGGCTGCCTTCAGATGTCTTCTTAAAGTTTGGTAGTTATTTTTCTCTTTGACATCTGTTCGGAGGGCGTTCCACAGGGCGGGTGCCACTACAGAGAAGGCCCTCTGCCTGGTTCCCTGTAACTTGGCTTCTCACAGTGAGGGAACCGCCAGAAGGCCCTCGGCGCTGGACCTCAGTGTCCAAGTATAGCTCTTTATCTCCTTCACATCCGAAGGGAGGGTGTTCCGCAGGGAGGGCGCCATTTTTGTGAACCACCTGCGGAGAAGGATGTAGTAGCCTGTGTTTGAATGGAATCTTTGGGAAGGGTATGCCATGAAAATCCACAAGGATCCCTTGCTGGGAATCATGGTGCTGACATTCTTTTTGCACTGCATGCTGCATGTACTGCATGCATTCTCTGCTGATTGGGACATAGAAAAACCATGGTTTTGCACAACAGCTGATTTGCAAGTGCCTTGTTGGGGGGGCATGTCAAAGAAGAGCTGCAGCGGGGAGGTTAGATCTTTGACTTTTGCAGGATTGTTAGTTCCCAGAGTTCCCTGAGAAGTGGGATTTATTGTTAAACCACTTTGGGGGTCTCCAAACACCTTTCAACACCCTTGGCAAACTACACTCCCCAGGAATTTTGGGGGGAAGCCACAAGTGTCAGAGGGCCTTCTCAGTAGAATCATAGAATCATAGAATCATAGAGTTGGAAGAGACCACAAGGGCCATCGAGTCCAACCCCCTGCCAAGCAGGAAACACCATCAGAGCACTCCTGACATATGGTTGTCAAGCCTCTGCTTAAAGACCTCCAAAGAAGGAGACTCCACCACACTCCTTGGCAGCAAATTCCACTGTCGAACAGCTCTTACTGTCAGGAAGTTCTTCCTAATGTTTAGGTGGAATCTTCTTTCTTGTAGTTTGGATCCATTGCTCCGTGTCCGCTTCTCTGGAGCAGCAGAAAACAACCTTTCTCCCTCCTCTATGTGACATCCTTTTATATATTTGAACATGGCTATCATATCACCCCTTAACCTCCTCTTCTCCAGGCTAAACATGCCCAGCTCCCTTAGCCGTTCCTCATAAGGCATCGTTTCCAGGCCTTTGACCATTTTGGTTGCCCTCCTCTGGACACGTTCCAGTTTGTCAATGTCCTTCTTGAACTGTGGTGCCCAGAACTGGACACAGTACTCCAGGTGAGGTCTGACCAGAGCAGAATACAGTGGCACTATTACTTCCCTTGATCTAGATGCTATACTCCTATTGATGCAGCCCAGAATTGCATTGGCTTTTTAGCTGCCGCGTCACACTGTTGGCTCATGTCAAGTTTGTGGTCAACCAAGACTCCTAGATCCTTTTCACATGTACTGCCCTCAAGCCAGGTGTCCCCCATCTTGTATTTGTGCCTCTCATTTTTTTGCCCAAGTGCAATACTTTACATTTCTCCCTGTTAAAATTCATCTTGTTTGTTTTGGCCCAGTTCTCTAATCTGTCAAGGTCATTTTGAAGTGTGATCCTGTCCTCTGGGGTGTTAGCCACCCCTCCCAGTTTGGTGTCATCTGCAAATTTGATCAGGATGCCCTTGTAGTGGCGCCCGCCCTGTGGAATGCCCTCCCATCAGATGTCAAGGAAATAAACAACTCTCTGACTTTTCGAAGACATCTGAAGGCAGCCCTGCTTAGGGAAGTTTTTAATGTTTGATGTTTTATTGTGCTTTTAATTTTCTGTTGGTATTATTATTATTATGGCACTTCCAAACTACAAACAGTGCAACCTCACTCAGTACAGATCAAATTACCTTGTCTGGAATAAGCTTTGATTAAAGGGAGTAACCTGCACTCCTCTGAGAGGAAGGTGGGCAGATATAAATTAAACAAGTAAATGAGTAAATAAAAATATTTGGTGTCCTCCTGGGATTGCTATCCTGCAGCAACCCCAGTAATTCCTGCAGATTATCCTGCATGGTTAGCTAGCAAGCCACACCCCTTAATATTGCTGTTACTTTAACAGCAACACCAATAGGCTTCCTTTCACTAAGAGAAGATCCAACCTTTGATCTTTCAAATTTAGTAACATCCCTTGTAATATCTGAAAGCATTCCTAGTTACGATAAAAATGCTTGATTTCTAGAACACAAAAACTTTCTGCTTATTTTTATCTCGTGTTTCTCTATAAGAAAATGTTACTGGAGCCATGGTAGAAATTCTGGTTAGATTGCATCTTTCTGATAACCCAAAATCTGCTCAACTCAATTGAGCATTCATTTTATAGTGTAGATTCATTTCCCTATATCTTAATTCACTTGATCACATTTCTCTATTAAAAAAGCATAGGCCCCACATCCAGGGATGGGAGAGAAATTTGCTTCAGTTCTTAATTAGAGGCAATCTAGCAAATGAACCGAACATTTGCGGTTACTTGAATTTTGTGACACCGTTCTCCGGCTGAATAATGTGTAAAAAAATGGATATGCTAAGTTATAAAGTTTGTGTATAAATGCATATATTAGTGAAGGTAACATGCAGAAATGTGTTAACTTTGGAGAACTTGCTTTGCAAAAAGTGAGCAACTTTTGCAAAACTGAATGCAAAATATGTGTATATTAGAAGAATTTTGAACTAAAATGCTGAAGAATTTTCATGAGGACTTTAAGGGCTATCCATTAGCTGTCCTTTAAAAGACACACTTCTCTGAACTTTACAGTGCAGTTCTCTAGCCAAGTAATGTGTTCCAAAATGTATATAGTAGGATAAAGTGTTCATACAAAGGAATACAAACATGCTTACTGGGAGAAGTTCAGACTAAAACATTAATTATATTTCATGAGGACTTCATTTTTTAAAAGCGATGTGCAAATGTTCCGGTCAGACTGCTCAGATCTACAGAAGTGGCAGTTTTACAAGTGCCGCGTAATGATCCTTCCACACTTGCAAGAAGTTGACCCTCTAGAGTGGCACCACCAACACTTTGAAACAACTTGCCCATCAATATTGAGCTGGCATCCTACCCAGGTGTGTTAATTTTTATATGTGATTTTAGCAAGTTTCAGTGTTATGAGGTTACTGGTTTTGTTTGATGTTTTTAAAATGTTTCTCATATACTCTGTGTGTGTGTTTATTAGGTATTTTTCATGACTATGTTAGACCGTCTACTGTAAACAGCTTAGAGGTCTTGTTCTAGTAAGCATTTTTTATATATATACACACACAGAGAGAGAGAGAGAGAGGGAGAGAGTTGTACCTTGGTTGATGAACTACTTATGAGTCAAGTGTTTTGGCTCCTGAACACCGCAAATCCGGAAGTGAGTGCAACGGTTTGCGAATGTTCTTTGGAACCCGAATGTCTGGCACGGCTTCTGCGACTTCTGTTTGGCTGCAGGACTTCTGATTCCTGCAGCCAATCGGAAACCACACCTTGGTTTCTGAACATTTTCAGAGTCGAACAGACTTCCAGAATGGATTCTGTTCTGCTTCCAAGGTACAACAGTATATATATATATATATATATATATATATATATATATATATGCAAGAAGGGGGAGATGCAAAACCAAGAGGAAGCCTATATTGACAGATTCACCCATCAGTGGTTCCAGTAACACAATAACTTCTTCTGTGATAGCTGATGCCATAACCCCATCCAGGTCCACCCTCCCCGCCCCCTGCCCAGCCCACACATCAAAGGAAGTTCAGCATTTTGTGGTCATTTAAGCATGCTCAATATTCATTCGGCTGCTCTTTTTTCTTTTCTTTTTTTTTGGGGGGGGGGCAGAAGAGGAACCTCTAAGCATGCTCTCATTTCTGAGCGGCTCCATTCTGGCTGCATAGCTAATATCAGCACCTCACTTCGCTAATAGCGGGAGTTATTGTTGATCATAACTCTCACCTTAGGGGAGCAATAAATCAATGGGAACTGTTGCTGTGCAAATGTATCAATGACAACTCTGTTAAAAGTTCTGTTCCACCAGATTAAAGGCCTTTCGGGCATGCAAAAGTAATAAGATAGCTGAATTATCTTCAGCTTGGTTGTATTAACAACTCTTATCACATCAGAGAATGGTTTTTTTGTTTTATAAAAATAAATAAATAACAAACCAGCAATCTTTTCTTGAGATGGATTTTTCTGATGCACAAGGTTACATGTAAAATTTGTATTATAATCTGCATCATTTTGTACAGATAATTATCATCCCAGTCTTTTCACTTTAGGTATAGTATTTAATTTCTCTCTCTCTCTCTCTCTCTCTCTCTGTGTCTCTCTCTTTCTCTCTTTGACATCCCCGTAATTTATCTGCCGTATTCCCAAGAATAGCTGTTTTGCAAAGTTCTGCTCTACTGCATGCACATTAAGATCATCTCATTTCTACCTTACCAGCTGCAACTGTCTATACTATTTCTCAGAGCAATTTAAATTAATGATCTCTTTTTCCTTCAAACAATGATAATTTATTCCAGTCTTCCTTGCTCTCACTATCTCCCCCACCCCATCTGTAGTCAAAGCAATCTTGTATCTGATCCCTCACATAGGGTTGGCATGCCAATTGTGGGACTAGTCATTCATTCTCAGCGGACTGGTCATTTGACCGCCTACTTCTGGTGCGGGGAACCTCAGGTCCGGGAGCCAAATGTGGCCTTGCAGACCTCAGGACTCTATACACAAGCCATGCCCCTTGCTGGATCTGCTCCATACCCCAAATATTTTTGCCTGGCTGGAATGTGTCCTTGAACTCCAACCATGCTTCTTGCTTGTCTGAATGGAGGATTCGGGAGGACTGTGTGAGTATGCATAGAACCTGGTCAGTGCTAGAAACTCAGATATATACCGTATTTTTTGCTCCATAAGACACACTTTTTTCTTCCTAAAAAGTAAGGGGAAATGTCTGTGCGTCTTATGGAGCGAATGCGTGGTCCCTGGAGCCGAATTGCCCAGGGGCAAAAAGCAGATCATGCTTCTTCTTTTTTGGAAAGAGGGAAGTGGGTGTTGAAACAAAGCCACCACTGATCGTTTGCTGATTGGGGAGAGAGATAAGGGATGCTAGAGATAAAGGAGGCTGCCTGGGAGGGGGAAGGTAAAGACAGCAAACTTGCAAGGCGGGGAAGGGGGACAGGAGGACTAAAGCAATAAGGAGAGAAATTAGAAGAAAAGGAGGAGCAAAAAACTGCTCCAGCTAAGGAAAAGACACTAAGGCAAACAAGAGGGAAGGGAGTGTTGAAAGGAAACAGCTGATCGGTGGGCCTGGGAGAGGGGAGGTAAAAGCCCATGGATCCTCAGGATTTTTACATTGGGCCACCCCAAATTCACCATCAGATCACATAGCATGTCCATGGCTACAGCCTGCACCAAAGAAATCATGCATCCACTGTTTCCTGGGAATGCAATGGTGCAAAAATGTGATTACAAAGCACGGATCCACATGGATCCTCAGGATTTTTGCATTGGGTCACCCCAAATTCACCATCAGATCACATAGCATGTCCATGGCTACAGCCTGCACCAAAAAAAAATCACGCACCCAATGTTGTATGGGGCCGCAATGGCACAAAAACATGGTTACAAAGCACCGATCCACATGGATCCTCAGGATAATGCATTGGATCACCTCAAATTCACCATCAGATTACATGTCTGTGGCCACAGCATGAACCACAAAAATCATACATCCACTGTTTCAGAATATTTTTGTTCTTGTTTTCCTCCTTTAAAAACTAAGTGCGTCTTATGGTCGGGTGCGTCTTATGGAGCAAATAATACGGTGATCTAATCGCCAAATGGCACCTTAAACCTAGGCTGCAGACACCATAATGGAATGTCTAGGAGCTGTTCCTGCCCCCCATTGGATTTGTTGTGGCTGTTATTCATTCCATTTCTATACCACTGTATATTTTAAAGAACAAATCTCAAAGAACATTAAATAATCAGATAAAACAATCCAGAATAAAACTAATGCAAGCTTCAAGGGAAATATTTCAAATCCTTCCCAAAGGGACATTTTGCTTTCCCCAGTCGCCATCCTGGTATCCAGAGATCTCCACATGGTTGCAATTGGACTAGCACAGTCACAAAACGTGCCTGGCCCCTGGCTAACTTCGTACACTGAACCCCCATCTTTCAGCCCAGACACTGAGGTCCAGCGATGAGGACCTTCTGGCGGTTCTCTCACTGTGAGAAGTGAAGTTACAGCGAACCAGGCAGAGAGCCTTCTCAGTAGTGGTGCCCATCCTGTGGAACGCCCTCCCACCAGATGTCAAAGAAATAAACAACTATTTGACTTTTAGAAGACATCTGAAGGCCGTCCTGTTTAGGGAAGCTTTTAATATTTGATGAATTGTTGTTTTTTAATATTTTGCTGGAAGCCAACCAGAGTGGCTGGTGAAACCCAGCCAGATGGGCGGGGTATTAATAATAATAATAATAATAATAATAATAATACAAACGCCGGCTCCCTTGGCCTATAGAGAGAGATGAGTGTGCAATCCCAGAGTCCTCCATGACTGGAACTAACAGAGGTACCTTTACCTTTACCCATTCTGTGGCTTCAATAAGCAACTCCCAAGCAGGCAGAAATACACAATTTTTTATTTTATTTTTTCTTTACAGGATAGAGATGCAGCAAGAGAGGAAACTTCACCTCTATCTTTTTACTTATTACACATATTATTTCTCCACCCACTTTTGCCTCTGACCCCACCCCCGACTGAGAAGGTTGCTCAGAAGAGAATGTTGCTCTTGAGCTGAAAAAGGTTTTCCACCTCTGGCCTGCTGTGCCACATATTCCATGAAACCAAGAAAGCCCCTGTGTATGGGGCAGCTTATCTTTTTAATGTCATTGTCATATCATTTGTTAGCAAGTGGAAGAGCAAGGGCTGCCTGCCTCCTAGTCCTGTAGCCGTCAGGGACAAACCCAGAAACAGTTTATTATTCATTTATTACATTTTATGTCCCACCCTCCACAAAGTGGTATACGTGGTTCTTCTCCCCCCCCACCCCCAGTATTGTATCTTCTAAGCAACCCTGCAAAGCATCAAACCTGAGAGGCCAAGGTTCAAATCCCCACTTGGGCTCAAAGCTCAGCCTTGGGCTAGCCAGTGTTTCTCAGTCTAACTTACCTCACATGGTTGTTGTGCAGATAAACTTGGGTGATGCATGTCTACTTCCTTGAGCTCCTTGGGAGGAAATAAATGCAATAAATAAACAAAACAAAACATTTGACTGGTCAGCTGAGCAAATCTCTCAATCTCTCTCTCTCTCTTTCTCTCTTAACCCATTAACCTCTGACAGGCATTTAGTAAGTATCTGCATCACTCAAATATGAACATCCTGGATTAAATTTACATCAAGGAAAAAGCCACTCTCATCCACTCTCACTTATAATTTCAGCGAGCCTTCCCTTTGGAACAGCATCTGGAGTGTTTTGTGAGCCAGGATTGTAAATTAGACTCTTAGGCCGGAATCCAAAGAGCTACTTCTGGGCTCCCCTAAAAGGATTTGGACGTGCCCAGTGGGATTTAAAACTTCATGTCTTTAAGCAGCAAATACCCATAATGGGTGAAGAAATAGCTTTTGATGTTCTTCTTTGCAGGGCTGGCCCACCCTCACTTGAGGCAAGTTGAGGCAACTGCCTCAGGCGGCAGGATCCACTGGGGCAGCAGACCCCAATGTCAGTCTCTCCCTGCTCCCTGGTTCCTGGTGTAGATCTTCCCTCACCTTTTCTTCCCTGTGGGCAGGATGCCATTTTCAGATCTACCTTGGGTCCAAAATGTCTTGGGCCGGCCCTGCCTCTTTGTTTCAAAGAAGCAGTGGTTTTAGGCAGTGGTTTCTCTCAGGCCTACATGGATATGCTAAGGACTGAACATAGGATCCTCTGCATGCAGAGCTGTGGTTTGCCACTCAGTAATAGTCCTTCTGAAAGTCCTGATGTCAGGTGTAAGGCAGGTGGGCGTGACTTGCCTGAAACAACCTCTCGGGCCAAATGGTGAGGACCAAATGTCGCCTGAGAGCTGGAGTTTACCCACCCTTCCTGTACTAGATTTGATGGTGCTTTTATATACGACATTGTTTCATATATGTTTTACTGTATTGTGAAATCTGAGGAACCAATTCGTAGGAACCAATTCATAAATTAGTACAGTCGTACCTTGGTTCTCAAACAGAATGCATTCTGGGAGTCCTTTCAATTCCTGGAACCATTTAAAAACCAAAGCACGGCTTCTGATTGGCAGCAGGAGCATCCTGCAGCCAATTGGAAGCAGCGCCGGATGTTTGGCTTCCAAAAATCGTTTGAAAACTGGAACACTCACTTCCGGGTTTTGATCATTCGGGAGTTGATTTGTTTGGGAGCCAAGGCATTCGGCTTCCAAGGTGCCACTGTAATAATAATAATTAATGGAATAAAATTTCAAAGAATTACTGTGAGTTGCTGAAGACACACTTGTTTACTTTGGCCTTTGAAAATTGATCCTGGTTTCCTTCCTGTATTGTGTTGTATGGATTGTTCATTTTGGCATTATGGATGGGGTGGGAAATTTTTACTGCTTTAGTTGTGTCCTTTATATGATGTAACTCACCCTTGGATCTCGGACTGAAGGGCAAGTAAGAAGTACTACTACTGCTAACAAATGCTACGAATGCTGTGAGAATCCTATTTATGCCAATGATTGGACAGCAAGAACCTTGCCTGAGAAAAGAAAAGCAGCGCATGGAGACATTCAGGGTCTTGTGAGCAATTGCCAAAATTGAAGGGCAAACAAAAACCAGAGGAGGCCCAAATAGACAGGTGGATTTTCTGTGGGAATGCACTGCATGGAGCTCGGGGGGGGGGGGGGTAAAAGAAGCATTGAGAGTGAAATTTCTCCAGCAGATTTCTCTCCCTACCCCCATCACTCATCTTGATAACCTCACCTGAACAGCAACAAACACACCAGAAGCTTACCAGTGTGTGTGTGTCTATCCAGAGAAGGGCAAATATTGTCCACATTTAACAGCTTTCCCTTCTCTCTCTCTCTCTCTCTCTCTCTTCACAACCAGCTTCTAAAACAAGCTTAGATAGTTGTGAGCTGAGATAAACACATCCCTTTAGCCAGCACTTGCCTCCAGCACTGTCCAATGAGCCGTGCAAAAGCTGATCTTCAGTGTGACGGGCCAAACAGCAAAGCTTTTCATCTTCCCAAGGCTTGTGAGGTGGGAATGCATGTCACGGGGCTCTGCTTACTCAGAGATGCTCCGATGGGTCCTAATGGTATTGGGTGTCTCCACATGTGTCAGTATTTTGTGGGAGGGATTCAAGTTTATACTAGGCAATTTAGATTTGTACAGTTAAGGTGGATCAAAGTGCTTCTTTTTTTTTTTTTAAGTCCACTTTAAAAGCAGACAGACTTTCTGCAGTTAGGAAAGTGACAGGGAAATGCTTTGAAACAGGTGGGATAACTAATGGGAAAATGAATAAACCCCCTGCAGGCAAATAAGAATGAACGCTCTTTGTTGTACAACCTCCCCGCTAACAAATTAGAACAAATGCTCACTAAAGAACGCCAGTAGCTCTGTGGCAAAGCATCTACTTTGCGTGCTGAAGGTCCCAAGTTCAATCCCAGGCATCTCCAGGTGGGGCTGGGAGAGAATATTCTTTGAAATCCTGTAGAGCCACTGCCAATTGGTGTAGACCATAAGTCTTCAGTCAGTTGGTTGGGACACATAAGCGGGTAGCAAAGCTACAGCAGGTGGGTTGCAGTGCAGTTTTTGCTGCCATCTTGGATTCCAGCTAAAGCTGATTAGACCAAAGGAGAAGAACTACACGTGATGTCTGGGTTATGACGTGTTCTGGTGAAACACTAATTTTATCGTTTTCCCTGAGTGCTGCAATATGGCAGGAGAAAGGCATGGGCCTTTTAAAAAATAAAATGCTTATTTCTGGCCAACCACATGCCCCACATTCCTGTGTCGATGCCTCACTAAAGGCACAGCTCCATATGTAGCAAGGGCACTCTGTTCACTTTCTAGTCTATTTCTATGGCTTTAAAGACTTCTTCTAGAAGGCAAAACCACTGGTTTCCAGTAGCATTTCACCCTGTCTGCTAAGTGTAAGACTGCTCCTTTTGGTTTAGTAGTAATGCCTAAGGTACACTGCTCTGTGAATTGCCGTTTTAGGATTAACAGTGTGCCTTATTAGCATTATTACCGTACTTTTCAGTGTATAAGACGAGGCTTTTTTCTTTTAAAATTATGTTAAAAATTGGGGGTCGTCTTACACATGGATAGTGCATGGGGGGGTGTGGGATTGGTTGCTGTCACGAGCTGGAGATTGTCAGTGGCTATTGGGCATGTTATTGGGGCTGATGTTGATTGGCTGTCACTGCGGCAATTGGGTGGGCGATTGGTGTCTTCTGTCGGCGAGGGGACATATGATACGATCTGCCCTTAAAAAAGCTGAACAGCTCTGTGTCCCACCCACCCCCCAAAGCTCAACAACTCTGGGCAATCTCCCGCCATTTTCTAAATTTGGAGTCCCCCAAAATGGGGGGATGTTATACACAGAAAAATACGGTAAGTATAAACTGAAATGAAAAATGTGAAAAGGGAGTCCCACTTTGTAGATTGTGAGTCAGAGGTGCATCTTGAGAATGGACCAGTTGGAGACGACTGGCATAGACAAGAGTAAGCTGCATGCACAAATGGTCTGACTCAATGCCAAGCATCAATGCCAGGACAGATATGGGCAGACCTCACTAAAGTTTTGTGGAAGAAAAGCAGGCTGAACACACACACACACACACACACACACACACACCCCTTACTTCAGAGGGAAGGAGGGAGGGCTGGATCAGTAAGAATCTCCCTGTGCAAATACAAACCGAATATCTTTCTGCAGGCTGCCGCAGCTAATTATATTTAATTCAAAGAGGCGAACAAAAGGCAACAGAGAGGGCACGGATCCTCAGCAGACACGGCTGGGGCAGGGGGAGCCGGGAGCCCTTTGATCATTATACTTGGAGTGTGTAGGCTGCAGCCCACTTCTTCGAGTACACAAAGGGCTTTTGTCTGCACGTCGATGTCAAGTGCGTGTGTGTGTACACATGCTTGCTGGTACCACGGGTCACTATCGTCAGGCGCAGTGAAGGGGTGGTGACAGTGGACAACTTCCAAAGCAGGAATTCCCTCCCACCCCCACCCCCCAGGGCTTTATTTTTTCCACAGAATGTGCCCCCCACCAATACACACACATTTCATTTATTTCCACAACAGTTAATTGATGTTTTCCAAAAAAAACCCCACCTTGTTTAATGGTTTTTATTGTATGGTTTTATGTTCCTACTAGTGGGGGGGAAACCCTGCTCTGACAAATCTTTTATGACACAGTGGTATACAAATATATTTACAAATAAATCGATAGGAACAAGGTGGGTATAGGATTGAGGCTTATGACTGCAGTCACAGAATTCATTTAAAACACCTAAAGCACTACCGTACTTTTCCATGTATAAGATGAGGTTTTCTTTATTTAGAAATAAGGTAAAAAAATTGGGGTCATCTTATACACGGGATAGTCCATAGGGGACACGTGTGATTGGCTGCTGCCACGAGCCGGAGATTGTCAGTGGCTATTGGGCGTGTTATTGGTGGCTGCGTCAAGGGCTGGTGTTGATTGGCTGTTGCTGCGGTAATTTGGTGGGTGATTGGCTGCTTCTGCCGACGAGTGGCCAGATGATAAGCGGCTATTGCGATGCGTGCTAGTGGCAGCGCAGGTCAAGTGGATGAGCGAATTTCTGCATTCCCCCCTAAAAAAGCTCAACAACTCTGGGCAGTCTCCCCCCATTTTCTTAATCTGGAGTGCCCAAAAATGGGGGGCATCTTATACATGGGGGAGTGTTATACATGGAAAAATATGGTACTTTAAACAGTCATGGCTTCCTCCAAAGAATTCTGGGAACTGTAGTTAGTTACGGGTGCTGAGAGCTGTTAGGAGACCTCTATTCCCCCCACACAACTACAGTTCCCAGAGTTCCCTGTGAAGAGGGATTGATTGCTAATGCACTCTTGAGAGTTGTGGCGCTGTGAGGGGACAAGGGGTGTCCCAATAACTCTCCTAAACTACAGCTCCCAGAATTCTTTGGCATAAATCGTGAGTGTTTAAAGTGGTATCATAGTGCTTTAAATATATAGTGTGGAGGTAGCCTTAGAAGAGGAACACATTTTCTCTCACAGAGCATAGAATACCTCTTCTGATGTGGTGCCTGTTACCAGTAGTAGTAGTAGTAGTTTTTAAATATATGTTATAGCTTGTGAAATTTAAAGGATGTGGTTAAAAAAAAAATCCCCACCTCCACTGACAAGATTAATTAGAGCATAAATTGTAATTACCTTAATCAAGTAATTGGTTTTAAACTTTGCCATAGCCAACTGTTGTGGGAAGTGCTGTGGGATTGCTGAGGCGAGAGTGGGAGGTTTGCCAGCCCAGCATAGGCTGTGGCGCAGCACAAAATGGCTGACGTGTGTATGTGTGAGACGTACCACAAAATGGCTACCACATGGCAGAACCACAAAACGATGTGGGCTTGCTTTAGGGGCACGTGTTCAATGCGGGAGAGGCTGAACCAGTGCAGATGGGAGCTAAGAAGAGCATTCAGTCTCTTGTGCACCCTGGATTTCTGAGGGGATATCGAAAGAGACTGTTTGCTTGCACCATAGGAGGTGCTAGTAGACACACTGATGCTATGTTGGCAGCCCTTGCACAACTCCCATTGGCCATGCTGGCTGGGGCTGATAGGAGTTGTAATCCAACATTGGAGAGCCACAGGTGCCCTGTCCCTGAGCAAAGGGTCACAGGTAGCAGGGCTCAGAAAGTCCTTGGAGATCTACTTGCCTGTCATGAATAGATAAAAATGGACCTCAGTGTATAACATAGCTTCATATGTTCAACTTGAGGCCTCAAGGTGAAAGAGGGGAGCATCCTTGCTGCTTGCTTGTCTAGGACCCGTTGCATTAATGCATGAGCACATTAGTATTCATGCATGAAAAAACGTCACCTGCAAGTTAAGGGAAGCTTAATTGTCAGCGGCTTAAGTGCAGTTACTAAAGAAAGCGATAATCAGGAAATATAGACACCTTAATTTAAATCAAATTAAGCAGTCCGTTTGCATCTTCCTGCTGGGAGGGTCTTTCCAGCATAAGGCAAGGGTGACTTCCACTCATGACCATTTAGTACAATATTATAAATGCTGACTGGCAGCAAGCTCCATACCCTCCCAACATTTCTCCCACGAAAACAGTGATCTCCTATTCCATAATAACAATAGTAATTAATTTATTTATAACCTGCCTATCTGACTGGATTGCCCCAGCCACTCTAGGTGGCTTCTGGCTCAGGAGTCACAGAAGCTCACCAGGGTTTTCCCAGTCTTACCTGGAGATACCAGGCATTGAACCAGGGACCTTCTGAATGCAAAACAGGAGCTTCACCTCTCCTCTCTTGCATGAAGCGGTCAAGAGCCAAGGGAGAAGCAGAGCGCTCGTGCTTGCTTAAAGCATAGGTAAAGGTAAAGGTACCCCTGCCCGTACGGGCCAGTTGTGTCCGACTCTAGGGTTGTGCGCCCATCTCACTTAAGAGGCCGGGGGCCAGCGCTGTCCGGAGACACTTCCGGGTCACGTGGCCAGCATGACGAAGCTGCTCTGGCGAGCCAGCACCAGCGCAGCACACGGAAACACCGTTTACCTTCCCGCTATAAAGCGGTACCTATTTATCTACTTGCACTTGGGGGTGCTTTCAAACTGCTAGGTGGGCAGGAGCTGGGACTGAAAGACGGGAGCTCACCCCGCCGCGGGGATTCGAACCGCCGACCATGCGATCGGCAAGTCCTAGGCACTGAGGTTTTACCCACAGCGCCACCCGCGTCCCTGCTTAAAGCATAGTTTATATTAAAAGATCGTTTAACGCCATGTACGAACCAGCTGTATGACACCCCGTTGCAAAAATGATAGTGCAAATAAAAACAATTAACTGGTAATCGCCCTGCGGAAACAGAGGGATTATTATCAGTAGCCAGCATAGATTTATTAAGAACAAATCATGCCAGACAAACCTAATTTCCTGCTTTGAGAAAACTGGTTTGCAGCATGTATACAAGCGTGGACTCTCCGTTTGCTTGGGTGACAATGAAGCCCCCAGCCTTTTAATTGTGTCATAATAACAGCAATATCCAAAGTATTTTTGCATCAGCATAATATATTTAGCAGGGACGCGGGTGGCGCTGTGGGTAAACCATTGAGCCTAGGACTTGCCGATCAGAAGGTCAGCGGTTCGAATCCCCACAACAGGGTGAGCTCCCGTTGCTTGGTCCCTGCTCCTGCCAACCTAGCAGTTCAAAAGCACATCAAAGTGCAAGTAGATAAATAGGTACCGTTCCGGCGGGAAGGTGAACGGTGTTTCCGTGCGCTGCTCTGGTTCACCAGAAGCTGCTTAGTCATGCTGGCCACATGACCCGGAAACTGTACGCCGGCTCCCTCGGCCAATAAAGCGAGATGAGCGCCGCAACCCCAGAGTTGGTCACAACTGGACCTAATGGTCAGGGGTCCCTTTACCTTTACCTTAATATATTTAGCTGGGGCATTGACTAACAGGGACTCAAAAGAGTGGTGAAGGGTGAGCATGTTTTGCCTGATCTCCTCCTATTTTCTTCGGGGTGTCACAGAGAGGTTTGGCCAAAAGCAGAATTCTGGTCAGTTTCACCCCGTCAATTCTTGCTGGAGGTTCCTGAACATCACCTCCTCTATAAAGGCTGACAAAGGGAAGCATATATCAGCCAGATTAGAACATCGAACTGTTACTCTTTGTTTATTTCCAAGTGCTCAGTTAAACTAGTTCTCAGCGTGGGTCACAATGTATTAAAAATAAGCTAAGGGGCATCTGAATATTGTGATGTACATTCAGAGTTTCACAGAATGCACAACAGAATGCACAACAGTGGCATCTAGTGTACTGAATGAAGTGATCATATGCAGATGTAATAAATGCGTTTACAAAACATTAGTGAAAAGTGGTAAAGCTGAGAGAGTTCACGTCAGTATGAAAGTAGAATTATAAAACTGATTTGCTCATCCCTAGCAGCAATCCCAGATTGTGAAGTTGGATAAACTCAAAGAAGCCAAACCAAGTCAATTAATGAATATCAGTCCCAGCCTCCTGTCATAAGAACTGACGATCTTTGTTTCAGCTTCAGCTTTCATCATCTTACCAACCTGCAGACCTCCAGATGGCCTGGACCAGCCTTTCTCAACCTGTGGGTCCCCAGATGTTGTTGAACTACAACTCCCATCACCCCTAGCTAGCAAGGCTCAGGGATGATGGGTGTTGTAGTCCAACAACATTTGGGGACCCACAGGTTGAGGTCCTGGACTGTGATTCCAATCAGCCCCCACTAGCACGTCCAATGGTCAGGGGTGATAGCAGTTGTAGTCCAAAACATCTGGAGGACACTAGGTTGGGGAAGGCTGCTTTAGAACTGGAACCAAGACTGTGACACTGATGTTTCAGGAGGAAAGCAATGTATCAGCACAGGAATGGTAACTCATTTCAAATCATATCATTTTGCTCAACAGCCTCATGTATACATTGAACAGGACTGGGTAAGGGCTGGGCTTGCATATCATCATGTTCTATCTCTTCTTAGTGAACTTCCTTCCTGTTAGATTGCTGGGCTCCGGTGAGGCAGCTTGAGGGTTAATGCCACCCCTGTTGAGCAGAGTTTTTGGAGGCTGAGACTGCACATGGCATCTCTTTGGTGGCTCCAGAAGGTTTGTTGCTTTGGAAATGTCAGTTCCAGTGCAGTTTAATTAAATGAAATCCCCCACCGAGCCCAAGGCATATGGCAAATGAAATAGCACAGCTCAAGGATAATAGTCCATTGGGGTGCAATTAATCTCAAGGTTGCTCTGGTGCTGAGCAGTAGCGATAGCATGGACATGGAATAACAAATGGACTTGGAGTTTTAGACAAAGTGGCTGGTTGACTGTATTGCAGCATCAAGGGCTTTGACTGGCAGAAGCTTGGGGTTTCAGACAGGCGTCTTTTTCGGCTATCCCTGGGCATGCCAGGAACTGGGCCTTGTACAGTTTAGCATGCAAAACATGAGCTGCTGCTCTTCCATCAAAGGCCTATGTATGCCTGTTATGCAAAGGCAGGCTTATGACTTGAGAATCACACAGGTTAGGTAAACTGTAGAGCAGTACCAGGGAGTCAACATGCTGTTGGGCTGCAACTCCCATAATTCCTAATCATTGGCCATGCTGGCTGGGCTGCTGGGAGTTGAAGTCCAGCAACATCTGGAGGGCAAACACTAGGTTCCTTAACCCTATAGTAGAGATGTCCGCATCTTCTTTCTCTGCTGCTCATCTGTAGTAGCATTGTTCTTGGAGTACTCTCATATATACGAGAACAGAGTCCTGCAATTTGAGGGTTTCCTTTATCTGACAGGAGGCCTTTTTCAATTAGGAGAAGGGAATCTTTGTGTCCAACCCATAATGTAGAAAGTCCATATGCCATGGATCTAGCATTTCCTCTAACATCCCCCCCCCCATAGGCTCCATTCATGTAGGTTGCTTCCAGTCTTCAAACATTGAGAACTGGTGTGATGGGAAATCAAATTATGGAAATGCATTGGCAAAGCATCCCAGCAGTGAACAACTGTTTTAAAAGTCCCTTGGTTTCTGTTTCTGTAGTTTACAACTCTCCCCTGTTCCCACTGCCAATACTATGTTATCTCAGGACTCTGCTAATTATTGTTTATATGGCCATTTTGTACTGTCGTAAGCAGAAACTGAAGCTGTTTGGTTGCAGTAATGGCTTTGATCTAGCAGAACACTTATGTACACACACACACACACACACACACACACACACCTCTTAACTTCAGAGCTTTTTGCATTCTTTCAATCTGTGGTTTGAGCTGAGCTTCTGCCTGCCTGGGCAACTCATTAGACAGGTGTAGAAGCCACTGTATCGCACACTCACTCACATCTGTCTTGACCTTCCGTCTTCATACTGGTACCAATGATTTACACCAAGCAGAACTGCTAAGCTTCTCCTCTCTGGAGCATTTAGCAATCAGCTGTCAACTTGCAGGGACCTGAAATGCCTTCAAAGCACAGAAACTAGCTAACTGCTAGTTTATGAAATTGTGAATTACGAAGTTGTAAGCTCCGGGTTTATTTCAACATCCTTAAACAATGAGAGGCAGACTTCAGGCCTTGCAGGTTTTGCTCCCCCCACCCTAGAATTTCAAGTTCTATCAATCAAAGCCAGCTGCACAATAGTTGCTTGAGGGATGAGAGAGAAAGAAAGAAGGATGAGAGAATTACAGAATGGTGTCTATGAGAACTCATGTTCAACACAGGAGTTAGTTTTCAGTCCCATAACCAAGCTTATAGTTCTCTTTTACAGAAATCCACTCCTGTTTTTCCCCTCCATGTTTTTTTCCAGCAGGCTAATTTAGGAAAGAGGGTGGAAGCTTTTTATCATTGCTGCTGTTAAACAACTGAGGGTCAGAAGCTCTTGACTATGTACTGCAAACTACACAGAGCTGTACCAGGAGATTCTGATCCACTTTCTACTCTCTCCTGTCCTAAAGGCTGTATTAAGCTTGTCCCAGTGTGTGGTCTAAAGGACAATGACACAGCCGTCTTGCTGAAGCTAAGCAGGTCTGATCAACACCTCAGTGGGAACCCCACAGACATCCACTATGGGAAAAAGGCAAGATATAAATGTAAACATTGATAGACTAAGGCCACAGTCACATCATACATTTAAAGCACTATGATGCCACTTTTAAAAAATCATGACTTCCCCTAAAGAATTCTGGAAGCTGCAGTTTGTTCAGAGTGCTGAGAGTTGGGAGGCCCCTATTCGCTTCTCAGAGTTACAGTTCCCAGGGTAGTTTAGCAATCAATCCCTGTTCCCAGGGAACTCTGGGAATTGTAGCTGTGAAGGGAATATGGGTCTCCTAACAGTTTTTAGCACCCTTAACAACTACAGTTCCCAGGATTCTTTGGGGGAAGCTGCAACTGCTCAAAGTGGTATCAGAGTGCTTTAAAATGCATGGTGTGATTGTGGCTCAACTGAGCAATGATTCTTCCAAAGACAAACAATGTAACCAAGTAGATCAGATTCGTTTATTTGTATCTAGCTATCAGACCATCGGTAAACAAAAGTTTGTAACAGGATGGTGGTGATACAAGGTGACATCTGTGGATCATCAACAGTGAGTCCTAATACAAGCCCACCAGTAGAAAGCTGTGTATCAAAGGAAGTCTGCAGTCAGGAGCTGCTAGAATCTGTGGAGTTGAACTGTTTGACGAACCTTTGAACTGCAGGAAACAGCTTCTCAGTGAAGTGTTGTCAGGTCATGGACCTACCAGACCTCCTGGGTCCTTCTGGACAGGAAGGAGCATTAAGAGGGCTTCCTGTTTTAATTTAGCCTCACCTGAGCAACAAGGCCTTCCTGATTTCTGGTGTGTGGCGGTGTCCTTGATTCTGACTTAATGGCTCCACACCAATGGTTTGGGTAGTTGACAGGCCCAATCTACTGTGCTCTAGGTCAGGGTCATGGATGCTTTTCAGCAATGGGCAACAGTGCCATTTTTTAAGGGGAGCCAAGTTCAGCTCCCATCCTTGGTGACTGTCCGCCATCTTAAGTTACTCAACGTGTAATGCCCCGGCCCACAGAACTTTGAAATGTATTGATTTTATAGTTCCATTGTCCAGGTAGGACTATACCTGACCTGGTTGGGAAGCGGGCAGAACAAACACCATGGCGAGGGCCTCCTGAAGCTTAGTGCTGGCCTTGTCTGGCATGCACCTTGACCTTACCTTGCTGTTTTCCCCTTTGGTGCTGACTTAGCTCTTCATTCCTGACTCTGGGCTCAGCCCTGACACAGGCAGTCGATGTGAAATCTGGAAGGCAGATAGCAGATACATTGCTCTCTAGTGGCAGCCTAGACTTTAGAAAGGATAAGTGACCTGGATGCTGTTATCAGACAAACATAGCGCTTGGCCATATCCAGCAATGGTGCAAAGGACTTCTGTGGGCTCCTATCCTATCTACTCCAGGATGCCCCCCATTACACCATCAAAATCATGTCTGGAGGGTTTGGGGACCCTCTGCAGCAGTTTTGGGGGTTGCACAGGGAGGTGAGGAAACGGAAGTCTCATTGTGCCAGCAGAACCCAGTTGGCACTGCAGTGGATGCAATCCTTAATTTTCTGTATATTACTAGTTCTTCTGATACTTCTTAAAATTATTGCCCATAAACAGAAAGGGGATCCTTGGGTCCCTGTCATCGGTTCATCACAGCCCACTGCATTAAGCCACTTTGACAACCAGAATCTTCCATGTACCCTCCCTCCCTCCCCTCTAACCCAACCATCCTCTGGAGAGCAGCTTGACAAGTGGCCATAAATCACTGGTGCAGGCGGCTTCACCTTCCAGATTAGGCTAATTAGGTTCCTAATGGCCCTATTGAACACAGACCTCCATGCCAGATGCCCCCACCCTCTCCACAGCCATTCAGAGCTTTGGAATAAAACTCTTTAATGTAATTTTCAACTTGCTTTTCCTTGTATGATGGGAGCAGATACAACCCACAGACCTGCAATGGTACCCAGCTTAGGAAATAGACAGTTTTGTCTCTGCCATCATAAAATAGTATAGAGTTGGTGCATTGACTAGATCCCAGGTTTTTTTTATTATTATTAAAATATATTATTGTACCTAGGGTTGCCTGGTCAGGAGCACCTGAGACCTTGAGATTTCAGGACCCAAACCTGAGACCTGGGGTGGCCTCTGGTGACTTGTTTTGCCTGAAGCATCTCTTCCCTGGTGGACCTCAAAAACATCTTGCTTGTGTTGGAGGCCTTGCTTGTCGTTGCCCCACCTTCTCAAGTGAAGCAGGTGGCAACCTTTCAGTCCTGGCACCTTGTCTTTGAAAATCCTCCCTTCTGTCCATCTGTCAGGCTTCTTTTCTGTTGCTTTTCTTTTCTTTTCCTTGTAGCTCAAGGTGGCCTTGCATATTTCTCCCCCTCCACCTTTTATCCTCACAACAATCCTGTGAGGTGGGTTAGGCTGAGAGACGTTGACTGGTCCCAGGCCATCCAGTGAGCTACCAGGCTGAATTAGGGAGTCTGGGGTTTGGTGTGTGATACTGAACTAGAATTGAGTTTTTGTTCTTGATTTGCTTGCTCGTTTTATATTGATGGTTTTATCATATTGTTAGCTGGCTTGGAAATCCATTCAATTAAGAAGCAGGGTAGGTTGTAGAGGCAATGCAATGTGAGTTAAACCACAGAGCCTAGGACTTGCCAATCAGAAGGTCGGCGGTTCGAATCCCCGCAACGGGGTGAGCTCCCATTGCTCGGACCCTGCTCCTGCCAACCTAGCAGTTCGAAAGCACGTCAAAGTGCTAGTAGATAAATAGGTACTGTTCCGGCGGGAAGGTAGACAGCATTTCCGTGCGCTGCTCTGGTTCACCAGAAGCAGCTTAGTCATGCTGGCCACATGACCCAGAAGCTGTATGCCGGCTCCCTCAGCCAATAAAGCGAGATGAGCGCCACAACCCCAGAGTCAGCCATGACTGAACCTAATGGTCAGGGGTCCCTTTACCTTTACCTTAGCTGGCTTGGAAATCCATTCAATTAAGAAGCAGGGTAGGTTGTAGAGGCAATGGAATGTGATAAATTTTGGGTTTTGACGTATTCATCTTTTATGGATAATAAAGGTCAGCCCTCTAGTTCTTCCTTTGTAATGTTCTTCCTCTGTAATGAAGGACTAGAGAATTGGACTTCAGTTATTTATTTAATTACATTTGTGAGTACAGTGGTACCTCGGGTTAAGAACTTAATTCGTTCTGGAGGTCCGTTCTTAATCTGAAACTGTTCTTAACCTGAAGCACCACTTTAGCTAATGGAGCCTCCCACTGCCACCGCATCGCCACCGTGCGATTTCTGTTCTCATCCTGAAGCAAAGTTCTTAACCCAAGGTACTGTTTCTGGGTTAGTGGAATCTGTAACCTGAAGTGTCTGTAACCCAAGGTACCACTGTATTATGTTGTGTGACATTTGGTCCTGACCACACCCCTTCAGTACACATCATTGCTGCATCACACTGTTGACTCACGTTAAGCCTGTGGTCTACTAAGACTCCGAGATTCTTTTCACGTGTACTACCGGCAAGACAGGTGTCCCTCATCTTATATTTTTGCAGCTGCTTCTTCCTGCCTAAGTGCAGAACCTTACATTTGTCATGACTGAAATTCATTTGGCCATATCCCCTGTTGCTTTCTGAAGCCGTTTGCTAAGGGGGGGGCGGGGTTTCCACAAGAGATACAAAGTATTAGCTCCCTATTTCCTTCCCTTCCTCCCCATGTAATTGGAGTGCTTCCCTCATCTTTTGATCTTGCTTACCCTTTTATATCTTTCCTGTGCTCACACCTCCTTTCAGACCGTGATTATTCCTAATGAATCCTCTTGCGCTGTGATGTATTTGCTCGACACTGGCCAATGAATCACTCCAACATCTCTGTCTGTAACTAATAGTCTGTGGGATTTCTCATTAATTATGTGCCTGTAACTTTGCTACTTTTTTTGGTGTGTGTATGTGGTAGGGGCATGTTCTGAGAAATGCCGCAGAATGAGTAAGTCTCTGCTCTGTCCTCACCCTTCCCCTCTCACTCTCTTACAGATCGCAGCCCTGGAGAGGCAAATATTCGACTTTCTGGGTTACCAGTGGGTGCCCATCCTGGCTAATTTTTTACACATCATGGCTGTCATCCTGGGCGTCTTTGGCACCATTCAGTACAGATCCAAATACCTCATACTGGTAAGTACAATGGATAGCCAGGAATAGCCATTTTGGAACCCACTCCCACTGATGTTGTTTGGACTTCCAACAGCCCCAGCAACAAGGATGGGGAATATGTGGCGCTACAGGTGTTACATACGTTTTATGAAATAAATATATAATCTCCTGACTGTAAAAAAAAAGAAAGCAACAACCTCAGAGTGGTTTGGACTCCAGTTCCCAGAAAGTTGAGGAATCAAAAGTTGGGATTGCAGTTTTCACTATTCAAGTGGAAGTACTGTATTTTTCGCTCTATAAAATGCACCGGACCATAAGATGCACCTATTTTTTGGAGGAGGAAAACAAGAAAAAAAATATTCTGAATCCCAGAAGCCAGAACAGCAAGAGGGATCGCTGTGCAGCGAAAGCAATGATCCTTCTTGCTGTTCTGGCTTCTGGGATAGCTGTGCAGCCTGCATTCACTCCATAAGACGCACACACATTTCCTCTTACTTTTTAGGAGGGGAAAAGTGTGCCTTATAGAGTGAAAAATACGGTAAATCCTTGCAGATTTGTCCTTAGGGGGTGCTGTCGCCCCATGATCTGTGCTGAGGACAGCCACACAAATGTGTTTCTCCTCTCCAGAGAAAGTATCACTGAGTTCTGGTTCCAAGTACCAATGGATCCTGAGGGAAGGAATAGGATAAATATTTAAACTTGCCAATAGCCGCTTCGTGAGAAACATAATCTGTCTTGGGATTTGAAGCGGGGAAAGGTCATTGGATCTTACAACACAAGGCTGGGGCAGATGTTCATTAATGGATGAAGTCTGGCTTGCTTGAGCTTATCCAAGTTCACAATCTTCGGTTGCTACAAACCTGTGAGGTAGGCTAGGGTGAGAGGCAGTGAATGCCTGAGGATCACCCACTGAGCTTTGTAGCTGAGTGGGGATTAGAACCCCAGTCTCCCAGGACTCAGTTCAACACTCTAACCCATGGGTAGGCAACCTAAGGCCCGGGGGCCAGATCCGGCCCAATCGCCTTCTAAATCCAGCCTGCAGATGGTTTAGGAATCAGCGTGTTTTTACATGAGTAGAATGTGTCCTTTTATTTAAAATGCATCTCTGGGTTATTTGTGGGGCATGGGAATTCGTTCTCCCCCCCCCAAAAAAAAAACAGTCCTGCCCCCCACAAGGTCTGAGGGACAGTGGACCGGCCCCCTGCTGAAGTTTGCTGACCCCTGCTCTAACCACTACACCATGGTGGCTCCCCCTGAAAAAAACACACACGAAAAACCAGACTGATGGAGAGCCAGAACATGTCTTTAGAGCAGCTCACCCCACAGTATATTGTTAACTGTCACTCTGCCCCTTTCTCTCCTTCTCTCCAGTATGCAGTGTGGCTCGTGCTTTGGGTTGGATGGAATGCATTCATCATCTGCTTTTACCTGGAAGTCGGACACCTTTCACAGGTAATTACCTCTGTAATCATACCGAGTGCACGCCCTTCTCGAACCACTGATCCGCCTGACAACCCAAGGCTTTTCCATCCATCATTTTTGCGCTGCGATTGCTCAGTCAAATAGAGATGGAAGTTCAGAGGTGGCTTGCGTGTCAGGAAAGTGCCACGGCCATTTGGGGGAAATTCATTCCTCCTCTCACTGGTGCTGATGTTGCTGAGCAGAATCGACTTGTCAGGCTGACGGAGAAATCCGAAATGTTGCCATGCAGTAAAAATTGAGGGGTTTGGCAGTTTCTTTCTTATATTTTCGCAACGTGTGCACCTTCCTTCCCAAGGAGCAAGACTTTCTTTTAGTGGGATGCGAACATGCTGCAAGGAATGAATGGTTAAATCCCCAGTCTAAAATACTCATGCTGTTCTTTTTTAAAAAAAAACAATTTTTATTGGTTTTTACATTTTTATCACAATCATATCATAACAAATAATAACAAATTAATTTCCCCACTCCCCCCCCCCATGACTTCCCTCAACTTCCCCTTCTGGTTTTTTCTCCCCCATATAAACTTGTCCTGCTTGCAATACAGTGCTTCAATATTATAGTCTTTAAATTAAATATTGTTATATTCTTCTCATTTTAAACTCACCTTTATAGTTTCTATATTTACTGTGTTAGTTATAAGTGTTTAGTCAAAACCTACTAGTGAGTCCATTTCTTTACATTCGTTCCATAAATACAACATAAATGGTTCCCAGTCTTTTTAAAAATCTCTATTGTCCTTGTCTACTCATGCTGTTCTACTAGGAAGACAGAAAGGGGCTGAACGGCTGACTTTCCACTTTTATTTAGCAAATTGCTCTGTGTTTAGGGGAAAGCTGAGAAGGTTTGCAAGGGAATGAGAATGCTAGTGGGTCGAAGGGAGGAAAAATCTTGCTGGACCTTAGTGCTGGATCAATACCTGTTTATTGGGTGGTAATTCAACTAAGTTTTCTTCAGAGTAGACACAAGTAAATTATGAAATTAATGGACCTAACATAGTCATGCTTATTCATTTCAATGGGTCTACTCTGAGTAAAACTTAGTTTAATACCATGCATTAATTTTAGGGCCCAGTCCAAACCCCCAGTGTGTCACACTGGAAGTTGGGTATGGATGGGACAGAGATATTTTCTGTATTATTACATTTGCATCCCACCTTTCCTCCCAGGAGCTCAAGATGGGATACACCAGGCACAGGCAAACTCGGCCCGCCAGATGTTTTGGGACTACAACTCCCATCATCCCTAGCTATCAGGATCAGTGGTCAGGGATGATGGGAGTTGTAGTCCCAAAAACATCTGGAGGGCCGAGTTTGCCTATGCCTGGTGTACATAGTCCTCCTCATTGTATCCTCACAACAGCCCTCAAGGTAGTTTAGGCTGAGAGTGAGTAACTGGCCCAAGGTTACCCTATGAGCTTCTTGACTGAGTGGGGATTTGAACTACACCACACTGTTCCACGTAAGACATACTGTCCATGTAGCCACTCCAGAGTCACATAATAAGAGGATGTAAGATGGTTTCCTGATCAATCTTTAGAAGCCCTTCTGAGTATCTTCCTTGAGGGGATCAATGCATTTGTTACTGAGCAGATGGCAAAATATCTAAATGTTGTTGTGCGTTTTAATTCTTTAGCAGAATCACACAGTCAGTTGCATCTGCCCTACTTAATGCTGGCAAAAGGAAGTCATTTTCAACAGGGTTGATGTTTTGTGGAGTGGCAGACATCAGTCCTCAGTGCTTGTAAACAGGTTAAAGTGCTACACAGAAAGGCATTTGGCCAGAATGGCAACTTAAACTGTTGGAATATGCGCAGCTTGCAGATCTAACCTATAGAATAAGAGAACAAGAAGAACATTCATTTAAAGAAGATTGGAAAATGTTTATTGAATATATGGGGGGAAATTGTGTACACTTGAAAATGTTGGCAGCATTAAGATAAATTCAACAGTGTAAATAAGTTTTGATGGAAGTAACAATGGAATACTGAATGGTTTAGTTTATATAAAATATGCAGGGATCTATGATATGCAAAATGAACCATGGAAAGAGAAGAAGGGAAGTCATTGATATATTAAGGTTGTCTAAATAAATATTCTAAATTGTAAAACAGAAAATTTGATAAAAATTATATATAAAAGAGGGGGGGAGACAATTGGCCCCCAGTCAACAAAAGAGCATAAGAATCTACCTTAAACCAAGTGAGTACATTGGTCAATCTAGCTCAGAATTGCCTGCACCGACCAACAGATAATATCCAGGATTTTGGACTGGCTACATTTCCAATCCCACCTGGAGATGCTGGGGACTGAACCTGATGCTGAACCCAGAAGCAGTTCTCTTTGTAGTGGGGGACAGAAACACTATACTATCTTCTCAGAAGGTGGGCAGCTGTTGCTTACAAGGAGGAAGAGGTGGCAGAGAGGCTGTGCGGTGCAAAAGCGCTAGCAGGATTGGAGTGGCGGCTGGTTGCAGCTGATGGGAGTTGTCATTCCAAACTTCTGGAAGGCACAAAGTTGGGGAAGGCAGACTTAAGGTCTTAAAAATGTGGATCTGTGTATAGTTCTGGTTGCCTCGCCTTAAAAGGACGTTGTAGAGTTGGAAAAGGTTCGGGAAAGGGGAACCAAAATCATTAAGAGGAGGGAGAGACTCCCCTATGAAGAAAGGCTGCAATGTTGGGGATTTTTTAGTTTAGACTTGCAGGGATGCCCAATCTTTTTTCAAAAAGGGCCAGATTTGATGAAGTGAACATGCATGAGGGCCGACCAAGGTTGTTGAGCTTTTTTTACAATTTTATCCCAGGACATATACTGCCATGGGGGCCGGATTAAATCGACTAGGCCCCGAAATGGACTTTGGACATGCCTGGTTTAGAGAAAAGGTGACACAATAGAAGCTAATAAAATTTGGCATGGCACAGGGAGAGAAAATTCCTCCCTCTTTCAGAAGACCAGAACTTGTGGACACCCATTGAAGCTGAATGTCAGAAGTTTCAGGACAGATAAAAGAAAATACTTCTTCATGCAATGCATAGTTAAACTATGGAACTCCTTGCCACAGGAGGCAGGGATGGCCACCAACTTGAATGGCTTTAAAAGAAGATAGGACAAATTCATGGAGGAGAGGGCTATTAGTCATGATGGCTGAGCTCTGCCTCAAGAGCTGGAGGCAGCAGTGACTTGGGAGGCTACACTGGAACACTTTTGATTATCATGTGCCCAGGAACATCTTACTTCTGAGAGTCCCTGGACCCCTCCAGACCAGTGTATTCTGCACCACGCCACTGACGTAATAATAGTGCATTAGCGATGGACCATCAAGACATTCATTAGTTGTGCTGTGGTGCTTCCCCAGCGTTACTGCACTGCTGCCATCTGCAGGGGGCACTTTTTGCGCTAGAGTGCAAGAAAAGTGGGGCAACTCACCACTGCCACTGAAACAAATGTTGCAGGGCTTCAATAGGAAGCTACATGCACTGATTTCAATTCAAGCAGGGTGTCTGCCCCCCCAAACCTTTGCAGGCACCAACAGTTTGGAAAGCAGGACCGCGTAGAACTAGCCTGGTGCTATCATGAGCACAAATAATCATGAACGCACCTCTGGATTGTGGGGGGGCGGTGGCTTGTGTCATATGCTCTTTAGAAGGACTGTAGCTTTTAGGACAATCACCTTTGTGAAGAGATTTCAAACATGGAGCTTATCCTGGAGCTGTATCTGTGATGAAAGCAGCTCTTGAAAGTGAAACGAAAGCCCTTTGTCGAATCGTCTTCTTTTTTCTATTCTAGTTTGCCAAACAGGCCAGACATATTGATTAGAGCCAGCCGTTCCTGGAAGGAAGCCCAAAACTGGCACTACTGTCTCTATCATATTTCAGAACGAGCCTTTCCCACATTCTCTCTCTCTCTCTGTGTGTGTGTAATATTCCATCCAGGGAGCCACAGTTGCCCCAGGCCTTGCTGGAGGCAAGAAAGAGGGTTTTTTGTGTGTCTTTGCTTATCCAATCTGTGGCCCATTTACCTTCCTGCCACAGCAGTACCTATTTATCTACTTGCACGGGTGTGCTTTCGAACTGCTGGGTTGGCAGGAGCTGGGACAGAGCAACGGGAGCTCATCCCATTGAACGGATTCAAACCCCTGACCTTCCAGTTGGCAAGCCCAAGAGGCTCAGTGGTTTAGACCACAGTGCCACTCACGTCCAATAGTAATAGTAATTGGTAATAGTAATACTACTAGTAGTAATAATAGAATATACCCAAGGAGAATAATAGTCTCTTCATTCATAGTCTCTTGCACATTCATTCATGCATCTAGAATTTTGATGCAACATTCAGCTTTTGCTCTTTTTTTGGCAGGCTCAAAGCATCCATAGAAAATAACACTGCTGAATGCAGTGATGCATTGGGTGTTGTAAGTGGGGACTTGGAAACTGTTCCATATGTGCTCCATGACTTCCGCCACCAGCTACTTTTCCTTGTGGCTCCAGAGAGTCAGAACGACCTCAGCCATGCCAATTTGATCTGAGTTTCTGGAGTCTGTAGTTAGGAATCACAGCTTGTCATGAGAACCTCTGTTGCCTTTGTTAAATGCTCCGGGACAATCGTGGCAGATGGATGGAATGCATCTCGTCCTGAAAGCTCCCTCTGAAAGGCCAGTGCCAGGAGGCAGCCATACAGGGACAGCTGTCTCGTAATATGTTCTGCTGGCTGGTTGTGAAGCTGGGCTGACTTGGTTATTGAAGGTCCTGGCAGGTAAACAAAGCAAGGCAGAAATCCCTTCTGCCACTAGAGCCCTGCAGTCAATATTGTGTTCTGCTAGGGATGGAGGGACAGAAGCTCTGACAAGGGTTTTTATTATTATTATTATTATTACTACTACTACTAGTAGTATTTATTTATATTGTCGAATGAGCCTCGCCAACTCGGAAGAACATTTCCTACACATGCATAGAATTTCAGGTTTCTAGGTGGCAGTGGCATAGATCCTTGTTTTGAAGACTGTGTACTGAGAAGTACTATTTTGGGAGGACAGAGAGCTGGTGGGTATGGAGGCCTCCCTGGTCCTGAATGGGGCAACTGCGCAGCCTGGAAGTCATTTTGGACTCTCAGCTGTCCATGGAGGAGCAGGTCCATTCTGTGTCCAGGGCAGCTGTCTACCAGCTCCATCTGGTACACAGGCAGAGACCCTACCTGCCCGCAGACTGTGTCACCAGAGTGGTGCATGCTCTAGTTATCTCCCGCTTGGACTACTGCAATGCGCTCTATGTGGGGCTACCTTTGAAGGTGACTCGGAAACCGCAACTAATCCAGAATGCGGCAGCTAGACTGGTGACTGGGAGTGGCCACCAAGACCATATAACACCGGTCTTAGTACGTTTCCAAGCACAATTCAAAGTGTTGGTGCTGACCTTTAAAGCCTTAAACGGCCTCGGCCCAGTATACCTGAAGGAGAGTCTTCACCTGCATCGTTCAGCCCGGACACTGAGGTCCAGCTCCGAGGGCCTTCTGGCAGTTCCCTCACTGCGAGAAATGAGGTTACAGAGAACCAGGTAGAGGGCCTTCTCAGTAGTGGCACCCTCCCATCAAATCTCAAGGAAATAAACAGCTTTCTGACTTTTAGAAGGCCTCTGAAGGCAGCCTTGTTTAGGGAAGTTTTTAATGTTTGATCTACTTTTATTATGATTATGATTATTATTATTATTATTATTATTATATTGGGAGCCACCCAGAGTGGCTGGGGAAACCCAGCCAGATGGGTGGAGTAGAAATAAATTATTATTATTATTATTATTATTAGCTTGCTTTCCTGTGTCCTGCTTCCTTAGGACCGAGACTTCATCATGACCTTTAACACATCGCTGCATCGCTCATGGTGGATGGAGAACGGGCCTGGTTGCCTGGTGACCCCAGTGATGAACTCCAATCTGGCCCTCGAAGACCATCACGTCATCACAGTCACTGGGTGCTTGCTTGATTATCAGTATATTGAGGTGGTGAGCAGTGCAATGCAGATATTCCTTGCGGTAGGTGGTACCAGCATCCGTCTCCAGCTGACTCTTCCACCACACTGATCCCTAAAAAACAACTGAGACACTGAAGGTGATTCTGCCCACTCGTGTGTAACAAATTTCACACCCATAAACACTAGATTTATAGAACGGGTTTGCTTCTGATTCCTTTTTTTTTTTTTTGTCCGGGGAGCTAGAGAGGTCTTCTGGCTAGGAAGAGCATATTAAAATGTCTGTATTTATTTGTTTACTTTCGACTTTAAAAAAAAAATCTGCCAAGAAGCCAAGCATTCCATTTCAGTTCCCTGGCACTTTGTGTTACTAGCATACTCCAATTTGCTCCCTGCAAGTTTGTATGAAATGAAAAAGCAACAACAACCTGTCTCTGGGAAGGTGAGTCTGGAGGTGTAGATAAATTTGAGGGGCTTCAAGCCCTATCCACCCATTCCCCAGTTGAAAAAAAAAGTCATCAAAATAAAATTAATTTCTTCACCAGACACTTGACAGTGCATTTCTAGACCAATTAGTCATGTTGAGTTCAGTTCCTAAACTCCTCGCATGAGAAAAAAAAAGGAAACAGTGATCCTGTCTAGAATGAAAGATGCAGAAGGTTGAGAAATGGACTGCGGGATAAACAATTGGGTTGCAGTCCTCTCTGCACACTTACCTAGGAGTAAGTCTGCTGTATTCCATGGGGCATCCTTCTGAGCTGACATTCCTTAAAATACAAGCAAGGAGATCCTTAAAAAGAAATAGCACAAAGGCAAGAAGATTTTTGGTTTTGGGTTTTTTTGACAAATGAAGGAGGGCAAAGACACAGGGAAACACACACAGGGAAATGAACATAGTGCAAAAACAATTGGTATTGAGAGAGCAAATCATATGTCCTAGAGGATGGAAAGCAAGAATGAAAAGCAACAGACCCAGAACTCAACCTTGAGGTTAAGGCCAAACTGCTAGCTATGCTGGAAGATGTTTTATTGATATTGTTTCTCTTACGAAATGCGGTTGTGGAGGCTCCTTGTTTGATCAGTGAAAGAGGGGTGGGGTGGAGGAGCGATTGATCCTCTCTCTCGTACTGTTTTCCTCCAAATTATGAGTGCACAGCTCCTGTTTTTAACCAGTGTGCAGTGGCTTCTGGTGCACCTTGGAGCTCAGTTCAAGGGTGCTGGTGAAAATGACTTGGGACTAGGATGCTTAAAGAGAACCATTATTTCCTGCATCTGTCTTTCTCAAACATTTAAGATCTGCATCAGGTTGTTGTTCTTGTTGTTGTTACAAATTATTACCTGCCTGTCACTCTAAGGTCCCAGGGCAGGTTACAACAATTAAAATACAACATTAATTTTAACAATGCAGTATTACACAATATTAAAACAGTTTAAAAGAACTTAAAATGTTTTTGTGACTGACATTGAATTTTCAGGTTCTTTTAGTAACCCTTAGGCTTGATTATTGCAATACCTCTAGCGCACATGAGAGTAAACCAGGCCAGGCCTCTTTTTAAGGCGTAGGTAATTTTAATGATGCTTAACTTGCCCATAGGGGTGCTCAGCTGGCGCCAGGCTTGTGCAGAACTTGTCTGAAGCCCAAGGCCAGAGTCCCTGATCAGCTGGGAGGCATGGGCTGGTGTACCGGCCATAGCTGGCAAAATGCACCCTCAGACATTGCCATCCCCTGAGCTTATAAAACCAGCAACAGGTCAAGGAGCATCCTTCAGCCTGCAGACCTGATTCGGGGGTGGGGTGGGGGAGGAACGCACAGGATTTAGCTGAGCCTGGATATCAGCATATTTAATGCACACACACAAAATAGTAATCTGCAGGTCGATTCCTTTGTTAGAGCTGATTGGAAAGTCACAGAGAAGCAAGCAAGCTTTGGAATTCAGTACAACAACAACAATTTATTTATACCCCACCCATCTGGCTGGGTTTCCCCAGCCACTCTGGGCGGCTCCCAACAGAATATTAAAAACACAATAAAACATTACACATTAAAAACTTCCCTATACAGGGCTGCCTTCAGATGCCTTCTAAAACTCAGGTAGTTGTTTATTTCCTTGACATCTGATGGGAGGGCGTTCCACAGGGAGGGCACCACTACAAAGAAGGCCCCTGCCTGGTTCCATGCAACCTCACTTCTCACAGTGAGGGAACCGCCAGAAGGCCCTCAGAGCTGGACCTCAGTGTCTGGGCTGAACGATGGGGGTAAAGACTCTCCTTCAGATATACTGGGCTGAGGCCATTTAGGGCTTTAAAGGTCAGTACCAACACTTTGAATTGCGCTCAGAAACTTACTGGGAGCCACTGTAGGTCTTTCAGGACCGGTGTTATGTGGTCCCGGCAGCCACTCCTAGTCACCAGTCTAGCTGCCGCATTCTGGATTAGTTGTAGTATCTGGGTCACCTTCAAAGGTAGCCCCATGTAGAGCACATTGCAGTAGTCCACATGGGAGATAACTGCTCTTCATCCATGGTGTGGGTTATTCAACAACAACAAAAAGCCCAAACAAACAATGGCAACAAAAATGGTGGGTGGGGGTGGGTGGATGGAAGTAAAAGATTCTCCTGGACTAGATCAACAGTGCAATCCTATGCATGCCTAGTCAGAAGCAAACCCCCTTGAGTTCAATGGGATTTATTGTCCACGTGTGGTCCCAGTAAGCACAATACATCTCAGCCAGCATTTTCTTGCCCCAATCCCTGGCTTTTGTTTCTGATACCCAGCGGAGGAAGAGTGCTAATGAACTCCAAAACTGGCTCACTTCTCTTTCACTTTGAAGTTGAGCCCAATCATGGTATTGCTCTTGATCTTGAGGGCCAATGTGGCTGCGTGTGTGATTTGATTAAGCTATTCAGCCTCATCTTGACCATTTCCGATTCTCGCCGAACTGCCGCTGCTGTTTCCTTGCTTTCAAATAATTTGCTTTTCTCCCTTCCCCCCTTCCTTTTCTTTTCTTTTAAAAAAATAATTTTATATTTTGAAGCTCTTCGGATTTGTTTACGCCTGCTACGTCAGCAAAGTGTTTATGGAGGAAGAAGACAGCTGTAAGTACCTTTCATCTACAAATAATTGGAGATTACTTGGCTATGGAGTACTCCATTTAGGGGTAGAGGGAGTGTGGCATGTAGCTCAAACTGTTTATATGACGCAGTAATCGAATATGGTTCAAATGCCATCTTGGTGGCCTAGCAGGGATTTTGAACCTAGGTCTGCCCAATTTAAATCCAGCATACTTATTAACCCATGGGTAGGCAAACTAAAGCCTGGGGGCTGGATGCGGCCCAATCACCTTCTAAATCCAGCCTGCGGACGGTCCGGGAATCAGCGTGTTTTTACATGAGTAGAATGTGTCCTTTTATTTAAAATGCATCTCTGGGTTATTTGTGGGGCACGTTCACTTTTCCCCCTTCAAAATATAGTCCTGCCCCCCACAAGGTCTGAGGGACAGTGGACCAGCCCCCTGCTGAAAAAGTTTGCTGACCGCTGACCGCTACCCTAGATGGACTCCCTGTGTTTTGTGGGTACCAATTCGTGTGGGGTTGATAGTAAACAGGGAGATAAAAGCTTCTTTTATATATTACATTTATACTTCACTTACCCTTCAAAGAAACTCAAGATGGTGCCTGTGGTGCTTTCCCCTCACACTCTCCCCACAGCAATCCTGTGAGGTAGGTTTTGAGAGAGAAAAAGACACCACATTCCAGCAAGCAGAAGCTAAAGGTTTCTACATTCCTCCCCTTCCAATTCTCTCCATCCAGACAAGCAAGGGCCTGGGGAGAGTCCTGGGGGCCACACAGAGAATCCTGAGGGGCCACATTAGCCCTACGGGCTGGATTTCCCCACTTCTGTTCAATGCCATTCACCTCCGATGCCTGCGGAGGAAGGCTGGAGTCCCAGTTTGCAAAAGAACAATGAATGCATCCTCTAGCACGGTTAATTCGAAAATGTTTCTGCAAGCAAATCACCCTGCCAGCCTGTGGCTCATGTTCAGATAACATTCTAAATAGATGTAGCGGAAAATTAAAACCTTTTGTGTAAAACAGGACACTGCCTAGCCATTGTAATAAGTTGCTTGGAATATATTTGAAGCTGGCAGAGGCTTATTTGCTCCTGATAGCTTCCAAACGGCAGCATCTGACACAAATGAAATTATTAATAAAGTTTACACATGAAAAAACCCATTTAGGGAGCAGCAAATTATACGTATCCTCCTACTCAGAGCTTGGAATACAGGCGGAAGCTGGTCCTTCCCTGCATGTTTGTCTTTCCTAACAAACTTCAGAGAGAGCTCTCGGCTTTGACAGTCATTCATTTAATTCCAAATCTAATCAGACAGTCCATTATAGAAGAAGAGACTCAAGCTCAGCTATGGCAAAATTAATATTAGAAGTGTAACAGAAGAAGCTCTGAATGCCTCTCACACAATATGGAATGGAAAGTCAGAAGACCAGGCTGGAAAGGGGGACCTCATTGCTCTATCTATGTATCTATATTGCAAAACATTTTTAAAAACAGTACAGTGGTACCTTGGTTCTCAAACTTAATCCATTCCAGAAGTCCGTTCCAAAACCAAAGCGTTCCAAAACCAAGGCGCGCTTTCCCATAGAAAGTAATGCAAAATGGATTAATCCATTCCGGACTTTTAAAAACAACCTCTAAAACACCAATTTAACATGAATTTTACTATCTAACAAAATCATTATGAAAGCAATAATCATTGTACTGGACTGTAAAATAAATAAGACAGTATTGTAGATGATAAAAATTTAAATTATTATTTTCTTACCTGCACTGATGATCGTTATTGTTTGGATGGGGGGCTTTTATCCATTTCTGCAGTCATACAATCAATCAATCAATCAGTAGCTGAACTGGGTTCCACACAGTCACAAAAACAAATTAACCGAAAGAGTCTCAAAAACGAAAAACACAAAATAAATAGCAAAAACAAAAGTGCCAAACTTAATCCATTCCGGAAGTCCACTTGACTTCTGAAATGTTCGAAAATCAAGGCGCAGCTTCTGATTGATGCAGGCGCCCTGGAAACAATAGCCAACAGCCGCATCGGACGTTCGGCTTCCGAAAAACGTTCAAAAACCGGAACACTTATTTCCAGGTTTTCGGCGTTTGAGTAGCAAGGTACCACTGTAATGTCAAGGCTGCCAAAAATAGTGTCTTTCAGCCATCAAATTCATGAGAAAACAGATGTTTTTTAAATTCCTCTTGAAAGACAGTAATGAGGGAGACAAATGCACCTCCCCAGGTGGAAAAGGGGCCTCAAAAATGATGATAATAATCAAGGAGTTGGGTTAAGAAGCAAAAATCTCTAGAGACACTTATGTAACGTTCTTTGTGTACACACCATATATTTAAAGCACATGGCTATCCCTCAAAGAATCCTGGGAGCTGTAGTTTGCCCCCACTCACCAAGCTATACTTTCCAATACCCTTAACCAACTACAGTTCCCAGGATTCTTTGGGAGGGGTCAAGCGCTTTAAAAATGCATGGCGTGTCTGCAGCCTCCACTGCCACGTTTTGTGTGTTGCTGCTTTTGTTGTTTGGTCTGTTGAACCTGAGCTGTTTGATATGAATGCTTACTCCTCGTTTTTCACCCTGCAGTTGATTTCATTGGGGGATTTGATTCATATGGCTACCAGGCACCCCAAAAGATGTCACACTTGCAGCTACAGCCTTTGTATACGTGAGTATCTCTCATCTGTGGGGATCAGGGATGCATGGGGGCTGCTAGACAATGCCCTTACTTAGATCCTCTTCCCTCCATGTTGAGAGAAGCCGTATGTGTCCCCTTCGCTAAACACTGCACCTATCCTGCCACTGGCACTATGGGCTGCCATATGAGGGTGAAATGTTCAATGGGGAGGAGATTCACATCAGTCAGTTCATGAAATGTATGTGGGATATTGAACCACCTGCAATCTAAGCCACGTGTAAACACAACCACCCTATTTATTTAAACCGGATTTATATACTGCTTGATCATCAAAAGCAGTGTATATAAGATATCAAATTATTGATAAAATCAGATGTTGTAAACAAGTTAGCCTTTAAGCACCTCTTATAGATTGACACAGACAGTCCTGAGCTCTGACGCTTAGGGATGTATTCAACTTAAGTTTTACTCAAGAGTAGACCCATTGAAACCAATGGGCCTAACAGAGTCCTCTCCATTAATTTCAATGGGTCTGCTCTAAGCAAGACTAGCGCTGGATACGACACTTAATTTTTAATACCGTTTTTAGGAAATTGCATTGAATGCCATTGGGTGTATCTTTTAAACAGTTTTTATGTAAAGCGCTTAGAACTTTGTAGAATATAAAAATATTGTACATAAATAAGAATGAATGAATGCATGCATGAAAAAAATTGAATGGGCCCTGTTTCATTCAGGTTTTTTGAATGGTTCTGAATTTATCTCACTGCCCTTAATGGTGTTTGCTGAAGCTTTGTTGCCAGCCCTGGACTAAATCTGATGCCTTTGCTCTGTTTTGTTCTTTTAGCTCTGGATAACTGTTTCCTTAACTACAGTGAGCTGGCCCCTGGGGACGTTTGCAAAAAACGCAAGGCAAGCAGGGTGCCGAATATGATAAAATGATTCCAAAGCCAAATGGCAGTCACCTCCTCTGGAGATCTGGTGTGGCCTGAAATCCTGCCCAGAGACAACACAGTGACTCTTCCTGGGTTCATTTCCTCCCCTCCTTTCTCTTTAACTCCTTCATTTGAGTGGCCACAGAGAGTTTTCATGCACCTGGAAGATGATTCTGGCACAAGTTCTCTCTGCTCAAGACTGAGGAACCAAAAAGAAGCTCGACGCTCCACCTGCTGGCCAGTGTTTGTAGTGGTGCTGGTAACTCCAGCGAATTTTTTTAAAAGGAAAATCAAGCAAGGGCAATATTACGTTCCAGAGAGGGCAAGGAAAAGCCCTATTTTTAAGGAAGACCTTTTTCAGGTTTTGAAGTGTTGCTCTTTTTTTTTTAATTGTTCTGGATCACTTCCTGTTGTCCCATTTGCTTCTGAGCAAATGGCTTTGCAATGTGGCACAGGCTGCAAGAGAATCCATACATTGCAATAAAGAGTGAGATAGATATATATCTGACATCTGGAAAGGGGAAGCTTCATTAGGTCTGAAATCTGTTCTTCCCACTCCCAGCCCCCGTACACCCAAGGCTTCCCAATCCCATTCACTATTCAAATGAGCATCAGTTAAAAATCCAACTCCTGGTAACCGCAGGAGAAGACAAAATAGTTCTTTGATCATGGAGACAGAATTGAATATATGCGTACTGTGACAAATGTGTGGGTTTATTTCTGAGCTGGTATTGCATCCCAATGATTCCAAGTTTATATGTGAGAATCCAGTGGGAGCTATTCCATTAGGCCAAAAGAGGAGGTGCCCTACCAACCTCAACCTGCCCTCAGCCAGCCCCTCCTTCGTCTCAGTATTGCCCCTTGTAGAACTCAGCAAGGAGGGGGACGGGAGCCAAACCTAGAATTAGTTGCCTGTGGCTGTCTTTGGCTCTGGCTCTGCCTGCTGTGGCTGGCTCTGCCCACCATTAGTCCCCTTGTCCTAACAGTCCCAATGGTACCAAGCCACCACTGGGAGACATACTGTTTCCAAGAGGGTGCCAAGAACCATTTCCGGAAACACGATAAATGCCTTCCAAAGGTCCAGAATCTCATCAGCTGGTTTCTCTTTCTTATTTTCTTTCTGTAAATTGGTGATGCAGGACCCTCTTCCCTCCAGGTGACCTACTTTCTCAACATCTCAGTGCTGTACGCTGCAGGGTCAATAACTTCTGCAGCCTTCTCTAACTTGGTGCTCTCTAGATGCTGCTGACCTACAACTCCCATCATCTGGGACCACTGGTGGAAATGGAGATCTAACAACATCTGGAGAGCATGGTAGGGTGAGGAAGGCTGCCATAAGTTTTCATAGCCTCTATCTATCTATCTGCCCAAACACACAAAAGCTTGTTCAGAATTGGTTGCAGTTGCCTCATTCTGACACCAGGCAGTTCCCAGTAGTGGCTGGTGGCACTCGCCTCACCTCCCATCACCAGCATCACTGTATCTTACCAGGCATAGGCCACGGTAAGGGTGGTGCAGTGCAAATGCACCAATAAAGAACACCAAATTGACTCTAGTAGTGTGTTTGCACCACACAGGCATTGCCACCGCCTTGCCCTTCTTCTTCTTCCTGCTAAGCTGAAGGTCAGGTGAGCACCACTCCCACCATGTGCTGACCACCATTGCCAGTCCTTGTCATTCCAAACTAAAGTCATCGCTACCAAGCCATGTTCATAATGCCATTATATTCCCAGGTGTGGGCTTCCAAGGAAAAAGTTCTCCTCCTTTAGCTCTTCAACATTAAAGTTGCGATTTTAGTCATGTATTCCTATTTACAAAAATTCTCATCCTGAAGTTGGAAGCCTCAGTTATTGTTTCACACATACTTTTTCTTGTAAAGCTGAATACACAGAGCAGTCCCATTGAAATTAATGGACCTAACTTAGACATGGTCATTACTTTCAGTGGGTCTTCTCTGAGTAGGACTAGCATTGGATACACCCCATACTATTTCAATACCCACTACGTACGCCTGGCTTCCTTCCCATTTCACTATGCGAAAGACCGACAGACATACAAACATTCTGCCAATTTAGTCATCAGTTTCCCCTTCCCTTCGGATGAACTGTCTACCTTTTTTGGTTTATATCACCATTTCTGCATATTCAGCCACATGTTCCTTCATTGCCTCCTTTTTTAATATAGTGGGGTTTTTTTAAACAAAAATATCAAAGCTGTTCTGAGGATGTTGGAGTAAGGATATATTCGCGATAGCTTAAGTACTAGCCAATCCATGCTGTGCACATTCAACTTCTGCACACTTGAATTGTGAACTAAACCCTCACATGAGAATTGTCCATCTCACCCCAACACAAGTGTGCATCCTGAGCCACTCCAGTAAGGTTTTGTTTGTACACAGCTAAAATGTGACCTCCTGTGGTTAAATAAAAATAGAGCCCATTCCTCTCTCTCAGAGAAGTGTTTCCACTCAAGGAAATCAGTGGAGCCAAATAACAAACACTGTGAATGATAGGGCAGGTGCTTAAGACCCAGAAAGTGATGAGCCTGGGGCTTGAGGATGCCTAGTGGCACTAGCCTTTCCTGGAAGCTCTGTCTCCTGAAGCCAGCCTTCCAGAAGCTGATGTCCTCCATATGTGGTTGAACTCCATCTCACATTAGCCCCAGGCTGTATGACTAGTGGTCAGGGATGATGGGAGCCGCAGTCCAACAACATATGGAGGACAGCAGGTCAAGAAAGATTGCTGGAAGGTATCCCCCCTAATCTCACTTGTGATGGTGTGAGCAATAGTTATTCATTCCACAGTGGGAGAAATGCAGTCAGTACTTGCTCAGGAATGCCTTGAACTGCCGCAATGCATTAATGCAGGACGGAGAGCTGGGTATGTAGGAACCTATAATTTTTTTTTGCAGCTGGAACATAGCATACTGTACAAAGGTAGGCGTTCCATCCGTTGCTCACCCACTTTGGGCCTCATGCCCCACCCACCACTGCCAACACCCACCCACACCCACACCAATAAAGTTGCCTGCCCTCAGACTGAAAAAGATTCTAAGCAGTTGGGTTAGAAACTGCAAGGCTAGATACTTTTCAAGACCTGCCTTCCCCCAATTTTTGGTACCCTCCAGAAGCTGTCGTACTGCAATTTCCATCATTCCCAACTGTGGACAGTCCTGGCTGGGTCTGAAAGGAGTTGGAGGCCACCAAGTTGGTGTGTCTACTTCATCTGGTTAATTCTGCACCAAACATAACTGTGGCCTAATAGTATGGCTGACTGCCAGCCTTTCTTTGCAATGCTGAATATCTCCCATATCTAGAGCATGGCACATAGAGACAATAAATGGGGACCTATAAACCCGAAGTATGTGTGTGCACGCACACTGAAGTCTGCTCCTTTTGCCTGCCTGCAACTGGTATTTCTGGAAGAAAAGTCCATGTGCCATCAGTTTCTTTTCCCCATTACCCAAATATACCTGATATAAGATGCTTGGCAGTGAATCCTGCCTTAGCCAGTCTGGGGCAAGCTGAGCAACTGGAACAGGCTTTCAGCATCACTTCTAGTAATATATTCCCCACTGGCTGAAAACTCTGCTCAGAATTTTGTCCTGCTGAACTGGACAAAAGAATGTGGGAATCTCCTGATATGGGGGCAGGATGCGGCAGCTGTAAGACTTACTTTTTGAATGAAAGATTGTGGTTTTCCCCAAAGCCCATCTCAAGCTAACCATTTCCCTTTCATTTGCAATTCATGTCCCTTCACACTCTACCGATCTGATTTGTAAAAAGGCAGCAATCACAGGTGTTACTGGGGAGTAAACCCCACTGAGTCCACTGGGACTTCCTGCTGAGTAAACATGCATAAGATTGCACTGTGAAGCATGGAAATAAGGAAGAGGCAGAAGAGTTCACCCTATTGGCTATCAGCAGTTTTGGTTACAGAGCAGCTTCTCATATCAGATTCAAGGTGAGCATTCTCAGGACTGAGGAAATACTCTTGCCCCCACCCTCCAACTCAAAGAGAAGGAATTTTATAATCGAGATAAATTTATTGCAGTTTCCCCACCATGTAGCTAGGATGATCAGGTGCAAACAGAGAACAGGGCTCGTGCAATGTTAGCAGTTGTTTCTTGCCATGCAAACTACACCTGCTGAAATTGCTTCCTCCATAAGCAACTATTAAAGGTGCAGGAGCCCCTGTCTTCTTTGGCATACTGAAACCAACATTAATTATGCACAAAATAACATTTTTTAAGCAACGTTTCAGTAGTTTTCTTTTTGAAGCAACTTTAGGACAATTTATTATAAATTTTATTTTTAAAGCTTCGAGGGCTACTTTTTTAAAAGCAAATACTGATGAATTGTAATGCAATAATGCTAAGTTTCAGTTTGAAAATGTCAATGCTTGTGCACCTTGTTCTTCCAACCACCACCCCTGAAACTTCTTAACATCAAAAGGGATTCACAATTGGGAATGATGTGACAGGGAGGAAGGAAGGCGGACATAAATTAGAGCTGTCACCTGTCTTGCACCACATTTATTTCATTCAGATTGCAGCCTTTCTCCCAAATAAGTATGCATAGGTTTGCATCCTTAACTGATTAATAGCAGGAGGTTTTGTCAATTGAGTAATAAGTTGATTCAATTTGAATATGTGGCAAAATAGTAGTTCTGAAGCAGGGGGAAAAACATGTTTTATCCATGCAGCTGTTGTATTAGAAGAGATTTTCCTTTCTGGGTGAAAGGAACAGGGATTGCCTCTTCTTGCCACCAACAAGAAGTATTTGTATTAAAAAGTCAATGTGCAGTTGACCTAGGACTGGGGAACCTAGGGTTCAAATTCCCATTTGGCCATGGTTGTTTGGCTGGTCTCTATTTCTCAACCTAACCTACCTCATGTTATTGCAGCCAGGATAAAATAGGAGGGGTTTTTTTGGGGGGGGAGACTACATACAGAACATCACCTCGAGCTCCTTGGAGGAAAGGGAGCATAATATAAATTGAAGCAAGCATGAAACCAACAAGTAAAGATGATAATACTTCTTTTAAACAAAACTGCCAGGTTAATCAGGGCTACTTGTTTTTTAGTTGGTCCAAAAGTTTTTAATCAATCTAAACCATGGCTTGGGAAGAGCTGCTGCTCACCCCTTCCGAGGTAGACTGGGGCTGATGATGCTAGGAACCCAACAACAAAGTAGTTGCTGGTTCATTTCTAGGCCCAATTCAAGGTGCTCACATTAGTGTTTAAAGCCTGAAATGACTTGAGGCCCCAAATACCTGAAAGAGTGCCTCCTTTTGGGTGTTAGGCTGTACTGTTGGTTCCACCAACCTCAGAAGCTCAGGGATGTGTGTGTTTGTAGTCTGCAGCAGCCCCTCGGTTGCGGAACTCCATCCCCACAGAGGTGCATCTGGCCTCCTCATTATACAACGATTGCTGGAGACACATCTCTTCACCCTGGCTTTTGACACCTGAGTTGTATACTGTTAGAACCCACCTTTCTTCTGTGATAGTTGTGTTAAACCTTTTTTAACATTGTGTTTCACCTTAGGCTGAAGGGTGGGATGATGACGTTGATGATAGTAATAGTAATAGTAATAATAATAATAATAAATAAATAAATTAAATAAATAAATAAATAAATAGAAAGACATGGGTTTTCCCATCCCCAATCTAATGCAAATGTTGCAGTCCTTATAGAAATCGTTGCAAGCCAGTTCAAGTTAGGAAAATTTCCCTGCAAATCCACACACAAATCATATCCTCTCTCTGGACTTCTAAATCTCCTTCACATTACTTTCCCAGTTTGTTTCAGTAGTATATTTATAGTATTATTATGTTTGATTCTTGTGCGTCTCCCAATCTTCCACTGAAGAGCTCCAAGTGCCTTAGGAGAACAGAAAGCTGCCTTAGACCGGTTCACACTATTTGTACATCTAGACCTTTTAGTCAATCCTTTACTTACTTGGTGCCCTCCAGAAGTTTTGGTCTACAGCAGTGATGGCCAATCTTGGCCCTCCATCTGTTTTGGGACTACAATTCCCATCATCCCTGACCACTGGTCCTATTAGTAAGGAATGGTGGGAGTTGTAGTCCCAAAACAGCTGGAGGGCCAAGTTTGGCCATCACTGGTCTACAGCTTCCATTAGCCTCAGCCAGCAGAGCCGTGTCAGCTACGGGAAGGCAAAGTTACCTGTTTGTTTATACTCCATTTCTGCTAATACGTTGAAGGCGGTTTCCAATTCAAAGTGACAGCTGGTAATCTAATAGGCATGATACAAAAGGAGCATGTGTTGAGAAAGGAAGAGGAGATTAAGCAAATTCAGGCCCGGTTTCAAGCAAAATGTTAGCTCAAAGCTCCATAATGACAAGGCAGAAGGTGGCCACTGTGCAAGGTAGTTCTGGGAGGCAAGGAGACAAATAGCCATTGGTCCAAGCTGACTTCAATGGAGCTGCTTTCTCTCTTCCTCTCTGACAGCCAGGTCAATGGTTGTGCCTTTGTAAGGGTTATGGGAATGAGTGGGAGCGAGTGGATCCTGAGGCAGTGTTTACTTGCACAATGGTCCAAGAGCCTATTCTGATTCAGTGCCTCAGGGGAAGATATGAACATAGGAAGTTTCCTTTAGAATGTGCATGTTATTTATGCACATTTGCAGTGGTTTTCCAGGGTTTCAGACAGGAGACTTTGCCAATCCTACCTGGAGATGCCAAGGATTAAACATGGGACCTTCTGCATGCAGCCTCTAACTCTAACCACTGAGATACATCAGCTCCCAAGATGAGAGGGTGATATTTTTTGGCTTTTTGGATATGTGAGGATTCTTTAACTTAAGACCCTTGTGTGCATTGGGGGATAACCAACATGCCCTCCAGGTGTTGTTGGACTACATCTCATCATCATTCTTGACCATTGGCCCTGCTGGCTGGGACTGATGGGAGTTGTAGTCTAATAACATTTGGAGGGTTCCAGGTTGACCACCCCTGATTTTACACAATAGAACTGTGCACAGGGATAACACTTGATTCTTGGACAGGCTGAGTTCTGCCTAGGGATGCTGTGCCAAAACCACACAGAACCCAGGACGGATCTGTGCTCATCCTAAAGCCAAGCTGGAGTCTAGCAAGGGTGATGATTCCATGATCCAAACCCAATATTGTTTCAGAGCTTCATATCACCAATGTAGACCATCTTGGGCTTTATTCGTCATATATCTCCCCTCCAATTTCGCAGGACGGCGCTAGGTCAGCTGTAGGGGAACCTGAAATTGCGAAAAGACCTGTGTTATTTGTCAAGGGCAGCCCAAGACATTATACTCCCTGAGGCTAGAAATAAGACGGTTGGCCCACCAATTTTGAATACAGAAGCCAACTGGATTGTCAGTCAAATCACTTCCGACACTTCAATCAGTTCAATATTGGCGACAGGACAGTGGCCCTCTACTGCATCTGGAGGCATGCAATTGTACCCTTCCAGACATTGACACCAATGCTCACCTCCTAGCACCTGCTTCCTGAGGTGGCTTGCCAACTCTACCTAATGACAGGGCCGGCACTTGTGTTTTCCTGTTGTTAATTTCCTGCAGTTACTTCATATATAAAAAATAATTGCTGTTGGGATTCTGACTGACTCAAGTGGCTCTTGTTCCACAAATGTATGCTTTCAGTGCTTAACTTGATGATGATGATAATTAATGATGAATAACCAGAAACAGAGCTATATTCATCCCCCATCCACACTAGCAAATCTTACGAAAACTACTAGGGATGTGGGAGGGATTAGGTTTGGATGACTCCATGATTTGCATGTCCCGGAGAAATGTGTGAATTGAAATGCAGCTGTGCTTCGAAACCCGCCCTTTCCCGAAATTTGCGATGCAGTTCTCCAACCAAATAATGCATACAAAACTGAGGGGGTAGTGCATATAATAGTGAAAATAACATACAACAAATGCATTATGTTAGGGGAAATTTACTGCAGAAATATCTAGAGAAATTCATGCTAAAATGCAGAATTGTGAACAATTGTGCTTAAGATTGGAAAAATGAATAACCAAGAGAAACTGAGATTCTCCCTTCCCCACGCTGACTGGGGGAGGGGGAAATGGGTACCCTCAAGAAGAGGCTGCATGAAGTGTACCCTAACTGCTTCATAAAGCCCACCCTAATCCTAAACAATGTTTCATTGGAAGTAAATCCTGCTTTTTTCGGTGGGGTGGAATCCCAGATAAGTGGAGCCTAAGACTGAAGTCCGTAATGGTTTATACGAATGTTTGTGATCATAGAACCAGATTGGAGCATGGGTGAAAAATCCATTCAGTTTTTGTTTTGGGGGTTTTGGATGAAAATGCGCTCCATCTCCTGTGGTTAAAAATGTGTATCTGCATGTATGTTTGTTTATTGAAGGATGATTTTGGAATTGCCACAATTCAAAATTTGGTAGAAAGTAACTCCATTTCTCCCTTGCACACGGACCTCTCTTCCCTGTTTCCTTTTTTTAAAAAAACACCCTCACAGATTTTGGCACTGGTGCTTGGACATTTTTTGTTTTGTTTTTTTAATAAATAAAATTTGTATTTGTAACGTCAAAATATTATTTCTCTCTTTCTTCTGTAACTCTAACACGTCAAATATGTTTGATTTAACAATAGCTGTTTGAATTTTGTGTATTTTTCTGATTTTGTGCAGTTGAACTGATTAAAATGGGTGATTTTTTTCACTCCCCCTTCAGATTCTTCTGTCTCCAGCTGTGCCAAATGCAGGATTTTAAATTTAATTTTGAACACTCATCAGGGTCATCTTTCCTCATTCAAGAAGGGATGGGACACCTTTTTTTCTCTGAGGCTCAAGGGCCTCAGGATTAATCCTCTCATGAATTAATGCATTAGCTATTGATGACTACTAGTCACAAAAATGGCTTGTCTACACAGTCTGAAGCAGTCGTGCTTCTGAATATCAGTTGCTGGAAACTGCATTTTTGTGTTTTTATATTGTAAACTGCCCTGTGATCCTCAGATGAAGGGCAGTATAGAAATGAAGTACAGTGGTACCTCAGGTTACATACGCTTCAGGTTACATACGCTTCAGGTTTCAGAATCCGCTAACCCAGAAATAGTGCTTCAGGTTAAGAACTTTACTTCAGGATGAGAACAGAAATTGTGCTCCGGCGGCACGGCAGCAGCAGGAGGCCCCTTTAGCTAAAGTGGTGCTTCAGGTTAAGAACAGTTTCAGGTTAAGAACAGACCTCCGGAACGAATTAAGTACTTAACCCGAGGTACCACTGTATATAAATAAATAAGATGTGCTCGTAGAGTTATAGAATCAGTTCCCACATGCATAGAAATGAGTTCTCAGTCCTTCCATACAAAAAATCTACTTCTGGTTTTCCCAACTCCATGCTTGCTTTGTTTTAGAAGCACATTTAATGTATATGTAGGGGGTCAGGATAGGGCAGGGAGAAGCCTACTGTTGAACAATTGGGTTCCACAAACCGGTCAGTAGAGCACGAGACTCTTAATCTCATGGTCACAAATTTGAATCCCAAATTGGGCAAAAGATTCCTGCATTGCAGGGGTGGACTAGTCACTAGATGACTCTTGTGGTCCCTTCCAACACTACAAATCTTATGTTGTGCAGAATTTACCTGTAAAGCCCTGCTCATCTACATGATCCTGCCAGACTTTGATGGACATGGCAAACTTGCAGTGTGACATCCTGGCTATATCTTTGCAATGTGAAAAGTAGCCAAGATGGGGAATTATCCCTGGAAAACGTGTAGGGAAGCAGGAACCTCTGGATAACCTTCCTCCTTCTGTCACTTATTTCTGGCAGCTACTTAGCCATCAGGCTTGAACTTACTCAGATTTTATTACATTTTAATCTCTCCCTAAAGAGTTCCTCTCATGGTGCTTCTGGACCTGCTGCACTTGGAAGGTAAAAATGGCCTCTGCCAATTCTATCCACTGATACAAGGCAATAGCTTTGTCTATACACACCCACCCACCTACAAAATATTTATTATACAATACAGTTGCAGCAAAGACAAGAACACAGCACTAAGCCCGTATCTGCCATTTGTGCCTCAGTTACTGCAGTGAGATCTATAGGGCAGGGTTGATGAACTTTTTCCCCAGACTGAGGGCCATACTCCCTCTTAGGCAACCTCGCAGGGGCCACATGCAAGTTGTGGGCAAGGCCAGAGGCAAAAATGGATAGAGCAATAAACATAAAAGTTACTTTTGTACTGAATTGTTCAAAATTATTAGTATTCGTCACATTTTTTAATCCAACATTTCCACCGAGGAGCTCAAGGTGACATTCATGGTTGTCTTCCTCTCCGTTTTATCCTCACCACAACCCTGAGGTAGGTTCAGTGGCGAAGCTTCAGGTGCTAGTCTCTCAGGTGCTAGTCAGAAACTCTAACCACTACACCATGCAGACTCCATTGTTATTCATATTTTCAGACATCTGACCATACAGTTCGACACAATAGGAATGACAAATGAGGAGTGCTTCAGTCAGTTCCAGGAAAATGCTGACATCAGTTGTGTTTAATTTTGAAAAGCGGCCAAAGTTTTCCCTGAGAGCCTGGAGAGTTATACCTATGTTCTTTAGGTGCCTAATAAGTAGCCCAACTTGACCTCCAAGCCATGGTCCTTGGAGGAGCAGCCATAGCTATGTGGTGGAACAGCATTCTTCGACTTTGGCCCCACAGATGTTGCTGGTTTTCCAGATCCTCATTCAGTTTGCCCAATGGTTAGGAGCGATAGGAGCTGTAGTCTAACCAACACAAAGGAGAAGGTCTTCAAAAGGAACAACAGACAAGATCACAAAGACTGTAGAAATAATGAAAATGGCATGGAAATTATTTATATGTAGGAAAAGCAAGACTGCATGTAAAATGAGAGAGAGAGAGAGTGTTAACCACTGTAGTCTAACAATCACCACCTTTATCTCCAAAACTCAAATTATTCTATTGTTATGATGACAGCTCCTGCACTGCATCCTGTTCTATGCTTCATCAGAGCAAAATGGAGAATCTCTCACAATGGCAGCTGTAGCTCCTCTTCTTTGACTTTTCAGATCTGTGTTAATCTTTGTTCATCTTAAGTAATATATAATGCAATAAATAATGAGTGACATTATTTGAGAAATTGTCCATTTTGTTCTGATGAAGCACAAAACAGGATGCAATCCCGGAGACCTCATAACAATATACAGTGGTACCTCAGGTTACATACACTTCAGGTTACAGACTCTGCTAACCCAGAAATAGTACCTCAGGTTAATAACTTTGCTTCAGGATGAGAACAGAAATCGTGCTCTGGTGGCGCGGCAGCAGCAGGAGGCCCCATTAGCTAAAGTGGTGCTTCAGGTTAAGAACAGTTTCAGGTTAAGAACGGACCTCCGGAACGAATTAAGTACTTAACCCGAGGTACCACTGTATTAATAATTTGAGGTGCTTAGAGGAATTATTGTATTATTACGTAGCTGTTGGCTAATGCATTACACACACACACACACACACACACACACAGAAAGTTCTGAAATAATTTTGGGGTGTGTGGCTCCTCAAAGTCGAGCAAACAAACTAACAAAAATGCTTAAGCAATTCTAGAGTTTGCTGGCCTCTCAGTCAATGCCCCAACTTTAAAACACAGTATTAAAAACAATTTCAAACAACATATATTGAGTAACCGCAATACAGCATATAGCAATCTATCAACCTGGTGTGCAGAAACACTTTTATTTCTTCACCTGGCCACTCAGTATAAATTATTCAGAGAAAAATATTTCAGTTTCTTGATCTTTTATTTCAAGAAGAAAATGTACTTTTTCATTTAAAAACTATGTAAAACCTTCAATAATTAAACAATGATAAAAATGCAATTGTTGTGTTTGCAGAGGAAATCAGCCAGGAATCATTTCTGTAATTCGCTTTAAATTGCAATCCTATATACTCAAGCACCAGGGGAGTAAGCCCCATTGAACTCACCCTCTTTCTGGACAGACACGCATAGTAACGCGGCAATTGTCTTAGTGTTGCTTTGTGTGGACTCCGATTTTAAAGCGACTGTTTCTTTAACCGCGGTTTATAATCACAGGAACTACAAGTCCCAGAATGCATCGAGGCAGTGGAATTGTTCATATCCGGTAAAAGGAGTACGTGATGGGAGCTGTAGTCTACAATGATTGCCGTTTGGACCTGTAGGAATACATTTCCGGTGGGGACCCTCTTTTGTTTAAATTGGGTGCTCGACTTTTATGAATAAAGTAGCCAATATCTTGCACAAGTAACAACAGTGATTGTCTTAAAATGATCCTTGGGATGGGAGGGAACACGTGCTTGTGCGTTAGAGTACAACAAAGCATGCATTTTTTTTAAAGTGAGTCTGATCAACTCACTATGCAGAGGTTCGTTTGCTGACTGTAGGAAGCTTCCTTACACTCAGTCGGGACATTGCTCCATCTAGCTCAGTATTGTCTGCACTGACTGGCAGCGGCTCTCCAGGATTTCAGACAGGACTCTCACCCAGCAGCTAGAGACCCTGGGGCTCGAACCTGCTACTGCTCTACCAGTGAGCTAAGGCCTTTGTCCCTTAGACCAGGGAAATCCTGGTTGCTTTGGGCTTGAGAGAGCAAATATTGTAGTCGGTCAACAATAGTTTGCATATGCTGATCTAAATTGCACCTTAAAAGAGAAAACAGCGGTTCTGTCTTTAAGTTCTGCATGTTTGTTTTGAAGTCCCATTAAGCTCATTGAGGCTCATTCCAAAGTAAGTGTGCATTGTGTATTGTCTTCTAAATGCGACTTTGAAATGGGAAGTTTACTTTAATGCCAGAGGGTGCTGCAGATAATCTGGATGTGTATTTGGCATCTGTTCCACCAGGAAAGGATGGGAGTCTGTTGGGTGTTTTTTTAACCTACTTGCAGATGCTCATTCTGTATCTGCTTAAATGTCTACCGTTGAAGCTGACAAAGCCTTTCCAGCACAATGCTGGTGAGAGGAGGACAGGTTAGACCGGTTTGCTTACTGAACAAAGGAGCAGCAGCTAAGCAAGGTTAGGGCACACCAATAGAAAGCCAGGCAGGATCCGCACATGCAGATGGAAAACCTGGCCTATTGAACATGTGAATGGTGTGCATATGGGCAGGGAGTAGGTTACAGAACTATAGCGTCCCAATCAAGAGAAATCCTAGTACTGCTATTTTCTGCCTTGGTTAAACCACACTGGAGTACTGTGTCCAGTTTTGGGCACCACAATTTAAGAAGGCTAATGACAAGCTAGGGACTCGGGTTAAACCACAGAGCCTAGGACTTGCCAATCAGAAGGTCGGCAGTTCGAATCCCCGTGACGGGGTGAGCTCCCGTTGCTCGGTCCCTGCTCCTGCCAACCTAGCAGTTTGAAAGCACGTCAAAGTGCAAGTAGATAAATAGGTACCGCTCCAGCAGGAAGGTAAACATGTGTTGCTCTGGTTCGCCAGAAGCGGCCAATAAAGCGAGATGAGCGCCGCAACCCCAGAGTCGGTCACGACTGGACCTAATGGTCAGGAGTCCCTTTACCTTTACCTTAATGACAAGCTGGAATGTGTGCCAAGGAGGGTGACCAAGATCATCAAGGATCTGGAAACCAACCAAGCCTTATGAGGAATGGTTGAAGGAGTTGGGCATGTTTAGCTTGGAAAAAAGGACAGAGCAAGCTTGTTTTCTCCTGCTCCAGAGGCTAGGACCCGTAGCAATGAATTCAAGTTATAAGAAAGGAGATTCCAGCTAAATATTGGGGGGAGCTTCTGACACTAAGAGCTGTTTGACAGTGGAGTAGACTCCCAGCACAAGAGGTGGTGGACTCTCCTTCGTTGGAGGTTTCTAAGCAGAGGTTGGATGGCCATCTGTCATGTATGATCTAGCTGAGATTCCTGCATTGCAGGGGGTTGGACTCGATGATCCTTGGAGTCCCTTCCAAGTCTACATTTCTACATTTCTATAAGTCCATGATTCTGTTACAGATGGCAGTAGAGCAGCAACTGTTGTTGGCGTGTAATCTTTCCAAAGGAGCAAAGTCTAGCTGAGCACAACTCATTTTGTTTTGCAGTGGAATTAATTTCTGCTGTTAGTGAGAAGAACGGGGGAGGGGGGCTTGTTTATGTATAAGAAGAATCACGACATAGCTATACGTGTGCATTTTGTTTCGCGGGGTGGGATATAGTCCTATGATTTTCCTGCGCCTTTCTCGCCATGGTCGTTAGCGTTGCCAACTTCTTCGGGGACGGCTGCTGTGCCTTTCATGGCAAACAAAATATCCAGCAAGCAAATGCCCGAATGTGAACACGACTGAGGGTGTAGCTGTAGCAGCAGCAGCAGTAACAGAAAACTCCACCTGTTTAGTTTCTGCCTGTCACACCCCATTCCAGGCACAGTAGCAGGAGGAAGTGGGGAGTTGTTGACAGCCTCTTTTGGGGGTGGGATAAGGGGCATTTGACTTGAGGACTTGGTTGCCAAGAGTCTTTTACTGTTAAGCAGCATGTATAAAAGGGAGAGGGTGCTTTTTTGAGGTGGGGGACCCCGCACTATTCACGTTCTGTATTAGCAATAAATGATGTGCATCTATATATATTTCTGTATACTGTGCATCATAACTCTCTCATCCTCAGTTCTAAAGGCTCAGGCTACCGAGGTGTTTTTATTTTTATTTTTTTAAAGCCAAACCCAAGCACCCCGATTTCCCTTTTACGTATATACTGGGTCCCTCCGCCTTGGGGGGTGTGCGTGTGCGCGCGAGGCCACAACAAAGCCCCGCGCGCCTCTGGAGCTCGCGGCTTGAGCTTCCTTGCAAGCCGGCGGCGACGGCGGCCAGGCTCGCGGAGCCTACCCTTCCCATGATGCAGCGCGCCGCCCCGAGTCCCCAGTGGGCCGCCATGTTGTTGGAGTGAAAGGCAGGGGGAGCGGCAGCCGGAGCTAGAGGCCGGGGGGAGGGGGGGGCCTTTGAGATCCATCTTCATCCTACCGTTCCGCCCGTGAGTATCCGGACCGGAGTGGGCCGAAACGGGACTCGGCACCCCAGGCAGCCCGATGGTAGAGCCGTATTGGGGCTAGGGGTTAGGCCGAGGCGGCGAGGCCCTTCCGAAAGGCGGCCCTGGGCGGGCATTATCGCGGAGGCTCTTCCTCGCGCTTGTTCCTGGTACATATTTTCGAGTCCAAGCAAGGCCTCTATTGTTGTTCCAGGAGGGGAGGGGGGAGGGAGAGAGGAAGGACCGATGGGGGGGGGCGACTCGAGGCGCCCGGGACGCCCCCCTTTAAACTGTATAGCCCCCCCTCCCCGGAAAAAGCCCCCACCTTAAAAAAAGAAGCAGCAGCTTATACCATCCCCTGGGGTGGTTTTGTTCTCTCATTCCCTCCCTCCCCTCCTTCCTTTTCTTTGGGGGTGGGGAGGAGAGGCGGGGAAGAGAGTTTACTTCGGCTTAAAATAGTCTTTCCAAGCAGCCAGAGTGATTAATATGCTTCATTTTTGGGGGGCGGGGGTTGGTGGTTTGGTGGCGGTGGTCGGGGGGTGGCTGATTTCATGGTGCAGGATTGAACTCCAGCGATGTGGAGGATAAAAGGGGGAGTACTTTGGGGGAGGGAGGTGGGGGAAAAGTGATTAAACAGGGGGAGGTAATTAGGATTTTCAAACGTCCGTAGGTGATGCCTAATTAAAATCGTCCGCGAGCAGGGCATACAGGAAATGGTGTACGTGACTTAAACTTTGTCTGCCACTGGTGTACAGGGTTGGGTGGGTAGGTATGTATGTATACATTGGATGGGGGGAGCTTCTTAGTGTCCGGTTGGGAGGAGTGGATGGTGTGTTGGATGTTATACAATGGGGGGTGGAGGGTGTTTCTCTTCCTTGGCCCACAGTGAGTTAATACCTCTGGAGCTCGTGTTTCTTTGTAGTAGCTAGTTGGGCTTGTTTTGGGACCCTTGTGTTTGTTTTTTTCAGGGCGAGCATGGTGGTGTAGGGATTTCTGTTTTTTTTTTTTTTTGTCCGGATGAAAGGGGCATAAAGAATACATGCAGTAATGGATTTCCTGGTTTGTCTCGGTTTTTTATACATATAGCTTGTGTGTTTATCTGTAAGTGAGCAACAATGAAAGGCTGGCTTCTCTCCCCACCTAGGCCCTTGGCCCTTCTAGCTTCAAGTTAGTTCTTGGTGAAGCCATTCTGAAGTGAAACAAAGTTACGGAAGAGGAAGGGGTAGCCCTTTGTTAGCATATGAACCCCATGGAAAATATTATCAATTTAAAGACTTTTATTTATCGGAGAGGGGCATGCCTGATCATGTAAGAACCATAACAAAGAACTGAATGTACAGTTTGATCCTTTGCATCTTTACTCAGAAGTGACTCCCACCACTTACTCCCAGGTAAATATACATAGGATCACAACTTTATGTCATGGCCCAGAATTAATGCTGCTTCAGTTCACTGAAATAAATAAATTTTTAGTGTGCTTAACTCTTATGTTGGGCTGTGGTCTTAGAATTTGTAGGCAACAAACTTCAAACGCAGAGAGACAATTTTCCTAGAAAAAGGAGGATTTGATGGCTTAAAAATATAATATGGGGATAGCAATTTACCTTCTGGATTACAATTTTTAATTCCTTCCCTGGTATTAACCCTGGAAGGCGAGTTTCTATGTAGCAATTCAGTTATGCCATGTTATATCAGTTTTATTAAATTATATCAGTATTTGTTATGCCATGTTATATCAGTTTTATTAAATTGTTTTAAAGTTTGTTTCTAGTTTATATAAAAGAGAAAGTTACACATTGTGATTCCTTTTACCAATCTAGTAAGGACGACAAAAAAAATGTTTTCTTTCTTTTTTGGTAACGTGGATATAGTTTATGTTGAAGGGTGCATCTTTGATAAGGGCCACAGGCTGCCTTTTTGTTTGTAAATTAGCAGCTATCATAGGAAGCTGATAACAAAACTTGGGATTCAAGTGAGGGGGAAATAAACTGTGATGGTCATGTGACTTGAACCACCCTTTATAGTTTGAAAGGTTTTCTGTAGATCAGGGTTTTCAAAGTGGGGGTCTGGTGTCAACCTTTTTTGGGCAGATGAGAAATGGAGAGAGTCGCCTTTTGTAGAACTTCCTCTTGTGGGCATGGGATGTTCATGTGGCGTGGGTTCACACTGAGAGAGTAGGCTGCTTTGGACAATTGGGTTGCCTTAGGTGGTCTTTAGGCCTTTCCAGATTACTGATTCTGTGGCACTGCAGCTGTCTTGTTCTCTCTGCAGTACCGGAAGCTTGACTGAAAGTACATTGATAGGACATTCTGTTATAGTGTTAGGGAGCAGAGGGATTGTGGCTGAATGAACAGACTGTGCTGCAAAGTGTGGGTTCTATCCCTCAGGTGTGCAGTGAGCAGATAAGAGTGGTGTGGAGCTTGGTAATTAGAGTCTGGGAATCCCTAGTGTAAGAGTCCTCTGTTTGCATGAAGTGATATAAAAATACTTTAGTTTTAAACTTCCCAGCATGCTGTTCCCCCTGTGCCTTTTCAAAAATGTGTATTTGCATTTAGGGATTTCCTTACGAATGGCATTCGTTGGTGGTGCTGTGCCTACATAGGTGGTTGTACAAATGTACCTTCACAGTGCTGAGATTTGAAAAGAAAGCGACAGTTCTTAATTTTTTTTATCACATTTCCCCCACTATACAGTTCTCTTTCACTGCCATCTAAGATTAAGTACCCTAAGATGATGTTGATGGCTTAGTGGGTGTGTAGTCTTAATCTTCTGTTCTAACAACTACATCACACCAGCTCTCAGTTCTGTAAGGGAGCAGGAGGAAGTGTAGTATATTGTAACTGACACATTTCTAAACTTTGTAAGCTGCTCTGGGAGCCTCTTTCAGTGGAAGAGCGGAATAAAAATGCTTCAAATAAATTACTTCTTGAACATGAGCGCAAAGTACTGGACTGAGGAACTGTTGCTTCAAGCCTGGACATGGTATATTGGGCATAGTGTTGCTTCAAGCCTGGGCATGGTGTTTTAGGCGTAGTTTTGCTTCTGTAATGCTGGAAATACACATTAGATTCCCGGTGTTAAAATCACATTTTAAAAAATTGAGTGATGAGATGACATGGGCTATTCCAGCCCATTTCTAGCCATTTATCTTTCCTTTCATTTTTCGTTACAGCCAGTGGGCAATAGCCAAAAAACTTGTATTCAGAATAGATCAATTGAAATCAATGGGTTTAAGTTACTTGATTCCATTGATTTCAGTGAATATCACTAGTATGTTTGACTAGTGTTAGATATTGCTTAGTGAGCATAAAGCTTGCTTTGTGCAATCTTCCCCCCCTCCCCCACTTTTTCTTAAAGCTGTCTGCATGGGCAGTCACTCACTGAAAAATCTGGTTTGCTATTTTCACTGACTAAAATAGTGAAATACAGGGGTGCTTAAACTGTATCTTCAATTACTTGTGTGTTTCTTTGGACTAGTCATCAGGGCAGGAAAAGTCAATTGCAAGTTTTTATTTTAGACCTGATAAGTTTTGTATCTTCTCCAGCCCCACAATTTGACTTGCATTGATTTAGAAAATTTATTACTAATGTAATAAATGAATACATTTCTGGAGAACATTACAACAGTTGAACATCTGCCACATTTTTCCATTTGGAAAAAAAAATCCTCCCCACATTCCTACAAGGTGTCTACAGGAGATGTGGGCTTTCAGTGGTGGTGCCTGCTTTGTGGACACTCCCACTGGTGCTATTGCTAGTACGGTGCAAATGGCAGATTAGGCAGGCACCACCACTCAGAGAACGTTTAGGTTGTGTATAATTGTCCAATGGCTTTTAATAACTTTCTTTCTTTTTGCTGCCACCTTAATGATTTTGTTATGCTGCTAAGTGTGCTTTTTTTTCTGTTAAACTACTGTGCAGATTTTGAAAATTGAAAGACAGGGTATAGTTTTTTAAATATTGCTTTTCTTTAAAAAGGCTTGGCAGATAATAATTCTTGTTGTTAAAGGAGAAAAGTGGGCAATAAACATAACAATTATGAATGGAAGATTACTTGTTTATATTTTCTGTCAATGTTTCCATATTTAGAAGGAGCCAAAGTGGGGGGAAGCCCATTGATTATACTTGTTTTTAGAATATTCTGTTTGTGTTGTACTTAATTATAGTACGTACTAGAAGAAGGCTGAAGTAATTTTATTTGAATAAAGATTCCCATCTGCCCTCATTTTGTTACAGAGTAAGATACTTATTACGTATGGGTAACCAAACCAGAAATCTTGAGACTTCAAGTAAATAAGTTTGAAAGTGGGGTTTTAATCCTAACACATTTTTAAAATTAAGTACTGCTTCACATATATGTATTTACCACTTTTCATGTGCACGAACAAGCTATTGGGCATCAAACTTTGGTATACCCAACAAGCGTAGTGGCCCACTTCAGTTGTAATGGAAAACCAAAGTTTCCTGCCATGTGATTTCCCCCCCCCTCCAATGACATTCCCCACTCACCCACCTTCCTCTTTTTGCATGCCAGAGGATAAGATTGTCAAATTTGCCAAGGTACCCTACCATTTACTTGAAGATGAGCACTCCTACTTTCAATGGAATACAATAAGTAATTGGAAACATGGCCTTGGGGTCAGTTCACATGAGCATAGAGGTCACTTAATCTCTCAGTTACATTGCTTGGTATTTGATTTGCAGATTAAATGTGTGAACTGATTCCACAGAGGAGACCTGGCCCAATTCAAATTTAATGGTTTCTCACTATCTGAATGAGCATTGGGATTGTTTGTTTCCCTAGCCCAGGCGTAGGCAACCTAAGTCCCAGGGGCCGGATGCGGCCCAATCGCCTTATCGATCTGGCCTGAGGACGATCCGGGAATCAGCATGTTTTTACATGAGTAGAATGTGTCCTTTTATTTAAAATGCATCTCTGGGTTATTTGTGGGGCATAGGAATTCATTTTTTTCTTTCCAAAATACAGTCTGGCCCACCACACGACTGAAAAAGGTTGCTGACCCCTGCCCTAGCCTCTCCTTTTGGAGATGTAAAAAGTTTAGAAGCCACTACTTCTGCTTTTAAACAAAGTGCAGTTCCCCATTTTGTCTGAACCCTGGGAACAGTGGTTTGTAGAAAGTCTAGATCAGGGTGGTCCATCCTCTTGAATGAAGTGGGGCGCAGGAGTACTTTGATACAGAATCTGGAGCCACACACTGAATTAAATTTCTATATCATAAATTAAAGTGTTAGCAATAGTGTTGATATTATTCAATATATACAATTAATATATTTAATTAAATATTTATAATTAATTACATAATCAGTAGATTTTATTTACTTATTTATTAAACAGATCAGAGCCATTCTTATAAAAATAAGAGACCAAAAAGATCTGGCAGGGATGGAGAAGAAAGAGGAAAAGAGCATGCAAACAAGCAACCTGCTACAGCTGCTGGGCAGATTAGTGAAGTCCCACTCAACTTTTTTTTTTTTTTTGCCCTTTACCCCTTCTCTCCTTTCTCCTGCACCCAGCATTGCAGTTGCCAAAATATGCAACACACACTAACCCGTGTGTGCACTTACACTCTCCAGGCCAAGTTAGGGATTCCCTGCAAATGCCTACCCCTCCCTCCTACAAGGAAGACAATGCTGGCATGACTGGAGAAACTGCCTCTTGCTCCTTTCCTTTCTTCTCCCTGTCCCAATTCTCATCCCACCCCTGAGGAGGATTCTCAGCTGCAGCTGGGATGGGTGGCTTGTGGTGGTCATGAGCAAACCAGTGCAAAGCTTTCATGTAGTCCCTTCTAATTCCCTGCAGCTTCGGTACTTAGCAAGGGCCTTGAGGAGCTTGTATTGGGCCACCCTGGTCTAGATGGTTAACAAGCCGCAGTCTAGTTGGCTCCTGGCTTGTTTTCACTAACTATAGTTAAAACAAGACAGTGTGGATGCAACAGTAAACTATGGCTTGTTTAAAATGGGGCATGAACCTTCCTTTCTGTGTTGTTTAAGGAACAATTTCATGCAGTTATCCAAATGCACATGAGCTGGTGTGTTTTCCAGTTTGAAAGGTTCCTACAGTCATTAAGCAATTGCTCTGAAAGAGTTATTCTTTGAACCAAGCTTTGTGATGATGTTGGAGCGCTCAGGGTTTCAGCTCATGGACAGTTGATACGCATTTGGTAGGCTGTTCTGCTTCAGACATGCCCTCAATGCATGAATAGCTCTTGGAAAGATTGTGTGTGGCACCATTTGGCATGCTTTACATGGTTACAATCATGTGACACTGAATATCTAAAAAGCACTATTGACTAGCCACCTTCTGTTCAAATGAACAGATGCTGCTATCTTCTGATGAGTTGAAACCACCACTCTGAAGCAATTTAGATATAATTTAGGATGTTTATTTGGCTGATGCTTGGTACACAAAACCAAAAAAGTATGACATGTTAACTTTATGTGCTGTATAAATATCTCAGAAATATTTTCCCAGTGACAAAAAGTATTTGAATTGAAACACTTGATTAGGAATTGCAAATAAAGCAAACTGTGATTTTTGTAAGTGTTCTTAAAACGTGACCCACACACTCCTCTTACATTGTTTGGATCATATGGGGGGGAGGGGAATCACTGAAAAGTGTAAACTTGGGCCAAGCTCTTAACAAATAGTTGTTTGTGTGCGGCCCAATAGCTCCCACTTTGCTCTTCCTCTGGCTAGAGTGCATGAACAAATCAGAAAGGGGATAGCTTATCATTACTATCTGAATCTGGGATCACTTTAAGAAACTACAATTGCTAATCAGACTTAAACCATGTTTTGTAGTTGATTTACGGATTATGGTTTGTTAGAGTGAAACATCCATGTTTCTGGTGTAACATTAAGCTATTCCCATGCTGGTTTGTTTACCCGCTTGTGTTAGAGAAGGGGAAATGGGAGTGATCAGGTGACTTGCACAGTATGATTTATTAAGCCAGTATCTTCACTTTACCATTACATGCGAATGTGGACATACTAATTTTAGCATGCCTAAGGAGCTGGGTGCTTCCTAGGAACAGCCACTTGAAAAGCTTTAGATTTCAGTAGCATTGCATCCATCCATTATATAGTTTTGTTTTGTTTAAAATATTTTGAGCGTCTCATCAATACAAAAGGAATCCCAAAGTGTTTTACAGCCACAATTAATTGAAGTTATATTTGGCTGTGATAAAAGTTCAGTAGAACGTTAAACTCAAAATAAACTCAGTGGCCAGCAATTTGCCCAAAGGCCTGGGAAAATAAAGCTTGGCACCAGCCTTATCTGTGAGTGGGAATATTTTTCTATAAATAAAAAATTTACTGCACAAAAATCAAGTAATCTTGTCAAATTATTGGCCGGTCTAGCCCAGTACTGTCTGCTCCAGCTTTCCCCAACCTGGTGCTCTTCCGATGTTTTGGACTATACTTCTACCAGACTCAGACAGCGTGGCCAACGATTAGGGATGATGCCACTTGTAGTTCAGCAACAGGTGGAGGGCACTAGGTCAGGGAAGGCTGGCCAGCTCCAGTGCTGGCCTCTCCAAGGTCTCTAACAGGGTCCCCCCACCCCACTTCAGAAGTCTTGTTACCTGAGGTATTTTTAGTCTGAAACCTTATGCTAAAAGAGTATGTGCTGCTTAAACTGAGCTGCATATGCTGCTTAAACTGAGCTGCAGTACCTCCTTGCTGTCCCTGTGCTCTTCAGTTGGAATACAGTGGTACCTCTGGTTGCGAATGGGATCCGTTCCGGAGGCCCATTCGCAACATGAAAGGAACGCAACCTGCAGCGGCTCGCCTGCGTACTTGCGGGTTGCGATTCGCCACTTCTGCACATGCACATGATGTCATTTTGCGTGTTTGCGCATGCACAAGCGGTGAAACCCGGAAGTAACCCTTTCCGGTACTTCCGGGTTGCTGCGGGATGTAGCCTGAAAAAACGTAACATGAAGCAAACGTAACATGAGGTATGACTGTACTGATACCTTTACTGGTGCTTTATGTGCAGTTCCCTCCCTCTCCCACCGTCTGCTTGACCCAGGGGTGGTCAACCTTTTTTTACCTACCGCCCACTAATGCATCTTTCTTTATGGTAAAATTTCCTTACCGCCCACCAGTGCTTGATGGAAGGAGGATTCATCTTGTGCTGTAGAACCCCCTACCGCCCACCTAGAATCCTGAAACGCCCACTAGTGGGCGGTAGGAACCAAGTTGACAACCCCTGGCTTGACCTCAAGTGCGGAAGACAAGTGCTGTTGGCACCTTTGTCTTTATTTTATTTCAGGTTAGCGGTTGTACAGGATAATTTGGCTTTGGAGCGTGTGGGTCCAAAGATGCTTTCTGTGAAACGCTTTTGAGAACAGTAATTGAGGAGGTAAATCTTGCCTGACATGGTGAGATTTGATATCAGGAGCCATGGATGTGGTTATTAAGCTTATGCTGGTGCATGCTTTAAAGGCTGGAGGAAACAGGCTGATTTAAGCATTTTGAACCTGTCTCTCCTTAGGTATTGGTGGAATGAGCGTTGCGTGTGTTTTGAAGAGAAAAGCAGTGCTCTGGCAGGACTCCTTCAGCCCCCACCTGAAACAGCACAGTCAAGATACAGCTAATCCCAACATGCCTGTTGTTTTGACATCTGGAACAGGGTCCCAGGCTCAGCAACAGCCAGCTGCAAATCAAGCCCTTGCAGCAGGGACCCACTCCAGCCCTGTTCCTGGATCTATAGGGGTTGCAGGCCGCTCCCAGGACGACGCAATGGTGGATTACTTCTTTCAGAGGCAGCATGGTGAGCAGCTTGGGGGAGGCGGAAGTGGTGGAGGCAGCTATAATAACAGCAAACATCGGTGGCCTACTGGGGATAACATTCATGCTGAACATCAGGTAAACAGTTAAATATTTCACAACTGAACAAATGAGCTAAGCAGGCCTGTGACAGTTGCATGCAGAGAATGTTATTAAAATCTGTGTATCTACATGAGCATTTTTCATTCTGTTGCCTCTTCAGCCTCATTTTATAGGACAATGCAGTAAGATAATTCCTATATCTCTTAAATAAAAATGTGTATATATTTGCAAATTGTCTTATGCTTGTTGACTTCTTTCTGTCTTAGTTGGACCAGCAGGGCAGTGCTTCTTTCCCCCCCCCCTTGTCTTTTCAAACCCACTACTATTGTTAGTTTCCATAGTTAGAAAAATGATGAAACTTCTTAAAGCAGCACTGGTAAACCTTATTAATGTGCTGGGTTGGCAAGATGTCAGTGTTGTACCTGCTTGTGCCTCCCCCTCCCCCCCCCCATGTGGGGATAAGTGCACTCTTTAAACACTTCATTGAAGCATCCATCTCTTCTCCAGCTTCTTGGTAGACTTTTGTGCTCATTAGCTGGGGAATGCCTTTTAAAAAAAACGTTGCTGAGCCAACTTTTCTGCTCAGCAACCAGGACAGACTTAAAAATTGGCTGTCAAATAGAAAAATCTGCCCAGCCACCCAAGAAAAGCCTTATGCCTTGTGTGCACTATGTGAGCCTCTGGGCACTCCCACGGACTAAATGGCATAGGGGATAAAATTGTCACCTGAATCATCCATTGACAAGCAGTGGAAGCTGAAGAGTACAATAAATATCTGTAGTCTCCGCCAGCTCCTTCCTAAATAAAAGGGATTTTTTAGGCTGTATAGGAAGGGAAGGGAAGAGTTACTGCTACCTGCTGTTGCTGTCTCTTGTGCGTGCATCCGTATTTGTGTGTAACCTATGACCTGTCTGGGTGGGTTGAATGTGTTTATGAGATTTGGGGGGGGGTAAAGTGGTTGAAGGCAAATTTAAAGGGACACCTATCCATAAATACATTTAGTTGTCTCTTAACTTGCATCCTCGTAATCAGCAGTGGACCCCCACTGAATCCCGAGTTCTGCACCTCTGAGCTAAATGATCTCCCCTCACTAAATTCACTTAAACTTGATAAGTGCTCAGATGATTACTTTTCTTTTTAAAAAACGCTATACCCTGTTCCTGAGCCAGTGAGGAGCTTTTTAGTAAGCCTTCAGTATGCCTACATACAGTATTTGTGAAAACTGCTGAAAAATAAAACTCTTTATTTTTTTGGTCAGGTGATGGCCTGAGCATTGATGATAAAATGTGAAGTGGAGCTGTGTTTTGAGAAATAAGTGCCCCACAGGGAAAATAGAATGTGCTTTTTGTGTTTGTCAAAAGAATGAGCACTCCAAAATGATTTGTGATGGTTATTGTCTTTCCTGCTGGAGAATTTGAATTGTATCTTGTTTTGAAGATTTATATTTGTAAATATGATTTCCATAGCACCACACAATAAATAAAGAAGTCAGAGTACAGTGTAAATAAACTGTATAAACATATCAAATGAAAGAGCAGTAACAAAAGAGGTAGAAACAGCATCCAGATGTAAAAAAGACACAAACCAGATAAGCACTCAATAGGAGGCCTGTTTGAAAAGTCCTCAAGAATTAAAACTAAAATGGTGGAGCTTTCACTGAGCAGTAAATGGGTTTTAATTTAGCAGTTAAAACAGAACAAGGAACTTACCATGAAGAGTTCTCTGTGGAGGACATTCTGTGAGTGGGATGTTGCCACTGAGTTGGCCATCCCCTGATTGCCACTCAGCTTATTGCCAAGGCGGAGAGTCCCAGAGAAAGGCCTCTGATGAAGCAGGATCATATGGATCATATGGATCAGAGTTGATCATTTGAACACCCAGGTCTTAATTGAGCATCATCCTCTCCAGTGATGATATTCCTATCACAGGGTGTGTGGGTGTGTTTGGCAGTATCTCTTTCTCTCGTGGAAGATACTAATCTGTGTTCTTGACGTTTGTAAAGACAGTAGGCTGGTTGCTGCTGCTTTAGGTTCCGGAACTTGTAGGACTTGGTTACTGACGGACTACATTTCTGTACAAGACCTATGTGGAAATTAAAAGAAACTGCTTGAACCATAATCTAGTGCAGTCTTTCTCAACCTTGGGTTCCTAGATGCTGTTGGACTACAACTCACATCATTCCTAACCACCATGGCTAGTGGTCAGGGATGGTGGGAGTTGTCATTAAAGAACATCTTGGGACCCAAGGTTGAGAAAGCCTTGTCTAGTGTATGGGACAATATGGCTTAGATCAGCTGTCCCCAATGTGATGCCAAACAGATGTTTTCAAGTAACTCCTATGTTGGCTGAGACTAATGGGCGTTGCAGTCCAAAACATCTGGAGGACTCCAGGTTGGGGAAGGCAGCCCGATATTGCACTGTACTATAAAATCTCTTTAGCCACCATAACTGTTCTCTCGTAGGGGAATTCTGCTGCCTTTAATAACGTTCTTTCTCCCCTTCAAAGTAAACCACCCTTATCATTCCTGAATGACTTTTTTTAACTAGGTTGAGAGCCAGGCTGGAAAGTGGCTTTATGTTGTGCATTGTTTGCCTAAATGTAAATGGTTGTTGCTCAGGAGCTCAGTTTGTTGAAATGTGTTAACCTTGCTATTGCAAGTGAAGACTTGTAATGTGACCAGTGTTTGTGAAGTGTTGGGAGGGTGAGTTTATAAAGAGCAAGTATCTTTCTGGTGGTAGTATGTTTTGGAGCATTATAAACTTCTGTGTTACCTACAAAAACACTGTTGAAATAGACATCAAAATACCAGGGAAGCGCAGGAAATAAGAATCATGGAAGTATGGGGCATCAGCAGAGAAAACAGAATTTGACTAGATATTGACTTAACCCTGGTGAGGCTACACCTGGAGTACTTTGTCCACTTCTGGGTGCCACAGTTCAAGAAGGATTTTGACAAGCTGGAACATGTGCAGAAGAGGGCAACCAAGACGTTCAACAGCTAGTAGCTGTTGACAGGTTTGTCTTTCCTGAATTTATCTATTCTCCTTTAAGCCACCCAAGTTGCTTACCTTCACTACCTCCTGTGGGAGTGACCTGCAGGAACAGGTGCTTCCTTTAATCTGTCCTAAATATTCCAACATTCAGTTTCATTGGATGTCCAAAAGATCTAGTCTTATGAGAGAAAGACACTTCTCTATCCACTTTCTCCACACCATGCATAATTTTACAAACTATCATGCCACCTCTTGCTCTCCTTTTCTCTCAAGTCCAAAGTCCCAAATGCTGCAAGTTTTCCTCATAGAGAAGTTGCTCCATAACCCATAATTGCATTACATGATCCAAGCCATACAACCAAATATTTTAAACAGCTGCAGCCCTGTTTCTGTACTATAGAAAAACAAAACACAGAAATTGTTCCACGTAAATGACTCTTGATATGTAAACCTGAACATTCCTGTTTGGAGTTGGTCAACTTGCAGCCTACAGAGCAATCTTAATCTGGTGTCTGGCAGTTCTATCAAAGTTCAGTGAAGATGTGGTTAAAAAGTCACACTTACTGTTTCACTCATAAGGAGAAAAAAGATTCGCAGTGCAATCCTGTACATGTCTACTCAGAAGTAAGTTCAGTGGGGCTTATTCCCAGGTAAATAGGTATAGATTGCAGCCACAGAATTTTGCGGTTGCATCTCTTTAGGTTTCTTGGAGAAGCAATGAAACACTATGTATTCCACAGTGTTGCATTCCATGCTGTACCTTCACAATTGATCATCTCATATTGCCAAAATGCACTGTGACAAGAGCTATGGAATGCCTTCAAAATAGTAAACCCCTTGAACTCAACCTAATATGTTACTCGTGATCACACGCATCTTTGTGAATCATAGGCAGGAAATATCCCTGGCTTGGCTAAGGAAGGGACACGGTGTCCATATTTGTCAGAACCTGCTGAAAGAGGAGGCCCTGCCTGTGTCTGTGTTTTACAGTGTTTTCACGGTTAAACACGTTGCTCAAGTGTGCACATCTTCAAAAAGCTTTCTGAACCCAGACACCTGATCTGTGCCATATGGGCCTTGCGTCCTTTTTGGTGAAGATATGTTGGCATGCTTTCTTTACATAGATAAATACAATAGGCTGATTGTCCTCTTGGGAATAAGTGGCACATGGCTGCTTATAGAAGACAGTCTGACTTGAACAGAAACTTAAAAGGAGGCAGTTTGAACCATGATCTAATATGGCACAAGACTATTCTATTCTTTATTCCTACTTCCAGCATAACCATATTGCCTCTAAGTACTAAAAGCATGGTCCTCTGATTTCAGGAGCAATTCATCCCATAATTTGAACTTCTTCTGTTGCCAGATCTCTGAATTGAATACTTTCCCCCTTTAGAAAAAAAAATAATCGCCCAGTATATCTTTCAAATTTAAAGTGTGTTGGTTAAGGGGAAAATCCTGTAGCTTCTGAATATGTCCCATGACTCCAGAACTCTTGATGGTCCTGACTTAATGCCTCTTATTTTTGACTGGTTGCTGCCCCACTTTTTTCTAAACTAAAAAGCCCCAAATGTCATAACTTTTCCTTGTAGGAGAGTAGTTACAGTCCCTTGATCATTTTGGTTGCCTCTCCCCCCCCCCCCCCCGGTATTACTTCCTTTTGGAGATATAACAGCCAGAATGGTATCTTATGCAAAGTGATGAATATCAGGAATCTGTACCCACAGTGTTCTGGGGAGTTCGTCCAACATTCCACCTGAACTGATTTGGGGGTACATGTGCAGGGAGAAGAGGGAGAGCTCTGTTGTACTGGTGTGATTTATGACTCCTGCAAGGGCAATTATTTAGTTGAATCCAGCCCTATGTTAATAGAAGCTCAAGTCCGATTTGGTCAAATAAACCATGGTTGAGGTTGTCTTGCTTCTCAGTCACAGTTCCTTTGAGGTTGAAACAACGAATAATGCCAATGTCAGCCTCTGGTTTGTTTCCTCCCAAGTGAAGAGCTACTTGGGAATGCTTCAGCTGCATACCAGCACACTGGTCATTCACACATTAAATCAGCTTGATGTGAACTAAAGCAGTGGTGGAATTGATGTGGATGAATTTGATAGTAGAGTTGAAATGTTCATCTACATACAGGTTGACCTTTTATCATTGGTACTTTAGTGGCTGACAGCCCACATACACACATTGCTGATGGTTCAAGAGAACTACTAATAGCTGAATTCTTCTTTCTAGCTAAAACTTTGTAGAGGATGTTTCATTAGTTGCTGCTTTAGAATGGGCAGAATTATAGAAGGCTTTGATTATTCTTTTTCAATTTTATTAATATAATCTGTTTTGGTTGGCTATATGTCCAAAAACTCCCATTTGATTTCCTTTGTGTCTGCTAAACCTCATTTTCTCTTATTAACTTGAATATATAAATATGCTTTTTTGTTCTGCTGTTATTAGTTATAGTGGTATACATGTGTGTCCCCCCTTCAAAATATGTTTACTTTACAGGCCTAATTATGTTCTGCAAGTCATATGCAATTGCTTATATGTTGTTTAGAATTGGTGTACAGTTGTTCTGTCTTTTAGTTTTATAGGCCATGTGACAAAGCTTCTTTCACCTGTTTTTCTTGCATCTTTCAATGTTTAATAGGTTCGATCTATGGATGAATTAAATCATGATTTTCAAGCACTTGCTCTGGAAGGAAGAGCTATGGGAGAGGTAAGTGAACATATTTTGTTGCATTTCTTTCTTTATTTCCTTCCAGGTAAGCCCAAACAGTGTCCCGTTTTCTCTTGGATACTGCCCTGGCCCAGGCCTGTTTGTCTTTTCAGAGATGGAACTATAGAAGGTGCTCTCGCACCATTTTCTGAGATAGAAAACTCAGTATACTATAATGGTATTTGTCCAGGTACTACATGTTTTGCCCCCCCCCCCCAAACCTACATCTGTGCCATCTTAAATTGTGTAGGAGGTCTGTTTTACCCATGACTGCTACAAAGCAGGGTTTGTGATTTAGAACGGATTCTTGAAAGAGAGGTGGATCTTGCAGAGATTTGAGATGATCATTTGGTGCTGCAGTGTAAATGAAAAATGAGCACTTGAATAGCAGCAGTGTATAGTGTAGACCATTCTTCCCCAACTTTGACTACCCAGATGTTGCAGATGTTCCCGTCAACCCTGTCCAATGGCCAAATAGTCTGGGACTGAAGGGAGTTGCAGTCCAACAACGTCCAAGATTGTGAAAGACATTAGGGATGTTCCACCTTGAGTAACGAACACAGGAAGCTGTCTTATGTCAGGTCAAAACTATTTCTCCATCTAGCTCAGTATGAGCTACTCTGATCATACCCATCACCTGATCATTTAATTGGAAATGTCAGGAATTGAACTGGGGATCTTCGGCATGATAAGCGTGTTCTCCAAATAATGAATGCTGTGAATCCATATTTATTTGCGTGGTGGATGAATTAAGACCAGTGTTCGAAATTAGCCAGGTACATTTTGCATCTGATTATTGGCCACTTGCAACCAAGTGAAGCCATCTCCTGCCATTTTGTGGTGCATGCCTTGGGATCATTGGATCTTGACTGTTTTCACACACTAATGCCATATCCTGTATAATTCTATCAGTTATATTTTATCTGCACAATCAGAATGAATTTCAGGAACCAAAATGCTTTTTCTGTGCAGCCTGAGCAGGAGCAGTGAATGAAATTAATAGCTAATTAGTTTGTCTTCACTTTCCCCACCCCACTGCCCTACTCACAGTTGTGAAGAATATTCTTACATTATGAATGGTCCGTGTCACCATTAAGAAAAAGAGGTAGGAATAGGCCAATATTTATGTGGACTATCCCTGGATAAAGTTCTCAGAAGTTCTTAACCTAGCTCAAGGTTGTCATCTGAACTAGCCAGATGTTTAACTGATAATCAATCACAGTCTGTCGATCATTTGAAAAATGCAGATCCTTACGCTATATATGAGTCCACTTTAGAGACTACTTTTGGTTGTGGGGCTCAGAAAGCAGAGTACATGTATATGGGTTTTTATTCCAGAAATAATACCAAAAAAGCAGGAGATTATATGAATAGAATATTCAAAGATGGCTCATGAAGCCCGCACAATCCTCCATTGTCCATTCTTGACCCTGATATTAAAGAAAATCCACTGACTGATTTGCAAAATGCTTGTCTGACTATAAGAACCAAGTATGCTAACTTAATTGCTTCATAATTGGATAAAGGATATCATCACTCTAATTAAAGTAGTTGCTAGTATGCCCCTGAATATGTTTCATGTTGACGATGACAGTGAAATAAGTAACAGGAAATTAAGTAGTTCTTTGGCGGGAAACAGTGGTATATGCAGCACTGGAAAATTTGGAGAATTAATTTTGATTGGGTAGGGGGAGAGAACAGGGCAGACTCACAGTTTGTGACCCCCCTCTGCCCCTTAAAGGATCTAAATGGCATGATCCAGCAACCTTCTAGTGTACTAGCTTTTACATTTGCCAGCACTGAAGAGCTTTGCACATACATAATTATAGAGTGAGTGCACAGATAATGGCAGTCCAAAATTTCACAGTGAGGCAGACTTACTAGCTTGCCTCTCGATTGAATCCAAAGAAATGAAAAATCATAAATAGAAATTGCTCACTAAGAATGTATCTGATGTCATACTTCAAAATTTCGCATCTGAGAGTCAGCAGTTTAAGATAATCATGGCATGCAAACACCTTGTATCACTGAAATTTATGTAGCCCCCCGATAATCTTTTCCATCCAAGAAACAAGTGAACTGTCCAAAAGTCTGGGCTTGTAGCAAACAGCTGACTCCATGGTATAGATATCTCGCCATGGAAATAGTTTGGCAGCGAGTATCTCACCCTAAGAACGGATGACTTGGATTACTGCATGACTTAGAATACCAGAAAAAGAGCAGCTGGTTGGCTGGGGAACCGAAGAACTAAGCTGTCAACCCTGTAAGCAGTGAATAAAGTTTCCAGCCACCTAACTAAATGACTAAATAGTTTTATCTATTTTGAAAAACCTAACAATACCAGTGTTTATTTTCACGATACTATCTGAATTAGTCAACTTGGAAAAGAGATTGCTAGGCAAATAATAGTGAAAAAAATGAAATGTTTGAGGTTTTTTATTTTACAGTCGGGCAGTATATAATTTTTATTCAAAAAATAAAATGTAAGCATGAATTTTAAACACAACAAACAGTTGGTTTTATATATAAGCTGGGAAAAGAATAAATATAAGAGACCAGGAAGGGAGGCAAAGTGTTCCCAAGGCCTAAGAAAGGTTTAATAAGATAGTGAGCGAATATTTATTCAGGTTCACAGCCTTAATAGCCAGGCTACTGAAATTCAACACACCTTGAAAAATACCAGAAGGTGTTTCGTTTTTAATAAGCCAGATCTTGGGTTTGATGTGTAAAACTCTGGCCCCTCCATGTGCCATGGTAATGGTATCTTCCTTTGAAACACTTCATAACCCAAGAAGACCGCAAGGACTGCATTGTCAGTGCTTTAATTGACTCTGATTCAGTTTGGCATACTGTGGGCAGAATAAGTGAAGCTTGATTCTGCCCTTTATAAAGATGTTAAATAAAAAATAATGAATAAAGGCAACTGGTTAATGGTAGAGTGTGGGAGGTAGACTTTCAGGATGTACTGGTGTTGTGCAAAAGGAATAGAAACCTGCCAGAACCTCAGGGCCAGCAATCTCCGTGTTTGCCAATGGAAGAGTCATTCTCAGAAAGATTTACAAGTTGATGTTGTTTATCACCAGCTAAACATACACAGGAAAACCATTCTGACATATATTGTGGTAGTTGTGATGGAAAGGTGCTACGCAGTTGGTAAAATGCTTGGTTTGTGGCATGACAATGCCTCCCTTCACTCTGCCACAGCTGTTTCCCAGGCGTAAGCATCCCATGTAACTTACTCTTGTTCAGAGCGTATGCAGGGCCTGAGTTAGGCTGGTATGGATGGGGGAAGGCTAGGGAGGCCTTTTAGCTGGAGTTCATAATATCTCCCTTCCTTCTAATAGCAAAATCAGTTAGAGAGTGCGAACAGAATTGTAGCCAAAACTAGATGACTAGGGACACTAGAGAGGGCTATCAGCATGCTGGAGGGGAAAAAATAACTTAATAATCCCCCCGTCAACCCCCCCACCCCAGCACCATGTGTACTAAGCATGCTAAGTGGGCACAGAATGCTGAATAGGTATTAGAGGGGGGAAATGGAGAAGCAGATTCAGGGATCGAATGGAGCTTCTTGTAGATTAATAATAATAATAATAATAGTAATAATAATAATTTTATTATTTCTATCCTGCCCATCTGGCTGGGTTTCCCCAGCCACTCTGGGCAGCTTTCAACAGAACATTAAAAACAGAATAGAACTTCGAACATTAAAAACTTCCCTAAAAAGGGCTGCCTTCAGATGTCTTCTAAAAGTCGGATAGTTTTTTATTTCCTTGACATCTGATGTGAGGGTGTTCCACAGGGCGGGCACCACCACCAAGAAGGCCCTCTGCCTGACAACTGCTGGCTAGCATGAACACTGAGCAGGAGCACTTCACATTGCAACATTTTACTGCAGGTCCCACTTTTCATTTATTATTTGAAAGGTTCTAATATGTGCTGGATCATGTATGTACGGAAATAATGAAAAGAGAACCTGCCTACAGGCTCACATGTCTATACAACATGAGGGAAAGGGGACTTGTTTTTTCCGTTCAATTGTTCAGCTCCTGACTTGTTAAACCTAAGAACAAAGGAGAGCCCCACTAGATCAGACCCAACAGTCTGTCTAGCCCTGGACCCTCTTTTCCAGTTTGATGTTTCTGTGGAGCCTAGAAGCCTCCACCTCATTTTCTCCTTCCTCTGGTGCTTCCATCATGGCTTAATGAAACTGGCTATTAATGTGTCGGTTTTCTAACCAGGATCCCCATTATTATGCAGGACAGGATGAAATAATAATGCATTTGCCCCCTTTCCAGAGCTAGATCTCTTCTTTCACTCCACAAATTGGTTTTCCCATGTGTCCGCCAGCCCCAAGCCAGTCCCAGAGCTTCAGTTTTTGTGGATATTTTTGGATACAGTATTTTTGGTCTGGATTGGAGAGAGAGTAGAAGAGAGAGCATTTAAAGGGTGTTTAGAGGGTGTTCCCCACGTAACACGATTTTTGCTTATGCATACATGGGCCTGGAACATAACCCCCGCGTAAGTTTGGGGAACACCTGTACTAATATCTTAGTTTATCTTTAAAGATAACCTTTAAACATACGGTATATTTCTCATTTTGTTTTACAGCAGCTTTTGCCAGGTAAAAAGTTTTGGGAGTCTGATGATTCAAGCAAAGATGGACCAAAAGGAATATTTTTGGGTGATCAATGGAGAGACAGCGCTTGGGGGACATCAGGTACCTCAAACCATCACGTAAATCATTTGGAGCAAGTTTTTCTACTCTTTTCTTTTCTCTCTTCCTCACAGCTCCTTAAAGCACTATAGTAGAAACATTTTAGAAAAGAGGTAAATAATATCCCTAAACAGTTGTACAGTACAGTTAGATATGCAAGGTTCTCCTATTTAAAATTTGTTTAATGCAGGGCTTTGCTGATCTCTCTGTGTTTGTGGGGGATGTGGAATGGACAGTTGAGGACAGGTCTAGCTCTCTTTGTTACTGTTTTTTCTGGTTCTGTGGAAGGGGGCAACATGAGAGAATGAATGAAAATAGCTGGAGAAAGATGTAGATGGGTATCTCATGAGTAATTACAAGGCAGTTCTTGTTGCTGCTGTCTTCATCAGTTACCATATGTTAGTTTGAATTCTGCATTTTCTTGAAGTCTGTAGTTCTCTCCCTCTTGTTTACTTTTTAGCTGTTCAGAGGAAGTTAGGAAGCACATTTTCTGAAGATGCACAGTAATCTAATGCTGAGCCCCTTCACTTTTGCTCCTGATATACGTATAAATATAGCCATTTGTTTTTGTTGCAGATCATTCTGTTTCCCAACCAATCATGGTTCAAAGAAGACCTGGCCAGGGTTTTCATGTGAATAATGAGGTTAACTCAGTGCTGTCCCCACGATCAGAAAGCGGTGGACTTGGAGTTAGCATGGTAGAGTATGTGCTGAGCTCATCCCCGGGGGATTCCTGTCTCAGAAAAGGAGGATTTGTAAGTATAGTGGATGATATCTGGTGTCACTGTCTCTAAATCATTATGTCTGTTCCTGTTATGTCCAATTCATCACCACAGTTTTGGAACAGTTGGGGAATCGATTACATTCTAAATGCCCAAAATATGAAGCTGATACAGGATAGTTTTTTAAAGGGACGGGAAGGGAGTAGAGTAGCTAGGCCCAGAAATGAACATCCAGTTGCTTTTTTATGATAGGCACTGACAGTTTATTCAACAGAATTAACACTGAGTAACTTACCTTATTAAGATCAAGACTGTATGTCACAATTCTGCAGGAATGCAGGAAAAGTGCAGATTGTGGCATTAGGTACAAAATTCAGCCTCCCGGAATTGTATCTTTTGTCCTGAAGAAAAGGATAGTTCTAGTTTTTATGTGCAAACAGGTTCTGAAGAAAGCTCAAAAGTCAGAGAGGCAGCTGAGTAGGGTTTCCATTATGTGTGCACAATTGCATTCACATGAATGTGTGTTCAGGGGTGGGGATTAAGTGTATCAAAGATGCCGCTATAAATTGCACAGTAAAATAAGCAATAGCAGTAAAGGTGAAACAGATTTTAGGGTGATGTCAAATGCTAATTGTAAAAATTCTTGATTCAGAGGTGTGTGGTGGTGGTTGTTTTTTAAAAAAGAAGACATTGTGAAGTGCTATATTTTACACAGGGGCCAAGGGATGCTGAGAGTGACGACAATGATAAAGGGGACAAGAAAAACAAGGGCACATTTGATGGTGATAAATTAGGTGATTTGAAGGAAGAGGGAGACGTAATGGACAAGGCAAATGGATTGCCTGTACAAAATGGAATTGATGCTGATGCAAAAGATTTTAGGTAAGTATGTACCTATATGTGAGTCCAAAAAAGTACTGGAACTGTAATTTGGAAAACAGTAGAGCAGAAGGGGGGGAATTGGATTTCACTTGGGAGCTGCTAATTGTAATCAACATTTGTTTAGTGTTCCTTTGAGATCTGAAAAGAACACATTTTTGCTCACGCAGGCCAGGCTGGGTTCTCTTTCAGCTAACCTACTTTCTTCCCATCTGAAGGCTTCTCCACACCTCAGAGGTGGCTTTTCAAGGGATACAGTGAGTTGAAGCAGGAGGCAGGAAAACGCTATGCTGTCAATAGAACTCTGCTTATGACTCAGGGCCAATCTGTGTTAAAATATGCTGCTGTGGTTGGGCACACTTTCCTATAGTTAAGAAAAGTGCAGAGACAAAATAGCAAAACAAATGGAACTTTTGTTCATGAAAGCAGCTGTGAATTGTAGGTGGGTTGCAGTCTCCCTGAGCAGGCCCATTTATAAATGGCAGGAAACATGTTTGGGGATGGGTAATGAGAGGCAATCCCTTGGGAAGGGTACAGTTGGTGTAGTACAGTGTCTAGTATATATTTGAATAGGGAGAACACTTGGTGAATGAATGCACCTTCCATTCACTAGAAGCTGAGCTTTTGCAGCAGGGAACCTTTTCTATGCATGTAAACTCCCTGTGTGGTTTACACCCATGATCTAAGTAGGTGTAGGGCAACCTGCACAAGTAGAACTGCTTTCCCTGCATGAAGCAGGCTACAGGGTAAAGGAAATGTGATACATCTGGAAGCGGTGGAGGGTGACGGTAACTGAAGAAGAGATACGGAATCAAACCAAGGAGCGGGTGAATGATTGGGGCAGGCAAAATATAGGCGACAAAGCCCACAAACAGTGGCTGCAGGGAGGATCCTCTGTCATCACCCCATTTCCAAGTTCAGGAGAAGAGAGAAGATTGCCATATCTGATGGGTTGGGGTGGTAAAGGGTGCTCTCCAAGGTGAGTATTGCAAACAAATTTATTGGCAGCTGTATGAAAGAGAAGGCAGGGTCTTTAAAAAACAACAACCCTAGAGTTTTAGATGTAGTTTAATAGGGCAGATATTGGGGATAAAGTGAGAGACAAGGGAACTCTTAACAGCTTATAGCAGCAGCAGCAACAACAATAGATCTACAATACAAAATAGCCAGGTGATGGTGGTGAGTTATTTGGTGTTTCAAAAAGATGGGAAGGGGAAAAAGACACAACTCAAAAAAATTCATTTTAAAACTGTCCTGCCATTGACACTGATGGTGTTTATTTTAAAAAAAATATAAGAATTTTGCTCTGAGTAACTGTTTTGTGATGCTTTTTCTTTTTCTTTAGTCGGACACCTGGTAACTGCCAGAACTCTGCAAATGATGTGGATCTTTTAGGGCCAAACCAGAATGGATCTGAGGGCTTAGCCCAGCTAGCTAGTACGAATGGTGCCAAGCCTGTGGAGGATTTCTCCAACATAGAGTCCCAGAGTGTTCCACTGGATCCCATGGAACATGTTGGCATGGAGCCGCTTCAGTTTGATTACTCTGGCACTCAGGTACCTGTGGATTCAGCTGCAGCAACTGTGGGCTTATTTGACTACAATTCTCAACAACAGGTAGATCTTGCATTGATTAATATTGATCCTTCCCCCCACCCCCCATTTCTGTCTCCTGCAGGGCATGGGTTTGCACACACAAACCTATGCACCTGGAATAACCTCTGTGTCCCAACCATGCAACTTTTTCTTTTGATATGTATAAAACGGCTGGATATCCCCATCCCTTTCCCCCTCCCTTGATATTTCTAACTCCTCTGAGCACTTGCACTATAGGTTAAGCATATGGGTTGTGCACTTCAAAGCTAGGGTCATCATAGCTGAGGAGCTTACTCTGCTCAGTAAATGAACATCAGCTTTGGTTTGCTGGCTAAAGTGTAGGAGGATCCGTGTAGCGAGAGCTAGTTTATAGAAGTGTATATTTTATAAAATATTATCCTGCGTTTGCTTTCCACTTCATTCTATTACTATAAGATCCTTCTGTACCCATTCGTTGCACAGTCCTTTTGTGGCAGGAGCCACAGCTGTATTCTCAGGAGGGTCATGAAGTAAGAAAAATATGCAGCTTAGCTCTTTGATGACTGCATACAGAGTTGTCACTTGGGACGCCCCACCCCCCTCGCAGCAGGCATTAGACTGGCGGAAAGTGAGAAAGAAATATGAGAGTAACTCTAAGCAGATTGTGACCCTCTGAGGCAACAAGGTGCTAACATTCATAACATTAACAGCACTGGATTGAAAATAACCTGCCAGACACATTTTGAATCTTTTCTGACTAGGCTTTAATTGGATGACCTAGGCCTGGTGCCTACCAAGTTTAGCCCAGTTGGAGAAAAGTTCACACAACTACCTTTCAACTGAGAATTTTAACTGAGTTGTAAAACACATCTTTAAATTTGATTTCTCAGCTGTTCCAAAGACCGAATGCACTCGCTGTTCAGCAACTGACAGCAGCACAACAACAGCAATATGCATTGGCAGCTGCTCATCAACCGCACATAGGTAAGTCTTTCAGTCCCTTGTTTATCAGTAGAGTCCAGGTTGCCTTCTGTTGATCATCAGCATTTTTCCAAGTTTCTTTCAAAACAGCATTCATTTGTTTTGAAAGGGTAATGCAAGGGGTAATATAGGAACTTGGGTTGGTGGGATTGGGGGTTGGAAAGGTTTGAGATTCCACTGTTTGTAACTCTGGCAGGGTGTGAGCATCATATTTTTGGCTCACTCATGTCTAGCAATGATGACACTCTTGCCCTCACTGAGAACATTGGTTCTGTAATGAGAGTTTTTTTAAAGTACTCATTTGCTCTGAGCCAGACATGAACAGGCTACTTGCAATATTCAAACCAGTTGTAGTTAAATAATTCCGTGTTTTTCTCCTGAAAGCCCTCTTTGAATAGACCCAACAACGTGGATTAGCAATGCCCATTATTTCTGGTTCTCCTAACAAAACTGGTTGAATACATTCTTTGTTACCGTGCTCTCACATTCTTTCCTTTGCACCATTAGAAAATGGATATACATGTAATTGCTTATATGGGCATTTGGTTGAAGGGCAAACGTCCATATTTGCAATTAATAATGAGAGTTGAGTAAATAAGTAATTCCTGGGTTTGATCCAAACACTGTAAGTAAGAATAATCACTTCCACCTCCAGGGTTTACATTCCCTTTTAAATTGTGATCAGTACAATTTTCCATTATAAGAGCTTCAGTGTTGCATTATATTTATTTTACGCTAGATTTTCAAAAGACCATTTAACCTATATTTTGTAAGATTTATATATGTTGTCATGCATATTTTGAAATGTATATGCAAGGGCATACAAGCATCTGTTTGCTTGTTTTTTCCTTCAGTTATTTTGTTTTGCTACTTAATATTCCTTGCATTCATTGTTGGTGTCCCAGAAAGGGATATGTGGATGCCTGAGAGAAAAGTTCACACCGAGAGCTTTGCCCCCTAACTTCCCTACAGATGTTCTCTCCTGAAGAGGCAAGCTTCTCTGTAAACTGCACAGCTGCTTGTCTCCGAGGTGCAAACAGCTTCACAAGAAAGCATGCCTCACAGTGTGCACATATTGTGTCCCCATATGGTGTCCCCCTGCTTCTTTTTGTATCCTGCCAGTGTGTGTATCCTGTCTGTTTTAGGACTTCCTACTTCTCCAGTCTATTATTAATATGCCTTTGCATTGTTCTGAATTCTTCTAAGAGAATTCTCAGAGTCACAAAGGAAGATACACACACATGAGTAATAAGGTTCTTGGTAGAAGTAGTTAGTGTGATGCTAGTGTGATGTTTGCTGTGACTAATTTCCAGATATCCCTGGAATAATTTTTGTTTTTATGAAGTGGTTTTCATCTTTTCAATTTCACGGCGTCCCAGAGCCGACACAAAAATCTAGGAAGCTTTCAACATCTTACAGCTGAACGTGAACATTTGTATATTTTACATGCTCTCATCTGATTAAAGAAACCTTGGTCAGTAAATTGTATCATCTTCAATTAGATCTGCAGATGAGAGAAAAACAACAACATTGTTCTCATGTGGCCTTCCACAACCTGGTGCCCCCTAAATATTTTGAGCCATCATCAAAATCATCCCTGACAATTGGCCATGCTGGCTGGAGCTAATGAGATTTGAAGCCACAGTAACATCTGTAGGGCACCAGGTTGGGAGGTACTGTTCTAAAGGGGGGGGGAATGCTCTGTTTTTGAATGATGTACACATGTATTACAACAGGCATTCTCTTACAAAAGAGGAAGGGCATTACTCCTCCGAGACATCACTTGCCACCTTCGGTTCATACCCACCAGTTAATCATGGCTACCTTTTTAGTCAATGGAAATTAATAGACTTAAGAGACGGCAACCCTAATCACTTGTTTTCTGAGTGAAGCGTCTGACTTTTACAGCTCAAATTTTAGACCCGTGTCTTTTTCCATGATAGATAAGTCAGCTCAATCTCCAAGACACGCACGCACACACGCAATTCTCTCTCACATACTCACGTTTTGGTAGGGTTGCAGTTCTAGTCAAGTTTGTTTTTACTGACAGGTATGTTTTCAGCAGGTTTAGCTCCTGCTGCCTTTGTGCCCAATCCGTACATCATCAGCGCTGCTCCTCCAGGAACGGACCCCTATGCGGCAGGGCTTGCCGCAGCTGCAACATTAGGTGAGATGCTTAATGAGATGTATGGTTATTTTTAATAAAATTATCTATCTATCTATCTATATATAAAATGCTGTAAGTTGGGGGAGTTTTCTGCTCATGGGTAGAAAGTTTTTACACCTTGCAGTAGAGCACTGCATGAGAAAGCATAAAACTGAACCCAAAGATGTTTTGCTTCTGAAGCACAAGTAGCAGCATGAGAACAACGGTAGAACTGACCTGTTATAGCACCAACCTATCATAGCGCTGTTTTTCTTCTGCTCGTGGTTGTTTGGCTCAATTTTTGCTACTGAACACCGTGTCAAAAGTGACCCTGTGAGTTGGGTCTCATGTAGGTCTTACTTGCATGCAAGGACTCTCTTGCGTTCGAGCATCTTCACAGCTTAAGCAGCTGAAACCATAGCAAGCTTAAGATAATAAGGGAAGTCATACAAGGCTTGGACAGCTGGGGTTAACGCTCTCTCCCCCCACCCCTCCCCACCCCTTTACCGTATACTGTTGCACTTCTGTGGGAAGGAAGTATCCCCTTTCAAAATGAAATATCAGATGGATGTCCAGCAGATACGCAACGTTGTTTAAAGCATAAGTTAGATTGTATGAGTTCATCAATATTCTCTTGCGAAATTGGTCTGGGAGGTGAGAAACTATAGCAGGATCGCCATGGTAGAGTGGATTTCTTAAATAAAGGACTTGTGATGACATTTTCGTAACCACGTTTTAAATATTGGAGCCACGGGGCTATTTTATTTGTTATACTGAAATGAAGTGGGGAGCATCCTCTAAAAAGCCTCCAATTGCTGGGTTTTTCCCCCTGCTCTCCTACTTTCCCTAATCCAGGCCAAAATATCTAGAGTTGAAGCTCTGGGACTACCAGAGGCTGGAGGGTGCATGGGAAAGTGGTCTATGCTGCTGCACTACCCTGAGTGCCAGCTGTTAGGTGGGAGGCTGAGCAGCTGAACCTGAATTGGAAATAGAAAGAGGGAGCACATGATTAACCCCACCTTTTTCTGCCCCATTCTGAGGCAGCCATAGTTGGGAGGCCATTTCCATAATTTTTGGAAAGTGGAGGTGTGAAAGCACAGCACTTCTCACATGGCTCTGTCCCAAAATGTGTTTAAATATAGGAAATTTCATGGAACATAGCCAAGGACCTGGTTACTTGAGCACCACCATGGGATGCTGTTGTTATGTAGAGTTACCATGACATAGGCCCATCCCATTATCTCAGGCCCTATTTATCTTTTTATCAATTGGTCTACTCATGTCTAGCAATGATGACACTCTTGCCCTCACTGAGAACATTGGTTCTATAATGAGAGCTTTTTGTAAGTACTCATTTGCTCTGAGCCGGACATGAATTTTCACCTACTTGCAATATTAAAACTATTTTAAGGAGATGCATACTTTTATCTTGAAGCCCTCCTTGAATAGATGCTGGTGGTGGTTGATAAACGCTGCTCATTCTTCTCTTCCCTTCTAGTAATACATATGTTACTAGAGAAGCATGGAATTGGAGTTAATGGGGAAGTGGCAGTATAATGGCAATACAATCTGGTGCCCAGCTTTTAGAGCTGGTGGGATGGGTTGTAAATGTGTGACATGCTGATCTATCATCTTTTGACGATGAGAAGTTTGTGCTGTCATTATGACTATGTGGGAGATTTTGTGTGAATGCCTAGAGTGGTGGCTTTGGTTATTTGGAGCCTGGATCCAAACTCCTGCTCAGCCATGAATCTTCAGCTTATGTGTTAGTGTGGTGTAGTCGGTAGAGCAGGAATGTGGAGCCTGTGGCCCTCCTTAACTGTTGTTGACTACAACTCCCATCATCCCTATCCAGTGGCCATGTCAGCTGGGGCTGATGGGAGTTGTAGTCAAACAGCACCTTTAGGACCACAGGTTATCCAGCTCTGGGACAGAGTGTTGAACTTCAGCTAAGCAGGCTTGGGTTCAAATTCCCACCGAAATGGAAGAGCAATATTTTTATCCAGGATAAAAGAGGATGTAGAACTATTCATATACGTTTGAACTCCATGTAAGACAGGTGGGAAAAGCATGTAATGAATGTGTGCAGTAAGTTCAAAAGCATGCTTTCAGCTTCTGTCTACTGATCTCTTTTCTTTTTCTGGCCAGGAAAAACCAAATTATCAACTCCCTCTTTAGAAACAGTCAATGCAAGCTAGTTACTTCAGTAAATTCAAATTACATTTTTCGCTCCAGCATACACACAAACATTAATTCGATACTCTGCACAGCTGGTAACAACAGCTCACTTAATTAGAGACTGTTAACACCCCAGTCAAACACGCAGGTAATCTGGAAAAAAAAAAGCATTAGCAATTCATTTATCTAGCCACAGATGGGGGTGGGAGGAGTTTGATTAAAATCTAGGTGATTTTAAATCATGGTTTAAATTGCCGTGGGAAAAGTACTGATCTTTTATTCATTTAATTAAAATCAAGCTTTCTATCTCAACTTCAGATACTTCCTAAACAAAAGTTGCTTGACATAACCTGGTCTTATGGATCAAGTGGGGGCTTTTGTCGGCATTATCCAGGCAAATGTTAACTATGTAACAAAAAAAGGAGAAGGAAAAAAAAGTTTTTCACTGTTTTGGCAAATGGTACATTAAACACTGCCTGTTTAATAAGCCTTTATTCACAACTTGTGTCAAATATTAGTGTGGTAGCTAGATGCTAATTACTCCACGGAGACACTCTGATTTCAAAACATAGATTTCAGTTTATGAATATTTATGTCTGTCTAGAAGCCAAACAATAACACACATGTTTTTATTTCTCTTGTCTTGGAAAAGCACTGTTTCTGTTTTTAAACTACATCATGGGTAGTTAGAGGTTGTAAGATAGGAGAATAGGATCACCTAGAGATTAAACAGGCTTAGTGGATTGTCTTGAATAGGTACAAGATGTCCTTTTCTGAAGTCATATTCTGGATCCCAGTTTCTGTGATGAGCGACTAGTCCCTGTCCTCCAATATCAAACTGATGTGCATAAGAACAGAAGAAGAGCCTGCTGGATCAGGCCAGTGGCCCATCTAATCCAGCATCCTGTTCTTACTGCCACAGACCATATGCCTGGAGCGTTCTGCCTCCTATGGTGTCCAAAACTGGTATTCAGAAGCACTGCTACCTCCTAACTGGAGGGCAGGGTATAGCCCTTATGGCAGGAAGCCATTGACAGCCTTCTCCCCCACGAATCTGTCAAATCGCCTTTTAAAACCATCTAGGTTGGTGGCCACCAGTGCCTCCTGGGTGAATGAGTTCCATAGTAAGTGGTGTGTGAGGAAATACTTACTGTAGTTTTATCTGTCCTGAATCTTCCAACATTCAGCTTTTTTGGATGTCCAGGAGCTCTTGTATTATGAGAAAGGAAGGAAAACCTTTCCCTATCCACTCGCTCCATGCTGTACATAATTTTATAAACGTCTATCGTGTTACTTCTTACTCATCTTTTCCCCAAAATGTAAGATGTTCCAAATGCTGCAGCCTTTCTTCTTAGGCGAAATGTTCCATCTCCATCATTTTGGCTGCCCTTTTCTGATCCTTTTTCAACAAGACAATATCCGTTTTGAAGTGAGGCAACCAGAACCGTACACAGTATTCCAAATGAGGTTGTGCCGTAGATTTGTGTAACAGTGTTATGATATTGGCATTTTTATTTTCAGTTCCTTTCTTGAATTTCCTATCATGGAATTTGCCTTTTTCAAGGCACACCAGGTTGGCATCTCCATCGAGCTATCTACTGTGACCCCAAGGTTTCACTCCTGATCAGTCACTGCCAGTTCAGACCCCATGAAATGGGAAAAAAATTGGGGCCCGAATGCATTACTTTACACTTGTTCACATTGCTTTGCTTTTGTCATTTTACTGCCCACTCAGTTTGGAGAGGTCCTTCGGGAGCTCTTTGCAATCTCTTTTTGTTTTAACAACCCTGAACAAAGTATCATCAGCAAACTTGGCCGCCTCATTCCTCACTCTTAACTCTAGATTGTTTATGAACAAGTTAAAAAGGACAGGTACCAATATCAGTCCCTTGAGGACTCACTTTTGACATCTCTCCATTCAGAGAACTGTCCATTTATTCATTCTGTTTGCTTCCTGCAACTTAACCAATTCCTGATCCACAAGAGAACGTCTCCTTTTATTCCTTGGCTTGCTAAGCTTATGCAGGAGTCCTTGGTGAGTTATTTTGTCAGAAGCTATTGTTTATCAGCCAGATCCCCTCTATATCTATATGCATGTTGACACTCTGCAAATGTATATTTTCTTTCCCTGTGATTTCTTGTTAACAAAGGAAAAGACCTTTAGCTCAATTTGTTTAATACTGAGCGCTGTGTTTGACAGATGGTCATTCTTTATAGTTTTAAGTCATTATAAGTGTAGACTTCACTTCTAACACATTGAGTCAAACTAGGCATAACATTAATTTATTTCAAATGTCTAAAATAACTGCTACATGTATTTTATTTCAAATGTCTAAAATAACAGCTACATGGGTGGGGGGGTTAACCCTTTCTCCCCAATGCTACAGTCCCATCAAAAATCCCATTTAGAAGAGCTATAATTGATCTCTTGAGGGGCGGGGGCAGGGGCTAGCTTTTGGCAGGACCATGGCATGGGGGTTGGCCTTTTGCTGGCAACCTTACAATCCTCCTCCTCACTGTTGCCATGGGGGGGGGGGGAATAATCCTAAAAACAACAAGTAAGGAAATGATTCCTTTCCACAGCTATTACTTTAGATGTTTTCAAAAAAGACACATTAAGGACATCCATACACTTTACACCATCCCTTAGTACTGTGTTTAGATTTCATTTCCCAGGCTATTCTAATTAAATGAACATGAGGTTGTTATGGTTTTTTTAAAACTAAATAAATACCGTATTTTTTGCTCTATAAGACTCACTTTTTCCCTCCTAAAAAGTAAGGGGAAATGTGTGTGCGTCTTATGGAGCGCATGCAGGCTGCGCAGCTATCCCAGAAGCCAGAACAGCAATGAGGCGGCCAAGTTTGCTGCTTTCACTGAGCAGTGATCCCTCTTGCTGTTCTGGCTTCTGAGAGTCGGAATATTTTTTTCCTTGCTTTCCTCCTCCCAAAACTTGTGGTCTGGTGTGTCTTATAGAGCGAAAAATACGGTAAATCAAAACCAAACTTTACTTTAAAAGATTTTTTTTTTGGTCTCTTGTTGCCCTGAAAGATTTGGGGAACATTTGGAAATTTGTGGCTTTCTATGATAAACTTATAGAAAACAGCAGGGACTTGTCACTTTTCCAGTACCTGCAATGTAGCGTGTTTATAAATAAGTAGATACTGAAATGTCACCGGGCAGCAGTTTGGACAAGCAATAGCCACAGAATGATACAAAGCTCTGCCATCCAGCACCTTTTCAAAGGCTGAATTGGGAACCAAGCCAGGCTAAACAGCAGCATTGGAGGGTGGTTGTAAGCAAAGACCTTTCCAGCGAAATGGTTGAGAGAAGAAATAACAATACAAGTACAGCATGGGGTGCTTCAGGTTTTCAAAGACTGAAGAAGGCTGCTGCTGAAAAGTGCCCACTTGCTGGCTGAACAAACTGTAGAAAAATGGCATAAATTGACAAAATGTGCTTGACCATGAAAAGGATGAGAGACAAATGGGACTTGTACGATGGTGAGCTGGTCAAATGTCAGCAACAGAAAAGGGTGTGAATGGCTAAAAAAGCTGCATTTTTTTATTTCTGTATGAGAACGACACACACAAACACACAGATTCATATATCTTCACTCTCCACCTTTTATTCATGCATCTCAAATAGGGGTAATGCCAGCAAGGCATTGTAAATATTTGCACCAATAAGACAATCCTGTCTGTTAGAAGGTTTAAAGGCTTAGTAGGAAAAGTATATACATTACTTCTGAGTCAACATACAGTGATCCGAAAAGCTTTATGATCTAGAAGAGCTTTGCTAGGTCCAAATTAGAACTTTTCAATTGGATGAATGGGAAGCACAAGCATCTTAGGTGAAATACTTTATCTGAGCAGGTGGATGATGTTCTTAAAGACTCGCAGTGCTCTTTCTGCCGAAAGTGGCAGACCATTGGAAATGGAGGCGCTAGTTTTGTTATTCCACCTCCTACTCCCACCATGGAGGAGTAAGCAAAACCACCGGCCCTTCACGGCTCTTGTTCTGTTAATGAATTACGCAGAAGCACCAGCAGGAGATAAAGTCAGTCCTCTGTTGATATTTTAGGTCCTGCAGTTGTCCCTCATCAGTACTACGGAGTGGCTCCCTGGGGAGTATATCCTGCCAGTCTCTTCCAACAGCAAGCTGCTGCTGCCGCAGCTGCAACAAATTCCTCAAATCAGCAGACCGCTCAGCAGACGCAGCAAGGACAGCAACAGGTGAGCACCAGTGCGCTTTTGCACCAGCCATTAATTGGCCTGAATCTGCAGCCTTTTTTCAGGAACAGCTCTTTTTTAAAAAAAAAACCACGAGCCTTTCTTGCTGCAGGAAGGGCTGAAAAGAGGAAGCGGAATTGTTGCCTAAGGATTAAAGTACTTAAGCTGCCCCTGCTCCCTTTACATATGTCCTAGTTCATCTGCATAACTTGGTGCCAGTCAAGAAGGAGGTAGATTCTCTGTGATGTGTTCTGTTAAACCAGCAACGGGGAACCTGCGGCCATCCAGACACTGTTGGACCATGGCTGCCATCATCCCTAACCACTGGCCATGCTTGTTGGGGTAGAGATGAAGTTGGAGTCCCAATAATACCTGGAGGGCCACAGGTTCCCCATTCCTGTCTTAAACCCATATTAGATGCTACAAAAGTATTGGGTGACTTTGTGGTGTTTTGAGAGGCACAGTTGTTGGCTGCTGAGTTGATCATCTTTAGCGACTCATGTGGAGTTCTGATTTCCAGGCTCCAAAGAATCAATGAGCAAATTGGAAAAGGAGCAAAGGGGCCTTCTGAGGCACCTAGATATCACAATGCAGTGTGTTTATTTCATTAACGTGGCTGCTCCATTCACACACAAACTATAGAGGATGAGGAGTTCATCTTTTTTGACATCAAGGGGAGCATGCAAATGAAGGGAATTTAAATTATGTCCCCTCTCCATACCTTGCTGAGCTGCACTGCTTCAGGCATTTTTCCTCTGCAATCTGTCTCACTTCCTGTACTGAAGTTGAGCTGGCCAAAAAGTGCTTGAAGCAGTGCATCACAGTGTGGAAAGGACGAGGAGCTAAGATATGGTTTCACTTCCCAAATCTGCATGCTGTATTTCATGTAGAAAAAGAAAAAGAAATTGACTTCTACAGCTAGCTTTGTATGTGAACAGGGCAGAAGCGCAAATGAATATATGCCGTTGCCCTTTCATGCCTAGTTTACCTTGGAGGGGATTTAAAGGCTGTTCATCTGAGCACAGACTTGAAAAAGCTGTGAACGCTTCCTCCAGGGAAGAGATGAAATCTTTGAGGTGGAGGTGGCAGCAGAGGGTTGTGTGCTGACAGTTCGTAAACCCTTAAGACTTGAGTACGGCAAGAAGTGGGTTTAAAATTGCAAAATGTAGATTATGGTTACATTGTAGCAAAAACGTCAAGATCAATTTAGCAAATCAGAATCCATTTTTTCTAAACTTGCTACAAGAGAGTACTGCAGAGCCAGTGTGTTGTAGCTGTTAACAGTGTTGCACTAGGTCTGTGGAGACACCATTCACATTGCAACTCAGCCTTGAAGCTCACTTTTGGTGACTGTCAGCCAGTTGTAGTCTCTCAGTGTAGCCTACCTTACAGGATTGTTAAGAAGATAAAAGCATGTGAGAGAGGAGGGGAGAGAATTAATTATACCACTATCTTGAGCTCCTTGGAGAGAAATATGTAATGTGAAAGTAATAATAAACCAAAATTCTGAAAGTTGCTCATTAATCAGGGTTTAACAATGGTCCCAGTATTAGGGACCATGGACCTGGTAGGGTTGTCTCAGACATTTGGGGTTGGTTGGTGCCTGTTGTGCTAGTGTAGCATCAATGGAATAGGTTACTGAAAGCTGGCAGGTAGAACGTGTTTATGTGTATTTGTGTATAGTAATGGAGAAGAGCATCTTTCTTTGGTCACCCCAGTTGTCCTCAAAGGTCTGGCAGTGATGACACTCTTGCCCTCACTGAGAACGCTGTTCGGTAATGAGAATCTTGCTTTGTACTCAGGTGTGCTGAGCTGGACCTTCTTAAACAGAAAGCAGCAACAATGTTAAAAATTGCCAGTTTCTTCCTTTGCCCATTGAAAATGCATCCGTCCCCTTTTGATATATCCAAGACAAGAGTGCATATTTAGGAATATATTTTTATAGCATGGAAAAGGTAATAAATTCTACAGCCATTGCAAGACCTCCCTCGGTAAAACTGAAGTAAAATACCTTAAGTTTATTGCTATTTATTGCCAAAGGAAGTTCAGGCTGTATTTTAAATTAGATCTGCTTCTAGAAGTTTGGAGAATTGAGGATTTCAGTCTGTTAATTCTCGATTAGTCAAAAGTCCACACATTTCAGCAGCGCTTGGTAGCCAGTGTTTGTTTTTTCCTAGTAACCAATGAGGCTGCTTTTTCACTTCCTGCTCTTTTTTTTCACTTTTTTTTACCGGGAATGATTAGAATGTGTGTGTTTGCAGTCCCCTCCAACCTATGACGCTGATGTAGCATGGCAGCACAGAATGTAGACGAAGTATTTTGAAAGCGGCACCCTCTTGTTTCTCTGTGCTGCCATTGAAAAGCCACCGGAATGTATGAAACCTTTGGTGTATACTAGAGGCTTTTCCTGTTGCTTGCCATAATCAAATTTGCAGTAGCCACTGGCAGTCATATTCCCAGACCACTGTGGCTAACCAGCTATAAGGATTGCATAACTCCATTTGCTTTCTGTGCCTTAGGTTCTCCGTGGAGGAGCCAGCCAGCGCCCTTTGACACCAAATCAAAACCAACAGGGCCAGCAAACTGACTCATTAGTGGCTGCAGCAGCAGTGAATTCGGCTCTTGCTTTTGGGCAGGGGCTGGCAGCAGGAATGCCAGGTAGGAGCTTTTGGTTCCTCGTAGCAGCAGATCTTCCTAAGCTGTAAAAGGAGCCTAGAATTTTTTTCGGGGCGGTGGACACCGGGCACATTGGGGGCATTGCATTTAATAGACAGTAGAGGGGAGTGTTATGTAAAGTCTCTAATATGATCAACTGACCTGTTTTTGTAGGTTATCCAGTGCTGGCTCCTGCAGCTTACTATGACCAAACAGGTACTCTTGTGGTGAATACAGGGGCTAGGAATGGCCTAGGAGCTCCGGTACGACTAGTGGCCCCTGCTCCTGTCATCATCAGTTCCTCAGCAGCACAAGCAGGTAAGTCTCCCTATAATAGTTTGGGATAGCAGTGATTTCCTGTACTTCCATATGTTTGTGATTGATATAGTCAGCGTATTAGAAATCCAGTGAAGCAATGGCCCTCCTATAGAATTCAAATTATATTGAACATTGAAGGTGGTGTCATTTTACATGTCTAGGAAGGCACAGCACACACTAAACTAAAAAGTCACAAGCTAAAGCTTTGTGGTTCAAAAAACCTGGCTAAAATAAAAAAGTGTAAAATTATAGAGTTGGAAGAGACTGCAAGGGACATCTAGTCCAACCCCCTGCAATGCAGGAATCTTTTGCCCAATGTGGGGCTCGAACCTACGAGCTTGAGATTAAGAGGCTCATGCTTTACCGACTAAGCTGTTTCTCTTCTTCCCACACCATTTGGCCCCATCCTGGGGCCCAGCCAGAGCAGAAAATGTTTCAGCTATGATTTTGACTACCCTCACAAATGTGAAGTCAAGAGTATGGGCAATATTTCTAGACATGTAAATGAATTTACATAAGAGAGGAAGGAAAAGGCGAGGCTTTGACTTAACCTTAAGTGCTGCCCAGGATCCTAGTGTAAAAGCAGCTGAACCACTTTGTGAGGAGCGCCATCAAAAGCTGCATCAGTGTGAGCAGTCAGTTGTATACACAGTCTAATACAATTATATTTAATTTTAGAAGAAGGGATGTCTCAGAACGAGGGCAGTAATTTTATGGAAAGCTGAAAAAAAGACAGTTGGGAGGTTTTAAATCCTTTCATTACATCCAGAGCTTATTTAAGACCAATACAATAAAGGCTTACGTAAAATGTATACTGCTACAAATTGGAAATGGCAAAACACAAAGCAAGTACCTGAAAATGTTGGCGTGATTGAAAAGCCAGAGACGGTAATAGGCACAAATGTTTCCTGTAAGGCAGCCTTCACCAACCTGGTGCTCTGCAGATGTTTTGGAAACATGGCTCATTTCCAATGGGATCAAAGAGGATTGTAGTCCAAAACATCTGGAGAGGGGCACCTGCTTTAGTAAGACCACCAGAGGTGAAAAGAGCACAAACTGGCAAACAACATACCTTGACCATAAATCAAGCCAAGATGCATTAGCCAATTGCTAACGTGAGAGAAGCTAATAATAGTTTTCTTCATATGCATTAGGAAAACTGCCAGAGAAGCAACAGGACCATTAGACAGATGAAGTGGTTTGCCAGGGGAATAGCAGGCAACCTTGATGAATTCTTAGCATCAGAATTTGCAGCAGAGTTCAGAAATGCATGCGCCTGAGCCATTTTTTCCTTTCTGAAGTAAACTTGAAGAAAAACAGAGAAAATAGTACATCAGGACTCCTGGCGAGAAGTGAATGCATGTTAATGGTCTATGGCAGTAGACTAGGACTCCTGGCAGGACTCAAGGTCTACCATTCATAGTCAGTGGGCTTCTGGCAGGACTTCCGCGCCAAGCCTGGCCCATGCATTGTTGGTAACAACTAAGACAGGGGTGGCGATTGTGGTGCCTTCCAGATGTTTGACCACAACTCTTATCAGCCCTAGCCAGCATGACCAATGGTTGGGGGTCATGGGAGTTTGTAGTTCAAAACATGTGTGGAGGGCAACAAGATGGTGAAGGCTGCCATAAGCCAAGGTAACAAAAATAAAATTCCAAAATTTAAAAAAAAATTCCTGTATCTTGGGCTTTTTTAACGTTTTACCTCAAATTGAAATTAAAGGCACACTTCACTTATGCCTTCAGCGATCTGCTTCTTATAAGAGCTGTTTATGCTCAGAGCAGCCCAGCAGTGCTGCCTCCAGTCTGGGATGGGGCGAGCTCAGAACTGATAACAGAGAAAAGGAGGCAACCCTTGATTTAAGAGAGACAACACAACTGCTTTCCTCTGTGGAGGCTGATTGAAAAGAGAGAGGTCAGAGCAGTAAATCCATGCAGAGATGTTGCAGTCAGCCTTTTCTAACTTCAGGTTTACGGGAACCTTTATAATTTGTTACGTTTATGCTTTGCGGCACACCTGGGAATTGCTGACCTAGGTGCTAGGTGGAAATGGTTGCTGACCTGTTTTGTGGAGTAAACGACAGGTGATGATGGCACAGATGATGGAAATGTAAAATGGGAGCGCACTATAAGCAGGTTTCCCAAATTGCATTTTGTTTGTTTGTTTTAAAAAACTTTTTTTCTTCTTTTTGGTAGCAGTTGCAGCTGCTGCTGCTTCAGCAAATGGTGCTGCTGGCGGTCTAGGAGGAACGACCAATGGACCATTTCGCCCTCTAGGGACTCAACAGCCACAGCCACAGCAGCAGCCCACCAGCAACCTGGCATCCAGCTCCTTCTATGGCAACAACTCCCTAACAAGCAATTCCCAGAGCAGCTCGCTCTTTTCTCAGGGCTCTGCCCAGCCTGCCAACACTTCCCTTGGCTTTGGGAGCAGCAGTTCCCTTGGTGCTACACTGGGGTCTGCGCTGGGAGGCTTTGGAACAGCAGGTAGGAGTTGTGGTTGTCTTGAAGGGGAGGGCTGTGTGTGATGGGCGAGAACAAGCAAATCAGTTCTGAAGAAATTGAACCGTTGTGCCCTTGATATACCCAGTAGCAGAAATCTACTGCCTGTAGATCATGTCTGATGGTTTCAGTTGCCACATGCCTTACGTATGTACCAAGGAATGTTTTCTTTCTCTGCCCTTTCTCCAAAAGAGCTTAGGGGTGCTAGTCCATATGGTCCTCCTCGTTTTCTCTAAACAGCTGTCCTGCAATAACTAGCTCAGGGCCCTCCAGTAAGTTTTATTGCCAAATGGGGATTTGGAGCCAGCCCTCCTCCATCTTATTCCCACTGTTTCGTACAGCTCTCCACTAAATGTGCAGTGTAAAATGTGGATCAGGAGAAAGCTATTCATCCTGGGCATTCTGTTAACTTTACAGAGTTCTTAAATGTCATGTTCAAATATCTCCATATTTCTTCTGTTTGCACTTCTCCTAGGCCAAAGCGTAGTACCTCTCCTTTTAATATCCATATCCTCCCTTTCCCAATTGTTCAATGCCCCAATCAGATTTATCCTCCCATTTCTTCCTTTTGCAGTTGCAAACTCTAATACAGGCAGTGGCTCTCGCCGAGATTCTCTAACGGGCAGCAGTGACCTGTACAAGAGGACATCTAGCAACCTGACTCCTATTGGGCACAGTTTTTATAATGGCCTTGGGTTTTCCTCTTCTCCGGGGCCTGTTGGCATGCCTTTGCCTAATCAAGGACCTGGCCATTCTCAGACTCCACCACCACCCTTATCTTCCCACGGATCTTCTTCCAGTTTAAACCTTGGTAAGGGGGGTATTACTGCTGTTGCTCTGGGGTGGAAATAGGGATGTCTGTCTTCATGCTTCTGAGCGACAGTTTGGGAAAATCATATCTCCGCTTAGAAGATAGGCCAAGAACAAGCTATGTATGAACTTTTTGTTTCCACATGTCCCTTCGCTCTGAGCTGCAGTTAAACTAGAAAGCCCCTGATTTAACCAGCTTTCCATTTTGTTCCAACCAGGAAACTATGATTACCAGCTTTGGAAGAAGGCAGGTTATTAAACCACAATATGAAGTTGGCTTAATATTTGACCTTATTCCAAGAGCCTGGTAATCATGATTTCCAAGGTCAAATGAAACAGGGAAACTGATTGGTTAGAGGCTTCCTGGTTTAATCATGGCTCATAGTGAAGGGGCTGTGTTTGTGGGCAGAAAACCTATGCTTTCAATTGTGGCCCATTGTTTGGGTAAAGTACTGCTTAACCATTGTGGTTGCCTATTTGGCTTGCTCTCTGCATATCCTGAAAGAAATTGAATGTCATATATTCATAATCGTTGGTGTCACCTCACACTAATAGCCTGTTACAAGTTATGGAAAACATTCAATTTTTTGAAAAGGTTTAATAGATTTTCTGATCCTCCAAGAAATCCAGAATTAAAATTTAAACCTGCTGTCCATGTTGCATGACATGATAGTATAAACAGGCTCTAAGAAGCAGCACATTTGGTTTTTTCCCCCCTGGGCAACAAATGTACATGTTAGATGAGTTTCTCAATATTTTGCCATCATTTCATGTCCTCCTTGTTGTGGAGAAACTACTGTGAGTTATTTACAACACCACCACACACACATGGTATGTTCCAAATGTCTTGCACTTAATCTACTGTAAGGAAAATAATCTGGACTTACATGAATGACAAAGAGGAAGTGCCATCTGTGTATTTGTGGGGTGGGTTTCTATAGAAGTTAATCCTTAAACAGAAGCATAGGAAAGCACCTTATACTGAGTCAGACCATTGGTCCATCTAGCTCAGTGTTGTCTACACTGACTGGCAGTGGCTCTAAAATTTCAGGCAAGGGTCTTTCCTAGCCTTTCCACTCACAAATTGATTGCACTATATTGCCTTATTCATGTGTTTCTAATAAATCATGCTGCAGGCTGAAATAATATGCTGTGCCACATGTCATGACGTGCAGCTAACACTAAGGAGTAGTGTCCAATTATAATGGGCTTCATTAAGCTTTCCACCCTTGCATTTTTTTAAAGCAAAAATGTGACAGACACTGGGCAAGAGGTAATAGGTGTATCTTAACCCCATTCTTCAAGATGTAAGGTGGTATCAAGAATGAGACACAGCAACCCCTGTCACTCAGGCACTTTCACCTTCTCTTTCACAGACGAGAATAAGCTTTTTCTTTTAGGCTAACTACAGTTCCCAGTAATGTCTAAACTCAGAAACTATAGTTAAACTATGGTTAATAAGAACAAACGGATCTATAACGCAGCATGATTTTGGCTTTTTCACACTAACCATAGTATAAACAAAAGACAGTTCCCTGAGTTGTAGTGTCAGGAGGGAGTATGGTTAGTTTAAAAGCGGAAGCACTTGATCCCTTCTCCATAGGTGCCAAAGAGGAAGGGAATGCAAAAGTCTGAATGAAACAGTCAGCCATGCAACTTTTGGGTTGCAGTGTTTAGATTTCTCCTTATTAGAGGAGAAACCATGCTCTGCCCTGGTTGCAGTCTGGGTTAAAAAAAAAATACATACATTGTATTCACAGCCCTAATTCTTTCCAGTCAGCTCCCTGTTTACTGTAGTATTTCGACAAGGATTTTAAAACTAAAATCACGGTCCCCTTGCAGGAGGGCTTCCAAACGGAAGTGGCCGTTACATCTCTGCTGCCCCTGGAGCTGAAGCCAAGTATCGCAGCGCAAGCAGTGCCTCCAGCCTCTTCAGCCCCAGCAGCACACTCTTCCCTTCACGTGTGCGTTATGGGATGTCGGACGTCATGCCCTCTGGTCGCAGCAGGCTGCTTGAGGACTTCCGTAATAACCGGTACCCAAACCTACAGCTGAGGGAGATTGCCGGGCACATCATGGAGTTCTCCCAGGATCAGCATGGATCCAGGTGAGATGGGGAAGCTAATTGAGAACAAATCACAGGGTTGCCCTTTTGCACAAACACTCACAGGTATGTAGGGACAAGTGGGCATATGAACATCAACCTTACCTGTAGTGTCCTCTGGCATGCTCACTCCACTGCAGCCTTCCCATGTTGAAGGAGAAGGTCTAAAGGGGGCTTCCTAGCATGTTCAACTGAAGGTGCTTAGAAACCACCTTGCAGCCAGGACCCTTCATCTGCAGGGAATCTAGGGATGTGTCCTAATGCCTCTTGTGGAAGGCACCGGGATGTGTTGGGCTTGTTTTCTTCAGCTCTCTGCTAGTGGCATACTCTAATTTAACTCATCTGAGTTAAAATAGGCATGGAGTTTTTATACAGAGGGCAGGGGGTTAGACCAGAATATCTCTGTGGTTCTTCTCCAGTTTGCAGCTGATCCTCAATTAAGCATGTGAGGCAGCTGAATGACTTTCGTCAAAATTTCAGCTCAGATAAAACCATAAACCCATTCTTTTTAATTGCAACCTCTGCAGATTTATCCAGCTTAAACTGGAACGTGCCACCCCAGCGGAACGGCAGCTTGTATTTAATGAAATCTTACAGGCAGCTTATCAGCTGATGGTTGATGTATTTGGAAACTATGTGATCCAAAAGTTCTTTGAGGTGAGTCATATCCACGATGCTAACTATTTCTAGTAGTTGAACTGCTTCCATCTTAAAATAAGAGGACAATCTTATTTTGATTCTAATCTGTATGCTATCATTCCCTCTAGTTTGGCAGCCTGGAACAAAAACTTGCCTTGGCAGAACGTATCCGTGGCCATGTCCTCTCCTTGGCTTTGCAGATGTATGGCTGCAGAGTTATCCAGAAGGCTCTTGAGTTTATCCCTCCAGACCAGCAGGTAATTGTAAGTTTCCATTTTAACTTTACTACTTGATGTTGAATGTTGTTGTTCAACTGAGTTACCTTGTTGTCCTTTGTTATATGTGTGTGTGTGTGTTGTTTTTTCTTTTAGTTTTTATGGTGCATCTGTTCTGTGACCTGTTTTCAGTGTGCAAATAGTAATAAACCTGCAGAGATCAGGGCTAGGGATTCAGGGTTGAGAGGAATACTGTGAGTGAGTTTTCAGATCAGTTCTGTCAGAAACTTACTGAAGAAAGCATTTCTTAAGGAACTTTTAAAAGTATGTTCTCCTCCTTTTGGATCCTCTCTCTCGGATCAGAGAAGTGCTGATCAGTGGCTAGCTCTCAGCCAGAAGGAACAGCAGTTGAAGAGATCCAACTTGCTCTCTGCCCCACAGATTAACAGTGTGCTATGGAAATCCTCTCCTTGCTAACTGCAAGAATAGATGGAAATGTTCCTTCCTTTGGATGGAGCCATAGCTGAGTGGTAGAGCACATTTCACTGCATGCAGAAGGCCTCAGGTTGAATAAAAGGATCAATTTGCAGATGATAAGAAAGGGCTCTTTTCCCCTAACACTCTAGAGAACTGCTGCCAGTGGATGATACTGGTTTAGATGGAGAATTGATTTGAGCCTGTTCGAGGCAGCTTCTTACTGCCCCAGTGTTGCTTGCCAGTTGCGATTCTGGTGGTGCTTTCTCTCTCTCTCTCTCTCTTTGCTCCTCCTTCCATAGAACGAGATGGTCCGGGAACTGGATGGACACGTGTTGAAGTGTGTGAAAGACCAGAATGGTAACCACGTTGTGCAGAAGTGCATTGAATGTGTGCAGCCCCAGTCCCTGCAGTTTATCATTGATGCGTTTAAGGGGCAGGTAGGTGTGTTGAGGGGCTGTGTATTGGGGGGGGGGTTCTGTAAGATGCTGTGGTTATAGTGGTGAGAATCTATAGTGTGCTCCTTGTTTGACAGAGCAATGTGAGCCAAAAAGATAGGCCCCTGACCTGAGAACACTACACCCCAAAACCCCACTCTGAATTTTCCCCGGGGAACAGGCGTTAAGAGAGTATTCCACTTTAATGTTATTAAGCTTGCTCCTAATTCCCTGCTGAAATTGAAGGTCTGAAGCCAAAGTTATATAGGAGAGGGTAGATTTTGATCAATGTTTAAAAGGTAGCAATGGGTATATTGTAAGGGAGTTCCAGCAATGAAGAACAGCAAAGGAGCTCCTTTCAGGAAAGCTGGTGGAGCAAAGGCTATAGCAGGTGTATAGCAGCATTATCTTTTTCTCATGAACCCATTTGTGACCCAGGAGACCCTTGGCTTCTCCTATCTAAGAGCTACTTCTCCTTTCCAGAATTGAACGAACTTTTAAATGGTGATATGTATACATCAGGGCAATGAAAAGGTTTTTGACAATCTTAAACTCGCAGCTGCACCTGCCTGTTAATAATAAAGGTTCTGAAGTGGAGCAGGCTTTGTTTCACAGCTTTCAGAGCCTCACTCTAGCTGAATAATCATCACATACTATACCTTTTATGTCCTGCGGAATATTTCAGTTTGTTGAACTTTAGGCTGTTCTGAGTATAATGAGTTTTCCCCTGTCCTCACTCGTGTCTGTTGGACTCAGGTGTTCGCCTTGTCTACCCATCCATATGGCTGCCGTGTCATTCAGAGGATCCTTGAGCACTGTCTACCTGAGCAGACTCTCCCCATCCTGGAAGAGCTTCACCAACACACAGAGCAGCTTGTGCAGGTAGTGCTTGGGGGTAAAAGAAGGTTGCCTGCAAACCATAGGGGCTCTTGTGCCTTTTAAGGCTTGAATAGACTCTAGAGATTTCCAGGGCCCGTTTTATCCCACCACAGTGCTGGGATTGTGGTGGAATCTTCCATTCTGTAAATAAAGCTAGACAAGCCCTCTGAGAGCGTTTGGGGCTGGCAGCTCTGTTACCAAAGTTATTTTAAAACACTCCCAGAATGACTTGCCTATGCTCTTACTTGGCCACCTCGGTCAGCTTCTTTCTTTTATTTGAACATTTATAACCCTCTATTTCATAAAATATAAAAATGCAGCTTACAACATGCCGAATCCAGCCTACATTGCTCATTTGCTTCACAAGCATATCTTCACAGCTCCTAAGGACTAGAAACTCAAATAAAAGCTTTGAATTCTGGAAGCCGAATGTTGTACCCTATACCACATTCTGCAATTTGTTTCTGTCCTGTCATTTCTGTGCTCCTACAGAATGGTAGCAATCATAGCCCTGAATATAATAACAACCTGGACTTGGGGTGGAGAGTTCATAATTAAACTACGATTGGGCTTACAATCACATGTGAACAAGGCCACTAGCAGTCTTTGGCATGATGCAAAATATGTGTACATTGTGTGGTTTGGGGCCAGATTGCCAAAAGTTATGCTTAGGGTAAAATATAAGGTAATGTTTATATTTAATTTGTAATTGTATGAAATATCAACTTGGGGACCTTATGTATGCCACCATGAGTTCTGAGAAGGAGAGGCTGAACGTAAACAAGTTCCCATATACATCAGTAGTTTCATTTTCATTGTGGGTTATTAATCAGTATTTGGCTATGTCCTTAGGTGTTTTTGAAGAGCATTAAGAACTTTTGTTGTTCCAGAATGCAGCACCAGGTTGTTAACTGTGTTCCACTGTATTCATACCATCTTACCAGTGTTTAAAGGTCTTCACTGGCTCCCAGTCTGATCCCAGTTTCAATTCAGAATACTGGTTTAAAGCTCTAAAAACAGGCTGGGACAAGGTTATCCAACGAACCGTTCTTGCGTGTAAACCTTTCTGTTCCTGAAGCTCATCTTCTGAAAGAGGCTGTACTCCATTTGCCTCTACCTAGGGGGGTTAGGCAGTAGGAGGTGGCATGGGACAGAGCCTGTTAAGTGATGGTGCCCCATTTGTAGGCTGCCCTCCAGAAATATTTGCGGCACCTCCTCTTCTATCTTTTAGGCACCAAATTAAGACGGTATTATTTACCTGGGCCTTTGGTGAGTTTTACAGAGCACTCTGTTATTCCTGATTCTTTCTTGTGTGTTGAAGTTTTATTACTTTATTTTTAAAAAAAGTTTTATGAGGTTTTATTGTCATTTGCTGTGTTTGTAAGCCACCTTGAAGGTGGCTTCTTATGGTGGGAAGGCAGAGTGCATATGTCACAGAGAAAGAAAGAAAAAAAACCAATGCGAGTTCTAAGGATTTCTGATACACAAGGTTCTATTAGAGCTGATGTGCTTCCTGCTTGTCTGCCCAACAGGATCAGTATGGGAACTATGTCATCCAACATGTACTTGAACATGGGCGACCTGAAGATAAAAGCAAGATCGTGGCCGAAATTAGAGGCAACGTGCTGGTCCTGAGTCAGCATAAGTTTGCCAGGTAATGTGTGTTCCTTGTGGTGTGTTTTTTTTAAACACGCGCAAACACGCACAACTCTAGATTACACCAGAGGGTGTGGGGAGAATCCAGCTTAGTGTACCATTACAAAAACAAGAATTGCGACAGAAACTAGAACAGGATTTCTTAGTGTGATGTGAGCAGAATAGGAGACTTAATTTCCAGTTGTTTACCATAGCTGCTAAATAGTGGCCATTGTTAGCCATGGTGCAAGCTTTCATTGGAGTGTGTGTGTGTGTGTGTGTGTGTGTGTGTGTGTGTGTGTGTGATAAAATAAAAAGAACCTCTTGAATATAAAGCTTATGTGTGGTCTTGGTTGAAGTTCTTAATGGCTTAGTTCAGATGGTATCACCAAAATGGCTTGGAGCTATGAGAACAGATTTGTGCATGGTGATTCCTTCCCTGCTTTCCTGGTTGAAGGTGCCTGGTGTGCACATGTGCTGTGGCATAAAGCAGTTGCTCTAGGATGTATATACACCTCTTGTTTCCAGCCCTTTTGTGGATGCATCAAGTCTTTGCTACCCCTGCCTCTAATGTCAGTGAGCTGACATTAGCAAATGCTACCGGCAGATGCATTTTGATGAGCGATAGGGAGACGAGAAACGACGTCTGCATCCAGCTTCAGGCATCCTAAAGACTAAAGTCAGCCTTGGCCATTTCTATTATTTACCCATTCTGCATTCTCATACAGCAGTGGGGATGCTAGTGTCACCATTCAAATGTTAAAATATATACTGTTGATCCAGTATAAAACTCCTCTCTGCTTTGGGAAGCATGTGGTTGTTTTTTTGGGGTGCTATGCTTGGGTATTGCGGATAACCTGTGGCCCTTTTGCCTTGCTGCAGCAACGTTGTGGAGAAGTGTGTTACGCACGCCTCCCGCACTGAGCGTGCCATGCTGATTGACGAGGTGTGTAGTATGAACGATGGCCCTCACAGTGCCTTATACACCATGATGAAAGATCAGTACGCCAACTATGTGGTACAGAAAATGATTGATGTGGCAGAGCCGGCCCAGAGGAAGATTGTCATGCACAAGGTAAGCGGCTGGCCTGGCCAGTTGTAGTGAACTGAGCAAAGCCGGGAGAGAGCAGGGGAGGTGAAGAAAGAGTCCTAACCAGCCAAGAGGCCTGGAGGACTCCACTCTCTTGTCCCAGGGAAGTAAAAGTTCTCACTGCTCTCTCTCCTGCTAGCATTCTGTCTTTCTTTGTAGATTTTACATACACCTTTAACAAGGTGACTCGAGTCCTGAACTCTACATAAATTAATACAAGGCAAGCAAATTTCCACACATTTGCTTATTTTGCATCATTCTGCTTGTGCATTGTCATAAGGAGGGTGGGAGAAAAGCTATTTAATTCAAAAGCGCTGCAACTCTCAAGGGGCCGGGTGTTGCTTGTGTGTTAATGCAAATAATAACATTGTCTGGAAGAGCCACAAGGGCAAAGCCTCTACAGGTACTTAGAGCAACACAGGGCAGCTCTGGAGGAGACAGCTCATACAGGTGCATGGAAAGATGGCCTTATTCTGAGTGATGAACATTGGCAAACTAGTTTTTCCTCAGTTATTTTTTCCTCTAAATCACACTTAGTAGGTTGTCAGTAGCAGTAACTAGTGGGGAAATTAGCAATAAATAACTACAGTAGTACAAGTGCGTTTTTTTATTACACTTGCATCTGATGAAATGAACTCTGGCCCATAATACATTTGCTGCTGTCTAACATGTCACAAGATTTGTTGTTGTTGTTTTTAATTCCAGAGGGATAGTCTTTTACAGTGAACACACACAGAAGTCACCTTGCAGCACTGGTTTATTGCTACAGAAGCCTTTTGTGGATCTGATGAAATGGGTTCTAGACCTTGAAAGCTGACGCGGCAATAAATCAGTTGGTCTTTAAAGTGTCACAAGTGTGTTTATGCAACCCCAGGCATATTAATTGACTTTAATGAGCACTTGAAACATTTACATAGCACTTGAGAATGAACTAGGTTCAGGAAATGTAGTAGCCATAGTACACATTTGGTGCAGAAGAAGGTTTTGTTGCAGATTTATTTGGAATGCACAATAGAAACAAAGGATCCCCAACAAATTTCCTCTTGTTTTTCTTCAGAGGCATTGTGCCCCGATTCAGTCTGCAATCCACCCTGTAGGAATTCGCTTTGCCAACATTTCTCCGTTTCAGAATAATGTGTAGGGTTCATCATGACCTATAGCTTTGGTTGCAGGAGTGGTCCTCTGCATATTACTCAGGATTCATGAGCATCATTTGCATGGGTTGTTCCTAAACTCCTGTAACCCTCTTGTTACCCTCTAGATCCGGCCCCACATTGCCACTCTCCGCAAATACACCTATGGAAAACACATCTTGGCAAAGCTGGAGAAGTACTACATGAAAAACGGGGTTGACCTCGGGCCCATTTGTGGACCACCAAATGGTATCATCTGAAACAATGAGCTACAGAAGAGAGCCAGTGACCACCTGGAATTTACAGCCAGCAACCGCTCATATTCCAATATATGCTTTGAAAATATTCATGGTTGCTCAACATAGACGTGAGAACTACAAGAAAAAGAAAAGAAAAAAGGCAAAAAGACCCTTTGTAAATTTCTTTAATTTTATTCTGCATAACATGTACTAATTATTTTTTTAAATACTTAATTGCCCTGCTGTTTCAGTGGTGTATAGAATTCTTGTACATAGGCAACAGATGTACATGGAAAGCCACATTTTTTTTGTTCACTGATGTAACTATTTCAAATATGGAAACTTTCAGGGTGGCTAATCTGAATATAAATTAAATGCCCATTTTTAACTCCTCTACCTTAAAGACAGAGCTTTTTTTTGGGAAAATGCCTGTTCTGTTCTCTTTTAGTCAAAACTCAAAAGAGAAATATAAAGTTTTAGTTAAATTGCACAAATCTGCATTTAACAGTTTATAAATTAAAAAAAAAAATCAATTTGCTAAAGCTTCGATTAAGATAAGTTTTTAAGTTTCAGAGACTTTTAAAATTCCTTTTTCTTAGTATTAACGTGCTAAAGAATTAAGCTTAGCAGTAAATATCGGGAGAGAACACACACCAAGGAAGTTTTTAAACGTAGACAATGGGTGTGTAGTTACTGCCTACTCCTGTTTCTTCTGTTAACACGGAGGCAATTTTTTTATTATTATTTAGCATGTAGAGAAAAAAAAATCCAACTCAACTTTGGTCTTGCTTCTATAAATATATAGTGTATACTTGGTGTAGACTTTGCATATATAAAAATTTGTAGTATTTTCTTGTTTTGATGTCTAATCTGTATCTATAATGTACCCTAGTAGTGGAACATACTTTTGATTGTACAATTGTACATTTGTAAACCTCTGTAATGTAAATGTGGAGAAGTTTGAATCAACATAAACCCATTTTTGGTAAGAAAATAAATTAGCAAACCCTGTGCATTTCAGTGTATATTCACCCCTTTTATGGTCGTAGCATATAGTGTTGTATATTGTAAATTGTAATTTCAACCAGAAGTAAATTTTTTTTCTTTTGAAGGAAATGTTCTCTTTATACAGCCTGGTTAATGTTTAAAAAAAATGCTTGGTTTTTTATTTGTCACCTAGTCAAGAGAGTAGCAATCCTTTCTAAATGTTCTACACAAATGATTCAGTTCAAAAATAGTGTTTATTTGACTCTTTAAAAAGAAAAAGTAATGTTTTACTTATTTTGTGGCAGTAAAAAAGTGCAGAAAAGTACAACCCCCCCCCTAGTATTCCTTTACAATCAGAGTTCCCCTTTCACCTTGTAAAGTGTGAATCACTTTGCCTTTTTGTACAGAAGATAAACTGTATTTTGCATTTTGTCTACTTGTAAGTGAATGTAACATACTGTCAATTTTCCTTGTTTGAATATAGAATTGTAACACTACACGGTGTACATTTACAGAGCCTTGTGTATATTTCCAATGAACCTTTTTGCAAGCACACTTGTAACCATATGTGTATAATTAACAAACCTGTGTATGCTTATGCCTGGGCAACTATTTTTTGTAACTCTTGTGTAGATTGTCTCTAAACAATGTGTGATCTTTATTTTGAAAAATACAGAACTTTGGAATCTGGGTTTGTGTTTCATTTGAATATTTTCAATATAGTGCACCAGGTCAAAAATATTCTTACTGTTTGTCTGTCTTTCTTTCTGACTTGAAAACTGTCATTTGAGGGAACTGTTAAGATATGAGTAGTTTCTGTAATGGAATATTTATTAATTGCGGTTACATACTGCCTTTATCAAAATACTCAAGGGCTTACAGCAGAGCTTTCCAAACTTTTCATGTTGGTGACACACCTTTTAGACATACATCATTTCATGACATCGTAATTCAGTTTTACTAGCAAACCGGAGGTTAAACTAACCCCTTGCCAGCCCGGGGAGGAGCCTTCACGTGACACACTAACGTGTCGCAGCACTCAGTTTGGAAAGCTCTGGCTTATAGCATAGAGTCGGAGAAATGATACAAGACAAATGGAGAGAGAGAAATACATACCAATAGCATTCATTACATCAGGCATCCCCAAACTCATCCCTCCAGCTGTTTTGGGACTAAAATTCCCATCATCCCTGACCACTGGTCCTGTTAGCTAGGGATGATGGGAGTTGTAGTCCCAAAACAGCTAGAGGGCCGAGTTTGCCTATGCCTGAATTACACGATGAAGTCACATTATGACCAGGCAGAGTTGTGGTTTTTCGGTCAGGGGGGTAGTTGAGCAGAAGGCAAGAAGGCAGGGACTATTTAAGTCCTTCCTGAAGGGGAGAAATATTCTACTTTCTTGGCTCTGCCTTCTGGAGAAGAGCAAGGTGGCTTGCTGTTTCTAAGCTCTCTTGCTTCTGTGTAGCTTATAGGCCCTAAGCCTAGAGCAAAAAAGGAAAAGAATGTGGAATGTGAGGTTGTCCTGGTGTTGTGATGGTGCCTGATGTTCTCCATTGTGCACAGCCTGTTAGTATGCAGTGAGGTCTACTCTGGGTAAAGAAGGAACCAGCTCTCATTTGGAGTTTGTACCCACTTATCAGAAAACTGGTGTGGAAACCAATCTTGTCTTCTCGGGCAAGAAGCATCTTCCCACCCAGAGCTCTCCAACATGGGAGAATTCAATCTTGCTACCAAGAGAAGCATAGCTCCTGACTAGTTCTTGAAAGCGGGCAACATTAAGATTGCTTTCTTTGTGGCTCATCATCATTTTTGAAGTAGCTTTGCAAAATGTGAAGAGCCCAGAGCAGCAATTTGGGCACACTGCTAATTCAATCTAAGGTGGGTGGGGATACCACAAGTAAAAACGTTGGAAACAGCTAAAAGCAATTTGCAATCATAGAAATAAGATGCCATCCCTAGGAGGTCTCAGGTTTGGGCCCTGAAATGCTCCTAATCCGGCAACCCTGGACCACCCCAGCCCTGAGCAGCTGAGGGTGGTGGGGGAAAAAGATCAGCAGAGGGGGGCTTGAACACCTGAGGGTGTCTAGGGAAGGAGCCTGAATAATTCTGGGCTTTAAACACTAATATGAGCAACTTGAATTGGGTCCCAAAATAAATTGACAACCAATTGATTTACCACAGTACTATTGAAAGAATGGTTCACGAATTTTTCATCAAGTTTGGAAAGTTTTCCTCTTGCTGCAACTTGTCAAAGCTAACAAAGATTTGAAAACTTTCTCGGCCGCAGCTCCGATCTGGTGGAACGCTCTGCCACAAGAGACATCTTTCCGCAGGGCCTGCAAGACAGAGTTGTTCCACCAGGCCTTTGGGCAGGGTGCAGCCTGACTCCCTCCTCTGGCAACCTGCACAGAATTTTGCTTAACGGTTGCCATCAATTTGATTTAAATTAATTTTTATAATGAAATGTTTTTAGAATGTTGGATTGATTGTTTGATTATTTGATTGTTGTTAGCCGCCCTGAGCCCGGCTTCGGCTGGGCAGGGCGGGATATAAATAAAATTTATTATTATTATTAAAACAAATTCAGCAACACCCTTCAGTATCGTGCAAAAGCTTGGCATTAATGTATATTCAGCAGAACCTGATCTGCTTTTCTGGAGTAGTACTAGCACAGTGGATACTAGGCAATAATACACCCCTCCAGCCCAAAGTACAAAATAGTTTTCAATTCACTCATTTCATTAAAAAGTGCATCTCTTCCTCTGTGGGTTTTTGTTTGTGTGTGTACACACACACACACACACACACACACACACACTTCTGAATGACAAGTCTTCCAGAGCCCAGCTGGCAATGAGATCCAGAGTGATAAGACCACCAATGACAAATTCCCTTTAAAAAAGAAAGCATCACTAAGATCAGTCTTAAACCAATGAAAGCATTTCATTCATTCATGGACCTGGAGTACCTTTGCCTTCTTCAACACAGCTATTTCCCTATATTATCAGTAATAATTTTGGACCATGGACTTAATGGTCTTTCTAACCAGTTTATTTATATATTGCATTGCCCCCAGATGTAGCCGTCTCTGCTCAAAGCAGCCCTTGAAAAACCCAGTCTAAGTACAGAAGTACAATAAGAATACATTAAGAAGCATAATATCACAACGACGTAACACTGAAAAAAATAAGCAATTAGCCGTTTAACAGGCATCAGAATTTAAGTGAGCATAAAGCACACCAACAGATAAGTTAAAAACAAAACATCTAATAGCTTCACATCCAAAAGAAGCCCCAAAGCTGCTGGTGGGGGAGCGTTAGGTAGTGATGTTTGTTTCTTCATTTGTGAAACACACTAAACATTTCACTTTTCTCTCATAAAGCATGAAACTCATAAAGTTTCATGCTTTAAAACTGCTCCTTCATTCCCAGTACACCAGAACAAAAGATGGAAGTTTGCTAATCCTGATTTTTTAAAAGAAAGAAATACCCTAAGCATATGCACTGTAATACACACAAATCAAGATCTCAGGAGTAAAACAGTTTGCTTCTGCTGTCCTGATACTAAACTTCTCTTGAGAATAATCACCATTTTTATTGTTGGAAAAGAGAACACCATTTTTAAAAAAGTAAAAATGATAAAAAATAGTTTTGTGTATATCCTTACATTATCATAGTCTTAAATTATCAGCTATATTCTCATATTATCCCCCTCTGTATCAGCGTATGGCTTAGACCACATGGGGGTGCTGTGTTACCTAGCTCATGCTTCTAACTGCCACAAAGGCAAGAAAGAATTGTAAAGGAACACAGTCGCTTGAACCGCTGAATTGGAGCAAATGTCAACCAGGTTCTCTGCTGACTGATATTTTCTCTGATTCAGCAGTAAGATGTGGGTTTTCCAAGGAAAAAAGAAATGCTCGGGCACAGAGCTTTAAAGCATGGACCTTCCCCGGAAAGCGTGGTGCAAAAGGAAGTCTGGATGAGTGGCTTTCCTGGGTTTTGGGAAAGGATGAGATGCCAAGAACTGAGCCT